AAAGGTCGGTTGGATTCGTCGTCTGAGAAAAATGAACGTCTGTATATAATTTTGGGGCAGAATAAAGTCAATGGCTTCATCTTGAATAATTTCACTCATTCGATAACAAATCTAAAGTGAGTGGCGGCGGTTTGGAATGAACTCACCGACTGTAATGTCCATGTTGTGTTTTTCTCCCAGAGCTCGGAGTCTGTACAAACAGCCACTCTGGTAGTAGTACTGGAGGAAATGGACAATACCTGCATGGGAAAAGAAATGAAATATCAAAAAAAGGAAGAGGGTAATTGTTGGCAAACATAATTCACTGTCTGAACTTGATACTACACACACATTTTGAGCCGTTTTTAAGTAGGTTACAGGTCCACTCTGGGAATGTGTCAATAGAAATAAGCACATTCAAAGAACATCTGCTTTATTCTTCAAACTGGCATAGCGTGGTTTTCATTTGTCGTGGTACATTTTTAACCGTTGCAAGGTTTTCAATCTCCTGCCACAAATCTTGAATGAGCAAAGTGATGTCTGGATGAAGTTACAGGCTTTTAGGTTATAAAAACGCATCTTTAGGCAAAACAGTTAAAAGGGTCAGTCAGTTTGAATCTCTTACTTTGGTATAGACAGTAAGTCAGGAACTGATTCCTAAACATCTGGTAGAGGGCGCCGTCAGGCCTGCCAACAAACACATCTGGTTAGAGCAGAGCTCAAACCTGTGACTTCATGACATTTAAGTTGAAAGTCATAAAGCTCAAATATATCATTAGAATATTTTGTGCCTGTGTCGTGGCAGCGTAAAACGTGGATGACATCACTCACCAGGTGAGCATGACTCCGGACTGGAAGGCCGACACATAGTGATGGAGAACCCACCATCCTTTGATCCTGAAAGCACACGGAGGACAGGAAGTGAACACGACTGCAGAACCTGTGGACCGACATCTTTCCTCGGCTAATCTCCCGTTCTGATAGTCAAATAAGCCCAATATCATTTGTGCTGATGTATTCCTGTGTGGATCGGAGGAGAGAACTAGCCGTTGTGCGTTTGTTTATCGACCGAGCTAACAGCTGACGGGAGTAAACATACGGCAGGTCCGTACAGAGGAGTGGTACACAGTCAACATCCGTTCCATGGGTGAGGTTTGTGTTACTGATGGTTATCGGCACTCATCTAAAATAGAATAATAAAAAGAGTGAGGATGGTAAGTTTGTCGCTGACCTTGAGCCGTTGCTGATGAGGATACTCTCGCGGATGGTGAGTGTGCAGTAGTACCACACCATCAGGAAGTTGAACAGGGCATCCAAGGCTCTGAAACCCAAAATAAACAAATATTTTATGTTTTGAATTTTCTTTACAGAAAGAAACTCCGTTCAAAAAGACCAAGTAATTCATCTTCCAGGAGAAAGAGCCGCGGCAACGGGGAACAGCTGATTCTGCAGAAAGCCGACAGTGAGACTGTAAAATAATCCCACAAAATATATACAACAAAACCAAGAGAAATCAACTGTTGCTTTAACTGACTGACCAGTTTCACCTTCTCTATTCCCAACAAGCCACCCGTGTAGTCATCACTCATGAAATGAAATCCCAAGCTTTAGGCACGAATATTAAAGTTATATAGTTATATTATGTTTTTTAGGATTGGCGTTTGCAACGGGAAGCGCAACAGAAATAGTCCTGGGCAGAACATCACATCTCATTTTTAAATAAGTAGAACATATTCCAACAATGTAATGCACGGCCACAGACATGGCACGCTAGCCAAAAATGTATACAATCAGTCGACCTCCGCCAACAGCACACACTCCCGTATCAGTCAGACTCGCCCGTGTCAGTTCTCTTGTTGACTTAACCAGGAAATAGGCCATTAATCAATCCTTGCTTTGTCAGGACATTCCCCTCGTTACAACGGCTACATTATAGTGTCAGCACACCGCTGAATGAGAAACGGGCGCTGTGGTTGATCCCGCATCAAGTGCCCTGCTAAGAGCTTCTGCAAACACAGACGAGGTGTTGGAGAGTCGTACCTGTAGCTGAACAAAAGGCGGCAGGTGAAGGAGAACACAAAGAGGATCACCGTGAGGACCAGTTTAAATTTCTCGTATTCGTCTTTGTAGGCAAATCTGAAACGACGAAACAAGGTTAACGTGACGTTGACACGACGCCGTCTTCTTAAAGGGGTTTAAATGGCTGGAAGAAGTTGAGCGTCAGCTGGACTCACTTGGACTGTTTGTTCAGGAGGGTCACGTTGACGTTTCCTAAAACAAGAGAGAGGTATAACCTAAACAGGAATAGACGTCAGTCATTCACAATGCAGACATCCCGGGTACTTTCATCATTTTGTGGTTTTATATTGTCAATATATATGTATATATTAAATGTGTGCTTCCTTAGCTCGTATGACTGATGTACTGTGCCAGTACTTTTATGCTACAATTAACTACTACAACTTCAGCTACTTTCCCATGTTTACTGTGGTGGAAAAAAAATACTGACAATTAATATGAAACTGCTTTTTGTCATCTGAGTACCAGCAGAAAATCATATGGCAGAATCACACCCGTTCTTTTTTGGCAGAAAAGCTTCCATCTCAGAGAAAGCGTCTGCTCTTTCTTTGATGGAGTCCTCCATTTCAGCGATGGCGTCCACGTCCTCTGGACTTAATTTGGCTGCTGGATGATTTTCTTTGCATCTAACAGTGGAAGAAAAATATTGTGACGTGGTTGTAATTATGCCGACATAATCACTGACAAGATCGGTTGGATCGGGCGTTAATACAGTACACCAGGGTATTTAAAAACACAAAAGACACTGAATGCCTTATTATCAGATTTGGACTGAACTCAAATAAGCAGATCAGACACATTATCTGAGCTCTTTAAGTCCTGGCCGAGAAGAATTAAAAAACACTCCCAACAAACGGATACTTACTCTCTTAGTGACGCAGTGAGCTCCTCTAGTTTCTTCCTCTGACGGGCGATGGCACCGGAGCAACTGTCTTGCAGTTTTGTCACATCCTCAAGTTTCTGTTTGTATAACCGATGGGTGTCCTAGAGGCGGGAAAAAGTTGTGTTTTACAGTTGTGCTTGATTTTTGTTTTTCATGAATGCAGCATAGAGATGCCAGTGATGAGAACACATTTACCGTTTGGAAACGGGTTGTCAGTTATTATCAGCGTAACGGGCAAAATAACAATGATCATCATTGTGTCATGCATAAAAATACGGCCAGTCTCACTGCCCCTTTATTCTGACATTTTAAGGAACAATTCCACACACAACACTCCACATTTTCATCTTATTGGTCCAGGAATCCAAACAATGAGCCCAAGTAGGCCCGAACACGGTGCTCTTTGTTTCAAATACACTACGTTACTCTAAATTATTTAAAATCCAACTGCAAAAGTATAATTACATATGGGACACATAGATCACAAAGTCGAAAATAGGTAACCAAGATTTTTAACTGATAAAAGATCATAATTTCAATTCCAACCTCAAAAGCCACAAATTCATCTCTCATCTGTGTCTTATTGACAACCTTCATCTGTAAGATCCTATAACAAACGTAAAACGTGTTATAAATCATTATCATAAATGTGCAACAACTCAAGTTCCTCAATTTCAAGAAGAATGTTATTAATATATATTGAAAACAGGATAGGAGAAGAAACATGACCTTGTTTGACACCAAAGGAAGAAGTATACCAATCAGCTTGTATATTATTTATACGTATTGCATTATTATACCAGAACAATTCTACAATGCTTTGAAACGTTCTACAAAGCGGATTAATCTCCCTGAATCCAGAGAAAAGCCTCGTGAAAATAAACAAAACTAGATTTGCTAGATTTCCTCACAATACAAAAACACAAAAGCACTGTTTTCCACATGACCTCCGACAACAGTGGGGTCAGTGATCACGTGGGGCAGGGCGGACCCCATTATCGGACAGTGGCGCTATAGGCGGCTAATTAATGCAGCTAACTTAGTGGAGTAAAATAAAGTACTTTATTCACCTCTGAAATGTGACGTTGGTGGAGTTTTAACGGTACAAAACAACGTTGGATGTTCATTCGGGGCTATCAAGTGGTTCAACGTTACAGCCCGAGGTTACTTTAACTTAAACTGACCTTTGTTTTGCGTTATTTATCGGCCGTTGCGTGCTACGGGGTCAGACTCCACTCAGACCCTCCTGTGACCGTTAGCTTACCCGAGCAAGGCTCACTCCCCTCGGTGTAACTCACCTGGATTTGATGGTAGTTTTTCTCCAAATCTTCCCATTCCCGTAAACATTCGGGGAAACCCGTGGGACTGAACAACATTTTCTACGATAACATTAATTAAAAAATAAATTAAAAGAAACTTCAGACGCTTGGTTACATTCAACCTCCGCTGTGCAACAGCTGTGCTTCTGTCATATGATAAACCAAAGAAGAAGTACTACTTCCTGTAATGCCCTTCATAATAAAAGCCAATAAAAGTGTGTAGTTTAGAGCACGTTGGAGATGAGGGACAATCTCCCAACCGCTTTCTGATTCTGGCAAATATTTATACCAATTATTTTTTGGAAAATCTAGGATCAAAATATAGTTTCTTGAATTTAATTGTCTTTTAAAAGTTGTTGCTGTGGACATTGGCGAAAGGTAAAAACATTTAGTCACATAATGTTACTGGTGTTGTATGTTACCGGATACATTTTGAGGTACCTGAGTAACTGCATTTTCACATTCGGGCTTTTATTTTTTCGAGCCATTTTAAAACGTCCGGTTTTATGCCAACAATGGCCCTCTTCAGAAGACTCCACACCTGTGCCAAAGTGCGTGGTAAGCTTTAAAGATTTTAGTTTCAGCCAATCACCACGAAGACTCCAAGACCGCCCGCTCAGTTCATTTCAAAGCACGTGGCCCTGAGTGCAGAAATATCCCCTTATTGTTTCCAAGCTGTAGTCACACACCTCCAAACCCTCATGTGTGAAACTGCATTAATGAAGACAAAACCATTTTAGTGAAATAGATTGTATAATTGGTTCTCCGTCCCATGCAGGAAACATTTCGGTGCAATATATTTGGCTGAAATGCCCAAATATGTTCCCCAAGTGGGCTGTATTTTTAGAGCCGATGTTGCGTAACCTTAGATGGGCATCGACCTACACCCGGTATTGTAAGCCATTCTGGCATCGCCATGTAAGGACTGAACTGGAGCTAATGAACATTTATTGGCACTCAAAACACGAATTAAACAAATTTACAAAAGAAACCCCAAATAGGTGTCACAGTCCAAGAAATACATAAACTCTTTCCCCTTCATTTCCCCTATGAAATATCACGACATCTTGCTTTGTTAAAAGTGAGGTCCATAGATATCGGTCTCTTTTGTTCCTATGACGTGGAGCTCCCAGTCAGACAGCTGCTGGAGAAACCCTGTGTTTGGTCTCACGTTGGGTTTACATTTCAGCACGTACTTCCAGGCCTCCTAAAATAAAGTCACACCGACGACATTAAATCCTGCAAATATTATGTTATACTTTATATGCACATATGTTACGCTGATGCGCAACTGAATGAACTCCACTTGCCTCCAGTGTGTATTTGAGGTGGTGCATGAGAAAGGCGATGGCCACAGCACTGCAGCGGCTTCTGCCGTTCCTGGAAACCATCAGGACACAAGAGCCCGTGACCATGTGTCTACCTGAAAACAAGAGGATAGATGGCTATTTATAGTACGTTTTTAAAATCCTGATGGAACCTGCACAAAACTTCTCAGTTGTAACACCCTGCTTCATTTCACTCATTTCATATATTTGTTTTTTTATTCATCATTGCAGTTTGTAGTGATTAAAACCTTAAATCTTTATAGGAAACCCTAAATACTCGCAAGGATTTATTCATGTAAAGCACAACTTACCGATAACACTGCAAATACGCTCAAGACTTGAATATAAATCTGACTCCACCGAGTCAGCCACCGGGAAGTTAGTGACGGTCGTGTTCCCCCGTATGGATCTGGGCCAAAAAAGAAAATCATACCCAATGCAGTTTTCTCTAAAGCTATTTCAAAACATCCGATCACGTCTTACTCCACGTTGTTGCTCTCCGAGATGCTGATGACGACGCTGACTTTCAGGTCCTTGAGGATGCTTGGGTCCATGCCTTGTTTCTCGTCCCCCATGTACAGCAGTGCCGCTAAGATCGCCACCGGATAGGTCTTCAGGTTCTCCAGCTCCTGAGAAAGTCCAGAAACAAACTAAATTGTATCAACGTCAAACTTTGATTACTAATTGATGTTTGGATTAGAAAAAGGTCTACAACAAATCACTGGAGTGAAGGTCGGACAGTGATTTTTGTCGAGTCCAGATTGAACTTTGTCCAGACTTTGTACCACCTGAATGCTTGTGTACAAAGCCCCCAGGTGCATCAGGTGCGCTTCGTCTCACCGTGATGGTATAGAGGATTTTCTCCGTTCTTAAAAACGGGTACAGAGCCGAGAACCTCTGAAAGCCTCCCTTCACTATGAGGACCGGGGAGAGGCTGGCTTTGGCCAGTTCCTGGGCACATTTAAACACTCGGCCTGCAATCACAGTGAGAAGCAAACCCATGCAAGTTAATCTACACACTTGTGGATGAAATGCACATTGACACTACGAGCTTCCTAATGCCAGGGCAGTTTATGGAGACCATGCTAAATACAGATGTCCAAGTGGTACTTTGAAACGTGTCCAGTCACCTCGTCCCTGCAGAACGCTTGTGTTGCTGTCATACACCACCACCTGCTGCATACTGTCAACCTCCACATCCTCTGGCAGCAGAAACGTACCCTTTGAATCCTGCGAAGAGGCACACAGAACGTTTTCATATTTCATTGAAATAATGCAGCATTGCAAGGCCTGTTATTTTTACAGGTTAAAAAATTATATATATATATTATGTATTAACTCCCAAGATTTTATCAAAATATACTGTCTGCGCACTATTAGGTCCACCGTTTGGACTGACAAGCGTGAATGACGAAAATGTGGATACAATAACATCTGTACCATTTTGGCATTTATAGCTGTCGGGATGTGACTCATTCTGTAGTCATCGGTTTCTCGAGCATCTACAAAGTAAAACATACCGACACACAAGCACATAACTGCTAAAGCTGAATTGAATTGAAGCAGAGAAATCAAGCAGAATCCAACTCTTACCAAGTGTCCAGCATTAAAAGTTACGGCCCATATCTCACCTATCAAACAGAGGTAGTTAATCTCCGCCAGCCGTGACACCGAGCTGCACTGGTTGAGGAGGTTGAAGAGTTGAAATGGTGCACACAAGCTGATTTTAGCCATTGCACAAAATCTAAATTAGCCTTTCACAAATGTGAATAATTCGCTTGCTAACGTGTTTTAAATGAGCAAATTAAGTTGTTTTCTGAGAGCATGGTTGCTGTGTTTGGGTTCTGTTGCTAAGCAACCGAGTAACCTCATTGGTGGCTGGTGATGATTCTTAAAGTCGCAGGTAGCCATTTCTCAACCATGTAAACAACTAATACATGTTCCAACCACGTATGTCGCTGAAAGTTTTAGTTGCATTTTATTTATTTCCTTAGGCTGATAGAAAGCTGTGTTAATGCCGTTTGGACAGATAAACAAATCATCTCACACAGTACAGTATATTTGCTTAAAAATATATGTTAACCACTTCCTTCCTCTAAATAATAAAAGTCAGGTTACACAGAAACAATCCATAAACTGTCTTTGGGTAATTTTGTAGCTGAATATATTTTGTAAATATTCAAACATGAACTCCACCTCACCCAACTAAAATAGTCCAATTCTAAAATGATGTTAATGATATTATAACGTGTTCTCTGAAGGTGCAATACAATTTTAGTCGGTGTTAATGGATTATCCTTCTTGCCAAACATTGCTTGTCCTCAAAGTGCTTACTGACTAATTAATCCTGCCTTTTTTTCTCAGGCTTGCTTCACTTTGTGAATGAAATGATGTGAGGGGATTTGATTTCACATTATTAGTCACCAGGTGTGATTATTCTGCTTTCAAACAGGCCGTACGTTTATTATAGCAATTAAGTTTAAACCAGAATTATTTAGTTGTCTATTTGCATTAGATCAGAATTGTATGAAGGGAGCAGAAATGTATTAACCATCATATTGTTGAGTTGTGAATTACGTAAAGACTCAAGGAGCACACTGGAAACAGTACAAGAAACATTTTATTTATGTATAAAATTGAAATAGTCTCGACTGGTCTTTACTCTGTCTGGCACCTATAAATGCAATTAAATCATTTAGTAAAACTAAAATAGTAATTTACACTATTTAACAAAATGTTACAAAGCATGATTTCCCTTCATCAACACAAGAGACAAAATCACACACACAACACTGTAAAAGAAACAAAGTTGCATTTCTTCTCCTTTTTAAACCACTTAATCATAAAAAACTAACTTTATGCGGTTTGGTGATCATTTTGAATGACTACAGGCTGGGCTTCAAACTACATCCACGTTACCCGTTACTTTAATAAAAACACATCATCAGGCAGTAATCACATTATTGTAAATTCCCCACTCTTGAAAGGCAATCTCTCCTAAATTCCCGGCCACTGTGCAGGGAGTCGCCTCCCCGTGTCGGGAGCAGCACAAAGCAGGACCGACCTGACGGGTTACTTCAGGGACACCTGTGGGAGGAGCAGGCAGGGGACCCGTTGGACGGGGTCAGACTGTGGTCGGGGGAACTGGTGTAGCACGGAGGGTTTTCCAGTTCCGGGGATCCAATACTGTTGCTGGATGAGTCGTCCATTGAAGGATCCTGCAAAACACGACGGCCATCAGCCCAAATGTGTTCTCTGCAAACAATCGTCCAGTTAAACAAGGTTCTACTGTGGATTCTATTGTGAGGTTCAATAATCTCTCATCCACAACAGCCCAGTGGGTTGGTCTTAGTTTGGGGAGCTACAAGAGATGATGAGAGAGAGAGATACCTTTTGCTGCAGGATGTAAAGTGAAGTTACAGCATTTATCCCGTTATGCTCTTTCCTTTTTGGCAGCACATCAGCTGCAGCAAAGCATAAAACATCGACAAATGTCTTTTTTCATTCCAGTGTCTTTCATTAGCTGATCTTATTTTTTTAATCGCCATCAGTGGAATATTTATTCTGTATAAGTATACGGTACCTGTTTGACTGAATGGTGACTGGTCCAAGTGGTCATAAAAAGTGGAGAGATGCTTTGATCTTTGACGTCTTTGCCTAGCAAAGATAAAAGGGTTTTTAATGCATTAATGTTCCGTTATAATGTTTGTGTATTTGCACTCCAGACATGCCTTTCTTAGTCTTATGGAAATCAGGATTGATTAAAAAAAAAAAAAAAAGATGTTGCAAATGGTACTTTTGGAAGGCGTCCAGCAGGCGCACACTGTCACCAAAGAGATGAGGAGAAAAATGCCTCCGGTGGAAAGGATGATGTAGAGGGAACTTCTTCCTGGTAGCATATGAAAAATCACAGTTTAAGAAAATTAACAGAATTCGGGAGCTTACCAAAATGTTCAGACAGCATAAAATTGAAAACAAAATCTACAAAGACGATCACTCACTGTAGACGGTCAGTCGGATCGGCAGGCTCGTCATACTTCCCACGGGATTCTCCACCGTGCAGCTGTAGATGTCATCGTCTGCCATCAAAACCCGCGTGATGGTCAAGAACTTCTGGTCCGGCGACAGCATGAACCTCGTCACGTTGGTCAGTGGCTTTCCGCCTTTGGACCACCTGTATGCAGTCCTGGTTCCATTGTCATGGGAGCAGTTGAGGACGACGTTTTCACTGAGCTCCAGTACCGATAAAGCTTCCATGTGGATGTAGGGCCTGGATATCGACTCTAGGTGAAGATGAAAGCAGATTTAGTAGTTTTCAAAATGTAAAAAGACACAAAAGGAGGAGGAACATGCATACGGTTGTTTCTCTGTGTTTTTGAGGGCCGTTAGCTGACACAGGATTGTATTCTCGGCAGCAGAGTGGGAGGAAATAGTGTGTAGCTGTGGAAAACTGTCGCCTCCTCCTAATGTTCTTCCGTATGCAGGTGACCTTCACAAGGGCCTCTATGTGCGCAGCGCTGATGCATTGCTTCCACCCTAAAATGGGATTGGAGAGATTAGAAGTAATCATGAGCTAATACACAGGGTGTCTTTATGGAGGTTAATGGGCAAGCACAGCAGCTTGTGTCATAACTGCTGACAATCCAGCCACAGTAAATAAGCCTGTAATCAGTTTTCCCCACACAAAGTGTTCTTTGGTTAGAAAAAGGCCTGTACGCACTGTACCGCCAACCAGTGATGCTGCTGCTCAGACAACCGCTATTGTCGCCATGAAGCTTTTATTGTTCTTAGAGGACAAAGTGAACACAAGATTGTCCAAAGGTTTGCTGCAGCCTCTCTACCGCCGGCTGCTCGTCAGTTGTCTGCATAGACATTCATTGTCGGACCTTCAGGCCTCACGCTTGCCCCACTCTTGCTCTCCTACCTGGTGTCCACCCAGGTAATCTGGGGTCTCACCTTCAGGAGCAAAGCATCATACTAAAGGCACATCCCTGCAAGCTGCCGTCGTCCACTTTCGGCTCAACAAGAATCTAATTGCATTTCCGCCTTCGCCAAAGACAGAAGTAACGTTTTCTGGTTCGGACCGAAGAGAAATCGGTGTGATTTTGCCCGTTACATTCAGTGTGCAAATGACACGCTTGTTTCCTCACCATCCACAGTGAGCGTGATGGTGCCCTCTCCTGGAAAGGTGTCATCCGTGATAGAGATTTCCACGTCATAAGTTCCATCGTCAGAGAGTCTAAGGTTGTGGAGAAGCAGAGTCCCGTTTTCAAACACCAGGATGCGGTCGCGATACTCGGGCCTCAGGGTCCCGATGATGTCGGTTCCGATCGACTGGACGACGGTGACGGACTTTTCCCTCTCGAGCTGCCACTTGATGACCGGTAGGTCGAGACTAGAGCTACTATAGTTGACGGACAGCAGCGCCTCCCCCCCTGCTGTGCCTCTAATGAGAGTGTTGGGGACAGTGATGTTCACTGCCAGCGCCCCAACTGAAGAGAAGCAAACAAGAGCGGTCAACAGTTGATTGTTTACAGTCCATAGCTAAAAGGAAAGGAGAGCACTGCTCTTTTGCCAGGAGTTTATTTGTCCAAGTGCTATTCACATGTATACACATTGTTTCTTTATTTATTGTGAAATAACACCAAGAGGAATTTACCTGCATATTTCTCTGGGATGTGTACAACTGTTATGGCAACATTTATTAGGTAAACTCAAGGTAATACATCTGCAGGAACTCTGCAACATGTTTATTTCAACCTTGAGTCATTTTATTGGCAAAGTTTGAATTCTTAAACAAAGTAGCTAAGACGGACAAATGTACAAACCTTTGTATTATTTAACACACGAAAAAGTTTTAATTATGGCACATCTGCAAATGGAAAATTATAGCAGAATATTGACTGTAATCAATTTGACACCAATTTGATTTACATGCATTGACACTGAATGATGTCATTGCACATAAGTACATTGCGTAGTTTACGACTGACTATTGCAGCTTTATGAACAATTGAGACACAGGCAAGATTGAAATCCTTATTTGCCGTGCATGTCAGTTTTATTGTACTTTTTTTAACTACAGTGAATGATGTACAATAGTCGGGTACCACGGCCCATCTCTGCTGTATACTGAATTCAGTTTGCATGGCAAATTTACATTACCATGGCAACAGCTGTCTTTTCTTGGGATGGGCCAGCACGAGCCAACAAAAGTGGGGATTGTTTGTTCAAATTTCCTTCTTGGCAGTTCATGAAAAGAACACTGGGAGCAGTCCAGATGCCACGCTGGCTTTGCAGAAACACAGCGACTCAGTGACTCTGCTGCTAGTAACAACAATAGCAGGGCAGTGATGAGTCACAGCTGCAAGTTACTGAATGTCTGAAAACACTGGTTCCGCCTGTAGGCACAATTACTGTATTGCTTACAAAGGGTGGGCAAACATATTTAAAAGCCCCCACGCAGTGTCATGCAATCCAACAACAAATACTACCTCTGTGATGTCTGAGGTCGATAATCCAATATTAGTACACAATATTAATCATGGCACTGCAAAAACCACCACTAACCTCATAACATATTGCATCACTCCACATGTTCCATTTATATTCATAGTAAATATGCAACTTTAAAATCAACATACAGTTGGCTCCTGTTTTGCATATTTTCTTCCAGAATCCTGCTAATAAAGTGTGAGTGTTTAGTTGCATATTCTGCCACTGGGTGGAAACTGATTCAACTATTTCATCCAGCTGGTTGGTGCGGATTCACGCTGCATTTCTGCTAAAATCATTTCTGCAGCTTGTAAACCCTGCAAGTGAGCATTGGTATGCAAAACTTGAAAACAAAAACAAATTGTAAAAGAAAGAAATTGACTGAAAGTGACTTACTTGAATTGAAGGAACCGAGACACACGAGCATTAAAACCTGGGAAGTGATTCTGGATATCGAAGGAGCCTCCTTCTCTGCCTTCATCTTGGGTCTCAGGCTTTGTTTTCCCCCCAGACAAGCAGCATGATCGGTGACTCCGGGCAGGACGGAGAACAGTCCTTCATTGACGCTCTGCTGGGACTGAGTACATGTTGTTCTCAACCGCCACTGTAGAAGGACAAAAGTGTGTGTGTCTGGATGTGCGTTGTGTTTGCATTCCGGTTTTATTGCAGCGATAACTGATGAGTTGTTTAACCATTAAAACGAAAGGTCAGCGTTTATCGTTGTTGTGGTTGCTGAGGAGGCGAGGTGACGGGGTAATGCAGAAGTGCATCCTCTGGAAGTATGAATTTACTCTCGAGATAATACAGTATAGCATTCGTCCATTTTGGTTCAAGAGGATCAACCAGCTGACACGACGTCCTCAGACTTCACTTCAACGTTTTTGCATGCACTTAATTTTGCATAATTAATTTGTAATGTGCACCATGTTAGCAGAGTATCAACAGATTTAAACTCAAGTTAAGTTCCCTTAACCCACTCGTTGGTCCTCATACACAGTCGACACAGTGATGCATCATGAGTTTGGCATTTTAATGACATAAGAGGTGGTACTGTGACTGACAAATAATTTACAACAGGATTACAGCCATGACGTTATGACGGCTCTCGCCATACATTTTGTGTTGCTGGCAAATGATTTGGATATATACTTCCATGTGTGGGAGTGCTAGCGACAGCGCTGCTTGAAAACGTGACATCTAAAACATGAAGTTGGGGGATTGGGGGAGATTTGGAGCAAAGCCACAGCCTAAGTGAAAAAGAATAAAATCGACAATGGGCTCTCATGCAGGCACATTTGAAAACATCTAGGAAAATAGTGTCACCAACACAAAAACATCTTTTCAGCGGAATACATGTAGGCCAGGCTTACTTTCCTTTCTAGGGTAATACCAAAACATTGAAATGTATTCGCTACACAAACTACACCATCACTTGACTACACTGTAACTCCTGGCCTTAGCGGAAATGTTCTATTAGCGCACACACACGCATACACACAGACACACAAAGCCAACGTCGGAGGATTATATCAACACGAGGTCATTCAAACATAAGCGTGGTCGTTTGTTTTGCATCATCGCTTGGTCGTGGGAGATTGGCTGCTCCAGGTCAACGATGGAGTGAAGGGAACTAAAACACTGGCCTCAAAAAGAAGGTGAAAACATTTAAAGCACATTGCAGAATTTAAGCCACGCCAACAATAAAGCCGGTTAAAAAGGAAACACACGGAGGTAGATGCACAATAAATAGGAATGACGATGTAGGTGCACAAAGCCGTGGAGAACTACGTGTAGTAAACGGGCCGATAAACAGTCACATGTGAAATGAACAAAAGAAAGCGTCACTGATGTGTTGACAGATCATTAATGGTTTGTGTTTAATTTAAAATCAGATGCTCAGTGGGTTCTTTTCAGTCAAAAGCTTCTTGCTCCACTGACTGTGTTCCTCGACATAAACTCGCTACTGTCTTTGTTTTAACATTATAACATTATAATGGAGCACAAATGTCCTTTATGACGTCAGAACAGGTCCATGGAAGTTTATGTATTTCTTTAGCTTTTTAAATTGAACTATTAAACGATAAAACAAAAACAATGGATTAAAAATGGTGTCTAAATCTTCAGAAGACGTTTATGTGCAGTTGAGTTTAAAAGGGAATAAAACAGTGCTCGAGGCAAACGGAAAGATGTTTGGAAAAAATACCTTTTTCTGTTGGAATGTCAAGTTCTTATGACGTTTCATACTTATGGAGGAAGAAGCAGTTTATATCTAAACGCTGCACAAATTGTAAGTAATCACGTTAAATACAAGAAGCGGTAACGCGTGCTTAAAGTCATGAAAGGAAAAACAGAGTATAAATGTGATGTATATATCATTTGTAAGCACGTTATTGTGAGCGTCAGGAGGGAAACTCGCTGTGGGAAAGACGTTAGTATCACATTGTGGGTTTCTACCATATACTTTACCTGTTAATGCCAATAGGAACAAAGCAACACTGGGATTATTCTGGAGGTAATATAAAAAATAAAGCAAATCCAAAAGGAATGTGAGAAAGAAAGGGAGCTTCATGGAAAACTTTTTCCCCCTACTCATGACAGTTTCATCAGTCACATCTTCACAACATTACGACACTAAGTTAAGGATGGAATGGTAGACGTGTTTACTCTGGGGGGTAAAAATGGGAAATGGGAACTTAAGAGGAGGATTTAATAATGCTTTCAACTGCCAAAATAAAGGAAACATCCACAGCGTCTGTACTGCTCCACTTGAGTACAACGTACACCGGCTTTAGTTTAGCTGAGATCGTTGTTGATCACAAGAAAACACAAATTATTTAGTCTCCATCATATATTTACTGTTTGGATTCCGTTGTCTTGGCAGTTAGCTGCAAATGGCAGAAAATGATAACAGACTGCAGTTTGTCATCAGGACGAAGCAGAGCTGCTTAGCGTTGAAGCGGCTCAGGTCTTCAGCACAGAGTCGTACGTCTGGTAGACGTACTGAGAAACCTCTGGGGCCCGACACTTGAGAGACAGCTGTGGAAAGAGACAGAACAATAAGAGAAACCTCCCACTAACCTTTCAAATATGACCAAGATGCTGTTTTAAGAGCCTCATCAAATCCGTCATGAAGAAGCTTAATGTACTTCAGAAGTAGGCAGGATTGCACGCAGGCTGAACAGTAAGGATTGTGCCTTTTACTTCAGGGAGAGCGTTTGAAATTCTTCATCAACACAAAATTGAGGAAATTAGTGGGCTGAACCAAAAGTGCCAACAACAAAAGAAGTTACGAGAGGACCAATTTCAAGTAACCTGCAGGCTATTTAGATAATAAACTCAATAAAAACTAATCACTGTTCTGGATAATCATCTATTCTCTGCTTGTGGTGTAGAAACAATCAAGTAGACAGCTGGAGGAAGGAAGTACTCTCCCATTTTATAGACAAACAGCATTAACTAATTAACGGAAATTCTATTAAATATTCAATAAGCTGAACACTCTACCGTATAGTTGGGGTTGCCGGGCTGAATGCGAAGCTCAGCCAAAATCCAGATGCCGTTGGTTAGCTTGAGGGACTGGTAGAGCATGTCCTGGCCTTCTACGTTCCTCTTGGCAATGGTGAAGATGTTGTTACCCTGCAGCTTGCCCGATACTGTGTCTGTAATACCAGAACCAACGTCAAGTAGTGAACAACACACCTGAATTACTGAACAAACGCACAACAAGCTGTGATCACTACAGGAACTGTAGTCACTATGGGCACTAACACTAAGATTCACAGGAGCTAACTCGCTAAGGGTTTAGAGAGGAATTGACCGGGTGGATCTTTTGTGAACTATGACCTGCACCCGTCGGATTTCAGTAAACCTGACCAGGTCTCTACAACACCGGACCGTGCTAAGAACCGCCCCCATCCTGCTAATGGTGGCGCAATTATGAGCGAGTTGGAAGAGTCCTTCGGGTACAGAGGGAGAGGATGTTTTCCGAGATAGTCATGTGGGTGGAGAAAGAAAACACACAGAGAGAGAGGTGAGGTTCCGCTGAGGAATCGCTGTTTAAAAAGTTGTTTAAATCCTTGTTAGTGATCATTTGTCCTTCGCTGAGCTCATCCATTCACCTGCCAGGTGTGGCGTGTTGAGACCCTGATTTAACTATTCAGTTTAATTCTTACTAGTTTTTGGAAATGCAGCCGGTGCATCTCTGAACAAAACATTAGAAACGCTGTTAAACTCGGCCTACCTGCGTTGAGGTGGCACTCCTTTATCTGATACTGGAGCTCATTCTCATTGGGGATGTCTTTCCAGGTAGCCAGGAACACCTGTCGCTCTGAGGGAGAAAAAGAAAAACGGTTGTCAAAATGAGGAACCTATCAAGGTGAGTGAGACACAACATACTATCAGATGATCGATACAAACTAAAAATGATTCATGCTCATGTTTAATGTTATGTATACACGTGGAATACATTGTGGTGTGCCAATAGATTTGATGTTTTTTTAAGTTGTTATTAACAATCATACCCATTTTCCCATCCTCAACAAAGAATATGTTGAGAGGGATGAGAACGCTGAAGTAGAAGACGTCGATGTTGTTCTTCACAGCCACCTGGGCACAAGTTAACAAAAGAGGTTTGACGTTAGGTATTTTGGGGGTAAGACATTTACCGCCAATTCCCCGATAAAAAAACCACATTGTGCTCAAAATAATATTGAGTGCCTTTTGAATGTGTTGCACTGCTGTTGAAATGGCGATTGATAGCTTACATACCTGAAGGTTATTGAGTGGGTCCATCTTCATGACCGGCCCAATGGTGTTTATAGGCAAAGAGACCTCGATGGTCTGGCTGGGCATCAGCGGAGTGTGAACGGGCAGAGGACTGGTGGGGATCATCCCAAAACTACATGCATGACATAAACAAAAACAAAAAATCAATAACAATCACCACCTGTTTTCAGCCAATTTCTGTGGTACACCAAGTTAGAAGTTAAAGGAGTCCAATACACCAGCTCTACTGAAAAACAGTATTCGATTGCAGCAGTATTGCGGTTCAACACAACTTTTTCTGTGGCCAATCCCACCGACCTGTTCTTGTTGAACTGGACAGCGAAGTCAGTCATGTGCTGCAGGGCCTTGTTGGTGAAGGTCATGTCCATGTACATGTGGCCCTGGCGGCGAGAGAAGGTTCCAGAGATCTCCAGACCTTTGGCCTTCACTGCAGGCAGCCACACCTGATAAAGAAATAGATCAAAGTACCAAGGGAATCACTTCTACTGATGGTACATACACTGGCATTCAAAGCTTTGTAACGCTGCACTTGAATGCATAGCAGAGGTTGGTAAAAAATAAATGTGCAAGTTGACAAATGACGTTGCGTTTTAATGTGATTAAAAAACGCTTCAGAGCAACAGGTGTATCTGGAGAACTAGCCGAAAGCGTCTGTGGTTGCTTCAGCGGTTGCCATTGACAACGCAGAGGACTCTGTATATAAGTGGATTGATTGATAATGTCTCACACTGCTTTGTGTTTTATTGAGAGCTATACAACTGTGATTGACTTGAATGTGTGTTATCCATCACAAGGTAAAACTAAAGTGGTGTGAACTCACTGATTTTGGGGCTGTGTGTCCTCCCGTGGTGATGGCCATGCCGGTGGAAAGCTCAAACAAGTCGCTGAGCCCACTGCTGACAGCTTGTGGAGCTGGTGTAGGGGACGGAGCAAAAGTACTGGGAACAGATGAGGGGATGAAGTTCTGTCCCACCTAAAGTCCCACAAAAAACACACACACACACACACACACACACACACACACAAAATAGAATATACGAAACCATTATTTTGGAAAGCATCACTTTCATTTTGCATGAAACCTACAAAGAAAAGCCTAAAGACCAAAGTCACTTTCTGGTCAACATAAAACAGTTTTATTTTATGGAAAACCTTCATTTAAAACATTGTTTCAAGAAGAAATTTGGCGACGGCATGACTAACATATTATATTATATATATATATTATTCATGGGCTGCCTCATTGTTTTTACATTCCACTCAGGAGTAGCTGCTCAGAGGGACACTTGGCGGCGACATTCAGAAGACCCGTCTGGTCCAAGATGAGTGCAAATAAAAAATGTGGAATGATTTTTTCAGGTCAGAAAATTGGCTTAAACATGCGTTTTGGTCTCAGTGGTTCTCAACTTCGGGAATAATTTCAGGAAGTCGACAAACGGTTGTTAAGAAAAATATCTACAAAATAACATATTAAACATAAAATATTGTATGTTTAATTCACGCAAGCATGGAGAATGCAGACAGGCAGACTGGCAAACAAAAGGGCTTGACTTACTGCTGGACTTCCCCCAACACCTCCGCCCAGGTCACCCCCCAGCTACAGGAGAGAAGAGAGGCCCCCAAAGACAGCATCCAAACATCAGACCGACCAAACACACAAACAAAGAAAGAGAGAATTTCTTAGCAACCGCAACCCAAATAGTGCAGCCCTAACTTTTATGGCAGGTAGCAAGTCTGCATCGCATGTCAGACGTTAAAATAAGCCTTTAAAATCTGCAGAGTGCAGTTAGTCCAGCAGCTTGAAGAAGCCGAAAAAAAACAAACAGAAACAACAAAGGAAAACACACCGAGGCTTAATACTGCTTTATGTCGGAAAAACGTATGTGTTTAGAACAAATTTATTCTGGATTTAAGACTACTAAATCATTCAAACTTCTTTTTTTTTAAACTCAAAAGCAAAATATGTGTGTTCAAGCTCACCAAACTGTCCAGGCCTCCCCCCAGAAGGTCTACCGCCCCCATCTGCATGGAGGAGATCTGGGGCACATTGACCGGAGGGCCCAGGTCCAGGTTGAGCAAGTCACCCAGCAGGTCCCCCTGGCTGGGGATCACGTGTGGCTGGTCCATGGCAGCTGCTGGCCCGCTGCTCACTGGGCTCTCACCAGTGTCAATGCTGTCATAGGGGGACACAGCAGTACAGGTAAGAGACAGGAAGTCAAAGGTACGACATGTGTAATTTATGCATTAAGATATAATAATCCTCATTAGTCATGCAGCAGGGGTTTCATATTATAAGGACATTTAGGGATACAACTTCCAGTCCAGCTTTTTTATTTTTTACAAAAGATTACTACTTATGTATTATATATATTTACAATTGCTAAATAAACACTTCTGTTTTTGCTTATTATTTAAGACCAAAGAACTCATTCGCCTTGCGTGTCAAGCGCACACCTTTTGTAAAAGACCCGAATGACACTAATAACAAGGAAGCTGCCCATTCAAATGACCTGCTGTGCTGCACAGGAAGGTGTTTCCGGTGGACTCCGTGGCTGCCCTCCACGAAGGCGCTGGGCGGTTTGTGGTAGACGGACGCCAGGGAGCCGATGTGGCAGATGAGCTCATCCAGTAGGGTGGGCTCAATCAGGTCGGTCTCCTCAGAGATCAAGGGCTTCTCTGACAACACCACCTCTTTGGCGGTAACCGGGTCGGTGGACAACAGACGCCAATAAATGTAGCCCCTGTCACGCAGGTCGGGGTTGTCGGAATCCTGCAGAAGAGAAAAATAATTTTCATCCCGAGTAGGAATGATAATTTATCAGTTTAGCGGACCTTGAGCCACAAAAAAAAACAAAACCCAGATATTTCACAGGGCTGTTTAAAAAGAGCACAAAACAAGATCCATCAGTAATTTAGCAAATCCTTAAATTGGTGTCGACCTGCACTTCCCTCTAATGAATGACGACGCTCACCTGCGTGGCCAGACTCAGGACCTGCTGCACCAACTCTTGAGTCTCCGACGGCTTCTTAAGGAACAGCTTGACGATGGCGGTCAGCAGAGTGAGCTGGACCTGTTAATCAAAGCACACACACTTATTTTACTGTTGTCTTCAGGGTACAATGCCTCCCAAACCCCCCTTTCTCATCCACCAGATGGGAGGCGGGAACGAGCAAAGTCTGGAAACAGCCAAACCGGAGGATGACCACGCTGTTGGTCAGCTTCTTGACAAAGCAGCTGATAACAGCTGTTAAAGAAACATCTACAATGCAGTCAGGGAATGAACTATAAGTAAATAAATAAATAAGTGTAAGTCACTAATAGTTTAGTTTTTATTCTGGCTGTTAACAGATCATGTATCTGCTAGAGCTTATGCAGTTCTCTTTTATAATTATTTGATCTGTTTCTTGGATTATCGCGATCATCAGAATATTGTGATTATTATACAATGATCAAACGCCATCCATTATCATTAGAATCATTATTCGCATTGGGTACGCTCGCTCATAAAATGGTTTTAATAATCTGGCTAAACTTCTGGCTTGTCAATAAGAACAAGATTACCATAAATTATGGAAATGATATCTACATCTTTGGACATATCTCCAAAAGCAGGAATTGTCCAAACTCAACAGGGTTGAATCCCTCTCAGGTGAAATGAATGGACCCACCTGGGTGCTCTCGTCGTGGAAGCCCTCGAGGAAGCTCTCCAGCAATTCATCGGCGTTATCGATCCTCTCGGCGTACTCGCCAACAATCCAGATCATGGCGGCTCGAGCGTCCGGCTCATCCAGAGAGTCCAGGTTCTCACACAGCGTTGCAATGATGCTCTCATACCTGAAGTAAAGCAGAGTCTCAATGGTCAGAATTACCTTGAGAGATGTACGGTCATCTGGTTCTGTAACGTGCTGCTCAAAACTTTAATGATACGTAACATTAACCAGACTGCATTAAATGATTGATTAGTCCATCTTGTGAATGACTAGAAATGCGAGAGTAACAAAAATTGACTATTTTAACTAACTTCAGTATGTGTGAAGGACTCATTGTTTGTGTGCAGTAGTTCTCAGGGGTCCAGTGGGAAACATACTTGTTTGGGTACTTGCGAAAGATATCTCTGATGACCACGATGGCCTCCTGAACCACGTAGTTCACCTTTGTCTGGATGAGGTCGAGCAGGGTGCTGACACAGCGCTCAGCTGATTGCTGCAGAGAGAAACCGTGTCACTGTGACTTTATGTGTCCTTTAAGTCCTTGCACGGACATTTGAGACATCCATGTTGTCATCAATTTCAACTGACAAGTAAAATTATCCGTCAAGAAAACAAGTTTATGTGTTTGTTCTCTCACTCTGATAAACGTCTTAAAATACCTTTTGCCTAGAAATTCACATTAGCATAAACTGAGCAGCATAAATGATTGAGATAAATATTTATAGTTGAAACTGTTTTAAAGCCATGATTTATGTTGTTCATTTGCGAACTGTTCAATAAACACACATAAGGAAAAGTATCAGTATCAGGGAGATCAATGTATTATAATTTTGAGCTCTGATATTATGATATTTCTACTGCACAAAGTCTTGGTGACAATTCTGAAGGGAGTTCAGATTATTGTGCTACGAGAAGCATTTCTTACCTCCACTTTGATGGCACAGCGTCCGATGGCTCGCACAGCCTTACGCACAAAGTCAACGTCCACCTCTGTGGCGTATTCCTTCAGTTCAGCCAGCACCTGGAAGCGTAAAGAGATCAAAAGTGTAATACACCGTCAGTGTAAGCCACACATGTCTAAAAGCTTCTTTTAGTTGTGGTTACATTTTATTGGTTTTGTTCCAATTTGAATAAGTAGCATCAAGTTTGTCCCCCTCACGAAGCTTCCATGTTATTTCATATAAAGGTTACCTGAGCGATGTTGGCCTGGGAGGCCAAGCGGATCATGATGTCCAGCTTCTCCAGTTTCACGTAGATAGGGTCGTTGTACTTGACAAAGAACACTTTGATCTCTTGCTTCAGGATCTCAGGTCTGCACGCAAAGCAGAAATTTTACACATTGGACTGTAGAAACAAGTGGAATTTGGGGAAATTGGCCTCAATACATGACAATGTTTTTTTTTGTTGGTCAAAATTACATCTGAAAAATGTTCTACTTAATGACTAGATTTTACACATTCACAAGAGCAGATTGTACCAGTTCACTATAAACTGGGGCGTGACGAATGAACAACATGTAAATGAAAAAAAAAAAAAAAAAAAAAAAAACTCTACACGCTTGCGATCACGCACCTTTTCTGAACAATGAGGTTGATGTTCCTCAGAGCCACGTACTGGACCTCAGGCTCTCCAGAGAGCAAGGTGACCAGTGGTGGGGATAACTTCTTCAGCAGGGTGTTGTAGTAATCTGAGTCCTTGGGCAGCAACTCCAGGAACTTCATCAGCACCTTGACAGCTGACAGGACCACTGCTGAGTTTGCGTGAGACAGCCGGGGAGTGACGCGCTCACAGATGCTTTGAGAGGGAAGCACGGAGAGGACGGTATGTTTATGCTCATCTGATGTCTGCTGTTACACAGTTTGGACTTTCTAAACTTGCTAAGAAGACACTAGCACATTAGAATTCTAAATAAATGACATATTTAAGTTCCGTACATGTACCCCAGCACCCAAAAGGGTAGAAACAAATCGGCAGGCGCAACAGTATTCAGGGATCGTCTCTTAAATCATCAGTAGTTGCTACATGACGGCCAGTGATACTTTGGCCTGAGGGAATGCTACCTTTGGGCTTCGCGCTCATCCTTGGGGTTATAGTTGGACAAGCAGTCCAGAATGAAGATCTGTCCCCACTCAGTGCACTCGTTGAGGGCCGTCAGCAGCTTGTTGATGTTCTGGGGATTGAGGTCCAGCAGGTTGCTGTTGGGGTGAGACTCGCTGATCTCAGAGAGGGCAGCAACGGCGTTGGCCACGACCTAAAGGACGGAGGTATTTTTGTGACTTTGGATTTGTTATCCCATTGGGATTTCATCAAGGGACTTTAACATCTCTGTGAAACACATTTCCCCAATTTCTATTGGAAGTAACAGAAGGCAATGGCAAAAAAACTGACACATATAGGAAGAAGAAAAAAGATCACTCTAGAGTAGTGTTGCACGGTGTACCGGTACTAGAAAGGTATCGCGGTACCCATACGTTGAAAACAATACGGTTTTGAATATTTTTAGTACCGGTACTTTAAAAAAAGCATGCAATTGGAGCGCACTCACTGTTCCGCTCCGTGTCAGGCTGCCTGCACACATTGACTGCGCAGCTCTCACACATGCGAGTTATCTGGGGAGACGCGCCCTCATGTAGCAGACTGCTCACCCATATACAGCCTAACAAGATTAGCCTTAACCTAGCTTAGATCGGGTGACCAGACGTCCTCTTTTACCCGGACGCATTTTTTAGGTCTCGAAAAGAGGAAATGTCCGGGTATAAGAGGACGTCTGCTTTGTCTTGTGTTGCACTTGCTTGATGTTTGACTGTGTTTGGAAAATTGTTGACTTGCTAGTTTGTCATAAACAAAGTAAGTTTAGCTGCTAGCAGACATCTCGTTAGCAATGTTAGCAAGCGTGTTATAAAACGCTAGCATATTGATGCTAGTATTAAGTGCTCTCAAGTCGGCTTCTTTGTAATGTTATAGGGATACTTTTCACTAAACCTTGGAGTGAGACGTTGGGGGTGTAGCCACGGCCGACGGTGGGTATAAGTTACGCTACGTGCAGCGAATCGGGTTATAGATGCGCTGTTTAGATGAACCAGCGCAGATTTCTTTTTTTTTGCGTAATAAATTGGATGTGTGGCGTGAGTGCGTGTGAAAACATGGAAACACGCGTGTCACATGGGAAAACCGTGAGAGTTGGCAGCCCTGTAGCTTTGTTGGCTAGCTTGACAACAACTTTCCTAACACAGTCAAGCATCAAGCAACACAAGACAAAGCAAGACCCCAAATAAGTTCCTGAATAGTCCAGCAGAAAGATATAAATGCAAAATAACCTACAATTTCACTCATGTGGGCCTATATGATCATGAGGTCAGAAAGCACACAAAATTGTACCAAATAATACACACTTGATGCAATAGGCTACATGCTTGTGGAGCCTGAGGGTGGATCTTCACCTAATCCTTTTTATTTTTAGTTAAGGAAATATGTGAGAATATCAAACTATGCAAGTAAAAATTAAGCATTGTTCATCCCACAGACAGTCAAACAGATACCAGGTAAAAAAGGAACCTTACAGATGTTTTATTTATTACTATCATAGATAAATATATTCCATTATCCTATTTGTGGTATCGTAAGTATCGGGTACCGTAATATTTTGGCAGGTATAGGATTGAAGTCATAATTTTGGTATCGTGACAACCCTACTCTAGAGGTCACCAGCTGAAGCAATATGGCTGCGGTGGAAAAAGAGCGTAAGCCTACCATGGGGTTTGAGTCGGCAATGAGATCCCTCAGGGAGTCCAGGAAGCCCTGGTCCTCCACCATCTGGGCGTTGATGTCATGAAGTTTCGCCACACAAACCGCTGCCGTCTTCCTGACGTATGGGTCCTCGTCCTTCAGGCATTTCCTCAGCGGCTCGCACAGGTACTCCGTGATCTTGTCCACCCGGATGCAGCCCATGGTGCGGACGGCCAGGGCTCGGATCAGAGGGTTGGGATCCTCACAGTCCTGGAGGACACGGCGAGAAAGGCAGTGGTGGTTTTAATGAGATTAGATTTGATCCTAAAGTGAGTTTCTATAACTTTCCATGACTAAGTCAGAGCAATTCTAAGACCTTAAATGTTTCATTTGTGTATTCAGCAAAAACGTCAATAGTTGAAGTGAATTCTCTTGAAGGAGTTGCTGTATTTTGTTCCAAGGAGTCAGGTGAAAAGTTGATTTAGGGACTTGCCTTGACGAAGCTGTTCACGGCCATGATGGCCATGTCAGGCTGGCTCTTGGCGTAGTTCATCAAGTAGAGGTAGACCAACTTCTTCAGCTCCAAGTTGTCGGTTTGCATGCAGTTCACCACGTCTGGAAACAGAGAACTGACAACAAAGCGAGAGGCCCTCAGTCAGACTCTTGATCATATGTTTACATTGTGAGCTGTGTGATAAAGTAAACTGAAGAGTCACTCTTCATTTATTCTCTTTCAGAAGTGTTACCAGAGTACCACCCGCTTATCGTTTATGCTAATCATTTATTATTATATAATTATGTTCACGTAACAGTGCTGTCTGGGTCTGTAATGGGAAGCTAGCAGCACTAGAAAGTAGGCTTCCCAGGCTAATTAATGGGGTAACATCTATCCAAGAAGTTTCAAAATCAGTGAAAATTTAAACACCTGACATCCTTGCCAACCGTCATGGCAGCAATGACCTTTTTCACTGCCTCTTTTCTCTTCTCCTTCTTCTCATTGTTCAGCTCGGCCTTCAGTTCAAAGATCTCCCCTGTGAGACGAATCACAACATGCGTTGGCACCAGCACACTTGGAATATGATGCCTAGTAACACAGTTTTTGACTGATGACCAGTTGAACACCACTTCCCTCCTTACTCACCTTTTTTGTTTGTCGTGAAATATTTGGAATCCGTCATGATTGTGGTCCTTTACGTCTGCACAGAAGAAACACACTGCATTATGTCATCAGCTACATCTGCAGAAATGATTCCTTTCAACCCTAACACAATTTACAGGTTCACATATGAGTTGATGTATTAGTTCAATGTTCGTTTGTTTGTTTTAATTGTATGTCTCTTCCTCTATAATCTGATTTGATTAAGTGGTGTAGTGATTTAAAAAATGCTCTACATCATTTAGTTTATGAACTGCATTCAACATTATCTGATTTGGCTAAAATTGCTTTTCTAACTTATAGTAAGTATCTGATTCAAATTGGATCAAGACTGTATTTGATTACTAAGTAAAAAAGAGGACAACAATAGTGATATTTTTTCATTTCCAGGGCATTAAAAAAGACTGCATTTGCATTGCATATCTCCTTGTGTATTGGTTCATCTCACTTTTTAATGGCAGCAAAATAGGTTTGTAAGCCAAGTAAAAACTGACATATTTGGACACAATTAAAGGGTGATGATGCCTAAACCAAGTGCATAACACAAAGCATAGAACCGTGTAATCTCCATAACAAAGATATAATGGGTTTTACTGCAGAGCCACAGTGTATTTCAATGTGGCTCTCACAGGATACCACTTTTCCCACAAGTCAGATTTCTGCCCTGCTCGGTAAGGCCGTTAGTGTGGAATAATTCTCATCTCACTTTCTTTAAACGTCTATGACATTTTATTGCAAGATATGAAATACAAACCCATTGATTCATTATAATCAAGTGACAAATTATTACTATCAATTTCAATAGAGGACTAATAATTGAGCAATTCCAAAGTATGGTATTGATGGTTTTTCTGTCCACATAGTTTTAACGTGATATCAACATTATGCCGTTTGTTTTTACACATTCGTTCTGCTAATCCGGCAAAAATAACGTACAAAAAATAAAGTATACGCTGGTGTTTTAGTGTCGTTTTAAATTGGCATACTGTCAATGCATGACTATATGGATTTAACGGTATGTGTCATTTTAAATCACAGGTCTTCGCTATCGCTAACGTTAGCTTGAAAACGTAGTTTAGCTAACATCTCTTAAAATCCGATAGTAACGTTACATGCTACGTTGACGTCAGTTACATCCGTTCCCATGTGAAATGCACAACAAACCTTAAATAAATCGTGGCATTTCCCTCAAAGCTCTGTGCGTGACACCGGCCGGCTGATGTTTGACCTCTCTTCTGCGTCGAGACAGTTAACGTTAGCTAACGTTTACGTTACAACCAATTCAAACCACAGCGGTTTCTCCGCGGCTAAAGTTAGCTCGCTGCATGCTAACCGTAAGTGTCGGGAGTTAAAACGGTTGGCGCGACGAGCGACGCCGATTAGCGAACGTTACGAGCACGAAAAAAAGCGGCACCGTCGGGCAAAAACTCGGTCCCATTCGGGTGTGACTTGCATCGTTGAGAGCATTGGGTCTGTCATCGAAGCAGGGAAAAAAAGTCACCAGCGGCCCAGTTTGCACGGCTTCTCGCTGACAGGGACCTGTCTTATCAACGCTAACGTTAGCTACGTCATGTGTGTCTCGACCGGAAACCAGACAAAAACAGCAACGCCGTTATGGAAATGTTGAACTTTGAAATAATTCAAATACCTGATGGAGTGTACGTCAGCGTGGAAATGGGAGTGCGAGACGCAGGTTGGACCCTTCCTTTGCCAGGCTGAGGAAGATGGAGACTCGGGACTGGGATGGTACGTTCGCTGTCATCGGAAACAGGAGTACTTCCCTCTTAAATTGAGCCTTTGATTCGACTGACCCAATGCTTTGTAGAATACTTTCATACATGATGATATGATGTGGACTTAAATAATGAGTGCTTCATATATACACACAATCAAACACAACTTCTTCAAGACATTACAGGTTAAGGGACGGCGAGTGCCCACAGCGGTGAACGTAGCACGAATGGAGCTTCTCGATTGGGATCAGAATGATGTCATGAGTGAGAGTGGGAATTGGAAGAAGGTTTATGGCAAAAGGGAGCTGTCGATTACACTCTTTTTTGTTTTTTAAACTAACAGTGGCCATTTACCTTAACTATGTTCCACCGGGGCTGAATATATTACTACAACGGCTCAAATGCTCATATTTTGTGTCTTGATTGTGGGGAGAATATGATTAATTGACCCCAGTGCTCTAACTGGAGTATGGAAAGGGAAGCAATACAGTCTTAAAATCAACCAGAGACAAACAGGAAGCCAGATGAGGAAGGCCAGCACGAGTGATGTGTTCCTTCCTTTTTACCAGTGAGATGACAAGGAGCTGTACTTGCAGAAAGGACTGTTCCACGCCCACATACAAATAACAACTGAAGTCTGACCATAAAACCATGTATAACTGGTTCAAAGTCGAAAAGGTGATATGGCTAAACTATTATGGAACTGAAAATAATGGCACTTACATTTTTAACAAAAGTGTGTGATATAGACATCACTAGTTTAGCAGCTGGTAACAATGGGGCTAATTTACACTACTTTATATACGAACGAGTAACTTAATCTGTATTAGTTGGTAGAAGTGCAAAGTCGCTTAAAATATATGCTATTGTGAAGAAGTACTTAAGTATATAAAAAGTAAGACACTTGACTAAAAGTTGCTATAATGACAGAAAAAAAAATACCTATTGGTTATTTATTCAAATACAAAACGATTTATGTTACTTTGAATATCGATTCCAAAGTTTGAAATGAACAATAGAATATTTACAATCCAATTTTAAAATAATATTTTATTTACGCAAGCATTACTGTTCCTAGAAAATGTACTCAAATCTTAACAAACAGTGAGTGTACAAACAATACCATGTGTGGGAATAACAGACATAGTAGGTATATTAGCTTTGTTCCTCATTCTTTACAAAATACATCTATATTTACAAGCAATAGCAAAAAAATAGCAATAAGACAGTATTTATTTCTAATAGTACATCATAGTCCGATAGGGGTGAATGTGACATTTTGTAAACAGCAACTCTTAATTGCTGGTAATGTGGGTACAATCTTACAGAGTAAATGTAATTCATTTACGCGTTTTTATGTATTTGATGGAATGACAGTTCTATCATTATAACACCTATGCAGAGGATTCAACCTGAAGTTGGGAGGTGGTGTGTACGAGGTCTCTGGGGAGACTTTCTCGAGCATCTTGCATCTTTTTCCTGGCCCTCTGGAAGGCCTCTGGGAGAAAAAGAAACAGATATATTGAAAATAGTTGAAAAAGTGATAATAGATGGAGACTAACTACATTTGCTTACTAATGTTAATTTTTTTAAGTGTTTGAAAGTGCTCGGGTTCATCTTGCTATTTGTTGAATATTTTTTCTGAAGAACTGATTTCTCACACAACTACGCCTTTAAACAAATAGCTAATAAGCCATTTTTGAGTAAAAGTCTTTACCGAGGATGGTGCAAACAGCTCCTTGCTGACTGAATCCTCCCAGCTGGTCAAAAACGTTCTGCCTCCTTTTCTTCAACATGGTGGCATCAACAAATGCCCTAAACAACACAAACAACAAGGACACACTGAACCAACGTCATACAGCAACTGGACCGGGAATGAAAACTATGCATACTATACATATTGCAGTATGGACACAAACAACAACTGTTGTCACCTATACTGACATAATGAAGGAGTACTTGCCTGGCTTGCTGGATGCAGTGCAGATTAAAGGTGACACTTCCTGTTGTTTCAGTGCAAAAGCCAAAGCGACTCAGCCTCTCTCCCTACAGACGTATACGTTGTGTTGAGTACCGAATGAAAAACGAGTATTCTTCAGCATACCTAACGTTTACTAGAGCATCCACAGAGGTTTGGGCCTACCTTGAAGGTCCCTGGTATTCTGACGTAGCTGTGGTCTTCAAGCTCTGGAGAACCTCCGATAAAGAAGCGCCTCAGTGCGGAGACTGTCCCCGTCTGAAGGGGTCTCCACGTGTGGCACGTTATGGTTTGTTTCCCTGGCACACACAACACGTGGAATGTGAGAAAATGAGACCAAAGACCTGATGAAATGGTGATTTACAGAAGCTGGGAATGCTTGGTTTTGTAGGAAAATGTGTGATTAGGGCAGCGTTTAAATGTCTAACCACAAAATTGTCATCAACATCGACACACATTTGAGATTTCTGGGTTACGTTGTTGTCTACGTTGTATGTTGTTGTATTTTGTTGTTGTATTTTAACAAAATAATGCCCCATTTTTAACCAAACAGCTTAGCAGTGTACACAGTATACCAGGCACGGCAGGAAAGAGCAGGTAGCCATAGCCTTCGGTACGAAAGCGCTGCCAGGAGTCCAGAGAAAGAACCTTGAAGTAAATCACCGGCCACTGAGGAATCGACTCTGAAACCAGGATGAAATTCCCCTATTAGTCCAATCTCATCATTAATGCGAAGACAAAATCCCTCGCATCTAACAGATGCATGACCCGCATTCTTTAAACCCATTATTCAATGGCTGATACTAACCCTCGCTCTCCTTTTCACTCATGTAGAAAGCCTCAAAGCTGAAGGGGTAACTGAAGAAAGCCACGTTTTCCTGTTGGCAGAAAGAACATTAAAGAGTTGAACAAATCTCAGTTGGAAGGTCCTGAAACATATATATATATATATATATATATATATATAAAATGTATACACACCTTCCCTAATGTTTTGGCCCGGCACGTCTGCGTTACCCCTGAGAGAGTCTGAAATGGCAAGCTGGACCAATCTGAAATGAAACATTTGAATTTAGTTTAACGGATTCTAAAGAGGTTTCAACCTACTTAAGTGTCCCGATGTGAATGGTATCATACACCATGTGTGACTTACTGTTCGGCAGCTCCATAAAGAAGTGGATGTATAAGTTATCATATTCAAAGCCTTTAGCTGAGACTAGGTAAAAGAGAAGAAAGAGGAGATTTAAATGCGAAAGACGGACTTTTAAGAAACATGTATAGTAAACAGTAGTGATGTCAGCAATCATTCTCACCGATCTCTGCATTCATCATGTACCGCAGAATACCTACAGGAGGCTAAGGGAGAGACGACAGTGAGTAAAAAAGCCTTTTCCAAACAGACCGCCATAAAAAGTGTTTATTAGCTCGTTTAACATTTAGTTGATCTATTGTTAATATCGGATTCATTCAAGAGAAAATCTGTCTGTTGACGGACAAACTTACCATTTCAAAGTCTTGTCCAACAAGGCTGTTGAGGTACTCCTTGTGACGTACGTACAGCTGGAGTCAGAGAAAAGTGGACGTGTCCACATCAAAAGACAACTTGTTTGACTCCATTATATGAACACAAACATTAAAAGGTGAACTCTTAAAATCTGCTCTTGTCCTAAAGGAGACATGATGGAGACAAACTCACGTCTTTGTACACGTTCTGCTCCCTTTCCTTTTCCTCTGGTTGCATGGGGGTGCACATGTTCTTAACAGTGAGGCGCCAAACTTCCCTCTTGTCCCCCGCTGTTACAATCCTGCACAACAACACACAGCAGAAAGGTTTTATGTTTATTTTGTCAAAAACAAGCATCCCTTTCTAATGACATGTATGTTGGTCCGGAGTTAAGTGGAGGACTTTAACTTTCACATCGCCTAGCTGGTCACAATGTTATTTTAAAAACACGTTGATTTGGTATCCATCATCAATGCAGACAACAGTCCGATGTGACGTAGTGAACTTGCCTGTAAGGCTCTTTGTCGTCGTTGAAGTCAGGTTTTACAATAACTGTTCCACTGCCATCTGTCTTTATGGTTACCAGCAAATACTCATTCTCTTTCTGGCCCATCCTGAGAAAACCAATACACAAACAATCACAGCTGAATCACACAACATTCACAGATGACTAAAGGGCAGAATTAGTTCTTCCGGAACAAAAGGTTGCAGATTGAGAGCAGGTGGAAAATGGTCATTGACACTACCAGATGTGTCTGTTTCGTCCATGCTGCAAGTTAGAACCCTCAAGAGTGGACTGAATGGTAATGTCTTACCTTCCAGCGGGGGCTAAGTCTCCCATGATATGCATGGTCTGCATGGCATTGTTCACCACATGACTACTCTTCACAAACTCCGCTGTGGGCTCCCAGTTGACAATCTTTGACTTCGGGACACTGCCATCCCTGAGAAATACAGCGGACCATCCTATCAAATGACTTTATCAAACATTACAAGAACTGTCTTTGAGGATTAATAAGCAGCATTTGGATAAACGCTTTTTAATGAAATTGTATGTTTACATTGGAGAGACAAATACTTAGTTTCAAAGTGAGAATCTAAACATGTGCATTTTGCAAATATGCAAACTGCATTTCCACATGCAAGACAATGTGGGTTGTGAGTCAGCTTCACTCACATGGTGCGTCTGTCTTGCCGTCTGTGTCGCACGCTGGCCATCCTTTCAGCCAGGAATGTGGGGCTGGATTTGGTTGTGCTCAGTAAGTCACTGGAAGTCTGCTTTCAGGATCAAAAACAACAAGAAGCTACTTACAAACACATTTTTACGAGTTAATCTTACAACATACAATGTCAGTAGTTTGTGAAAAAACCCTAAAAATATGTGGAAAATGTCTGTAATTATAACATTATAACGCAAACTACTGGATGACTGTGTTGACATTGGAGTAACAGTATAACCTACCAGTTGTTGGAGTGCAAGGCAGCTGGTGTAGCGGTCGTGATCGGTGTATGTGAAGATCCTCTTATTGCGTCGGCCCTTGGCCTTGTTCAGGGCCTTGACTTCTGTGTGGTACTGACGGTCCAGAGGGGTCTGGCAGGCTGACTCGTTCTGGAACAGCTCCATCTCATACTGGGACCACAGACACAGAGGCTTGAAGGTGAGGAGGCGCGGGTTTAAAGTAATAACAATAACTTAAGCCTTTAACAGTTTTCATTACAAAACGCAACGGATACTGAATGCTCAAGTGCTACCTGACTGAAGAGTTTCTCCTGCCAGCCCACCTCCAACTCCTCCTCATTATCACCTTCTGACAGAGTAACAGAAATGTTGAGTTAATAAAAAATGATGCGGAGGAAACATTGACCCAAAAACAGGTATAAAAGTTTTCATACACAATATCTGTTGCATTCAAGTCATACAATCAAGGCATGCTGTGTTTTGAGTTAGAGACACATTTCCTCCCAGAAGGGAAAAACAAATTGCTGTCAGTAATAGTTTGAGCGACTATTAAACCGACAAGTCTGTTATTAATTTGAAAGTTTGGAAGTCACGCAAGGAAATACAGAGAATCCAAATGTTTACTTAGGATCTATAATAAGAATAATAATAGACTGACCATCATTGTCACTATCAGGCTTTCTCCCAGAATGCAAATATTTGTACCTGTCTGGCCTCGTGAGGTGAGGGTCTCCAGTTCAATGGCTCCTCCGCCTGGCTGGGACAGAACCTGCTGCTGCAGATGCTTAGAGAGGGCAGCTGTGGAGGTCACCCTCTCTACACGCACTCTAAATACGGGGAGGGAGGGGATAAAAAAATACCATGTTATACGTAAACCTTTTAACGAGTTCATAAAACAGTATATATCGCTGTTGAAGCAAGTAAGGGAAAACGCAGCTGTCTTGTCGTGTCGTCGCCTTCCTTTTTTCATCAGCCGTCGTAACTATGACAACCACAGACGCTTTCGACTCGATAGCGAGGATATGAATACGAAGATTGACACATCAGAGGTTTTGCAGAGAAGCTAAGTTAACGAATGTTGATGTTGCCGTTAGCTAACGCTACTTACCGTATTCTCAGGTTCTTGATAGCATCCCGGGAACGATACACAGCTTCACCGGTATCCGTGTTCCAAATGTCAGCCATTAAGCTAACACTTAGCAGGTAAAACACTCAAACGCTGTTGGTTTGAATTGTCCTCAGTGGGTTGCTAAGCTGGCAAAAAGCCACTTTTCTTTTTATTTTGTGCTTCTGGAACAACCAACCACACACAATGTATTTGCTAACTGCTCGCAAAGTTTGCAAAAGTAAACAACAAGAGAAAACGGTTTAAAATTCTTCTTTTTCTTCGTCTGCTTCTTCTTCTTCTTTGAATAGTGGTAGATTAGAAAACGATTGAGGCACATTGCGCCACCTACCGCACCTTAGCGCTAGGACGTTTTTATCATTTCAAGATAATATAATATAGTTTTTTCCACACTAAATGACATGCACAGCACAATTATTTAAACTGACACACAGAGAGCAAAACCTATTCTCATGTCTCCAAAAGTCTAAACACATTTTCTGCTTTACACACATTTTGCAATTGAAAATGACACTTTTTAAATGCACTGAACATGGTTCTCTGCATAAGACACAACAATCTGACATAAAGTCACATGTTTTTTCAAAACAGTGCCATTCAAAATGACACTACAAGAGCTAATTGGCCAACACATGTGCCACCTGGCCAAACACTTCAACGGTTAATTGTCAACACTTCAATCAGGATATAAGCACTATGAAAAGACCACAGATGAGCACCGTTTTTACAACAACGATGGAAGACATTGCAGAGGAGGGAGGTTTTAGGGAGGTTAAAACCTGCCTCATCCACAAAAAGCAGCCCATGACATCTGCCTCCAGCTCCATCACTCTCTGGACAAGACAAAACCAACGCAGCACAGCAGGCCCATGCACAGCACTGCAGCATGCACTTCCAGATTCCGTACAAATTATACTATAGCTTACCTGCACGTAGTCATATTGCTGTTGTTTCACACGTTCACTGTTTCTTTCAAAAGGGACTCTGTTTCGGATTCTGTTGCGGGAAAGTACATGACATAAAACAGAAATGCTCACATTGTGTAGGTTTTGAAAGGTGGTGTCATCCTCAGTTATGCACTGCTGTATTTCTCGTAGCCTTATGGAATCATTTGCAGTCACCATGTTGACTATATGGGTCTCTTGCTCTGCAGTGAACATTCTTCCTCTGCCCCCTGCCTCCAGATCTGGACGTATAGCAATTCTGTAAAGTAACAATTTCAGTATTTTGACCCGTATGGTATTGTTGTGTGTCTCATTAGAGTATTGCAGTGCTACAAAACTTTCAATGTGGTGGCCTGCTTTTGCACTCCGCTTCCTGACTAAATCATAAAGAAAGTTATTTTAAATATGAACCAAAAATACATTAAGTGAATACACATAATTCCTACCAACAAAACAAAGAAATGATTTGTAACAAAACAGAAAATAAAAAAAATCATCAAAATATACCAAAAGTAGCCATTATGCAGAATGGCTCATTTTATTTATTATGCAATACATACATCGGATTGGGCCCCTCTTCTCAGTATTTTTTATCCCCGCCTGATTGGGCATACGTTTGTCACGTGACAATCAGGGATTTTCAACTTCCGCTGACGCGCCTCCTTCGGGCGCAGGATCCCGTCGCCGTCATCGCGGGGCCAATCAGGCCGCCTGGCGGGTTCTGAATTGTTGTGGTGACCTGTCACACACTTTAGTGTAACATTATAACGTTACTGTGTTGTTACAGCATGGCGTCGTTTGTGACTGAAGTGCTCGCCAGCTCTGGCAAACTGGAGAAAGAGGACCTGTCCGGTAAAATTAGCAAAATGTCTCGCAAAGTGGAAGATACGAAGGTAAATCTACTAGCTAGCACAGCATTAGCTACGTTAGCCTAACGTTAAGTAAAGTTTGAAGCAACGTTAGCAGTTAGCGTTAACAAATGAACGGCGTGAAATCTTTAGAGCAAATCTTTGGCGGTGCTCAGTGAAATAACATGCAGCTACAAATAGACATTTAACGTTACATTAGCTTACGTTAAGTTACTATCCAGCTATTTTCATTTAGTGCATTTCCACGAGCAAGTCTGTGGCTACGTGGCTCTGCTACGTCCAATTAAACGAGCGTTACCGCTATTTGAATCCTCGAGAAAAGAGCATTTAGCGTTACTCGTGTTACGTTCCTGTCCTGAAGTGTTATTATTAATATTATTTAACATATTATTTTGCATAGTATTTTTTGAGTGACTACTCCCTCCAACGCCTTGTGCACAAGTTTTACATGTGAACGTTGTCATGGTGACGTTTATAAAGTGTAGTACCCCTTTGAGGGTCGTTATGGATTTGATGGTGGTTATGCATGTTATGGAGAGGAGTTGTGCTACAACTGGTCAACGGAGCCATCATTCTGTTCTTTCAAATGCAATGTTTTTTTGCTATTCTTTATTACAGTGTCCTCAATTAAATGCGTGATTTATTGTTGTTAAAGTTATATTGTTGCTCTCGGTTCTGTTTTTTGACACATAACTGAATTGGTTATTATATTATTTTAATATACTTACAGCTATTCCCCAATGTTTGCTTTGAAAATTAAAAAAAACCCACACAAACCAATTCTCTTGGCCTGAAGCAAAAGGTCCATCTCGCTACAATCAATCTCATAACTCTCTTTACTTTGTTTCTTTTAAATAGGAAGAAGTATGTGACATGATGAACAAGCGGTACAGTGACTTCCTCCCTAGTCTCCAAGGATCAGAGGAGCTAATGGTACAGGTTGATGAGGTTTCCAAAGAAATGGATGGCCTTAAAAACTGCATTGAGTCCGAGGTGAGTCTGAAACTGTCAATCAGTCAGAGTGAGATTGCGGAATGCAGCAGTTGTAGTTGAGGTGTATTTGCAGCAGCCATAGATTTTAACTGGTGTTTGTGTGTGCTGACACAGGTGCAGCAGAACATCCATGTGGCTGTAGCTGAGTATGCAAAGCTGAAGCAGCAGCTGGAGAAAAATACTGTCATCATAACCATGCTTGGGCATCTAAAGGAGGTACATTGTACATGACATTTTGTTTAGTGAAATGTTATTTAACACTTACTATTAATTTCATTACATTAAAATGACCATCAGAAAATTTTAATTTATCTCAGATAGACAGATTGTGGATATTATAAATATATTATATACAAGTCTAGCTCTCTCGAATTACACAAGGAGAGATTCTGGTGTTTTGATCGTCCATATGTTTGAATGTTTCTGCGGATGTAATATCTTCTGTGTGATTCAGTTTCACAGTGCAATGGAGGAGTTCAACAAAGCTTTGCAGGAAAAAAAGTATGTTGATGCGGCCAACGAGTTGGAAAGAGTAAGAGTTCTCCATTTTACGTCTACTCAACCGTACCTCAACTCTGTACTCGGGCTGATTTATATCCTTCTTTATGTACAGGACAAATCTTGTAACTGTCTGTCAGCTGCTATTAGCACATGAAAGCTGCTATTAGCACATGAACGTACACCATCACTTATAACCCTAGAGATTTTTATATATATATAAATGAATGCGTAAGTATCATGATTGATACTGATTTGACAGATTTAAATTTTTCTAGGCAAGAGCCGGCGTGGATTCACTGAAGGGCTGGAAGAGCTCCCAATTGCCGCTGCTCAGTGCTCTCAGCTCAGAGTTGACGGTGCAGAGAGAGAACTTAATTTACCACCTGGGAGATGAAGGGAAGCGCCTCGTCATCTGGAAATACCGCCATCGAAGGGTAAAGATTTCAGTATTTGGAACCGAAATGGGACCAATGCAATTGCCTGTTCAATACTTTGCTGAATTAGAAGCTTTGTCTAAAAGGACAGCTCTCACCCCAGCCACAGACTGTTTGCCCTCCTCCCCTCTGGGAGGCAGTACAGGGTGCTCCGTTCCCGGACCAGCAGGTTCAGGAACAGCTTCATCCCTGCGGCTGTCATTCTACTAAACTCTGCCCCCCACCCACCCACACACACTTCTCCCTCAGTGACTGTACTTCCCCCCTCCACCCTGGCTTGACTGCCACACCCTCCTCCAGCCACTGAACTTTTGCACCAGAATGTTTTTATTTTTTTATCTCTGTATTAATCGTACTTATACCTACAATACCTCTTACTGTTCATATTGCATATCTATTTCCTACTGTTCATATTGCATATCTATTTCTTACTGTTCATATCTATTTATTCACTTATTACACTTTACATATGCACATACTCATGCACTTTTTGCTATTTTGCACTGCTGGTTGGATGCTAACTGCATTTCGTTGCCTCAGTACTTGTACTCTGTGCAATGACAATAAAGTAGAATCTAATCTAATCTAAAAATAGTAGTGTAATGTGTTTAAGTTGCCTGCCAACTTAACTGAGAATGGCTCTGAGGGAAATACATTAGTAGTGACTGGCACGTGTGTCCACCAGAGCCTGCGGGTATGAAGTCCTTCCTGAAGGTGGAACTGAACCTGAGCCATGCCTGCAGTAAGGACAGTGAAGCGAAGCCACCTGCTCTGCTGTGCTGCGTCCTGCAAGCTCTGGCCATCCAGGGAGACCTTCAACACAAGATCAAACTCTTCAGTAAGAGCTTTGTTAAACATGCAGTACTGTCATAGTCTGTTTATATTGCATATTTCATACCGTGCACACACTGGTCGGGGTTAAGTTTTGTTTTTTTTGCAAAGTGGAAAACTGTAACTGATCAGTGCTCTGTGGTGGACAATGTATGAACGCATATCTTTTGCATAACCGCACTTTGTGTAACTTAACAACTGATGTGGGCATTGCTCCGTTTAATCCATCAATCTCTCTCAGGCCCAATGCATCCAGGATGAGAACCGGCTCAGTGCTGATTACTGCTGTTATTGATCAGGTCAGGTGCTGCTGAAGACCGTGTTGAAGCCTTTGGTGATGTACCCGTCGCTGTCGGTGAGGGTAGCGGAGCAGCCCGGTGAGGGAACCATCATGGCGTTACAGTGTTTGGAGGAGAGCCACAATGAGAAATCCACTCCCTCGCAAGTCTACAGCAAAGTGCTCCTGGTGCTCAGGACGCTGCACTCACACCTACTTGGTACAGTACAGTCGGGTCCATATAGCAGTGAAAGGTGCCACTTAATGTCACTGTGTAGTAATTGTTGTTATTCTCCAGATGTGTCCATTGGTGATAGAAAGCTCTCGGCTATTTTGGGGGAGCTGATTTGGGAGGAAATTTCCCGATGCATCATTCACGAGTGTCTGATCTACTCCATCCCCACCAACAGCAGCCAGCTGGAGAAGTACAACACTGTATGGACCCAACAGCAGTTTTGTTTAGTGTGATTATGTTCTACGTACAGTAGTCAGTTTTACTAAAAAAAAAATATATATATATATATATATTTTTTTTTTTTTTTGCTGCATGCATTCAAGGTGATCAAGGAAACCGAGGAGTTTGAGAAGTCCCTGAAGGAGATGGAGTATCTGCAGGGAGATTCCACAGAGCTGCTCAAATATGCCAGGGACGTCAACTGCCACTTTGCCACCAAGAAGTGCAAAGATGTCATTGTGGCGGCACGCAAGCTCATGACCTCCAAGATGCACAACACCATCAAAGTATGCAGGTCTTTGTGTTATGTATCAACATTATTGTGTGATTCAAATGTTTGAGGTGGTTCTTAATACGGGGGCATCTGTAGTGACAAGATCTTTACTCTCGAAAAAATCATTCATTCAAAATGACAAAAACGCTATTCACTGTAGTTCACTGCACTCTTCCTTTTACCCCTGTTGTTTGCAAACTGAAAGGGTCTTTCTCCGGATGCTTTTTGTTTGTTTGTTTACTTGTAATCAGTTTCATCATTTCCCTCCCAATCGTCCTCCATCAGATCACGTCGGACTACAACCTGCGTCTGCCCAAGCTGCCTGCTCCGGCGTCGGAGCTGAAGGTGAAGCAAGGGTCCACAAAGGACGAGATAACGATGGAGAACACAAAGCAGCTGTCTGCGTGGAGTCTGTGTCTACCGGCCTGCCGCATCAGCGAGTCAGTGCAGCAGCTGATGGAGCTGGCGCTCGGCACCCTGTGTGAAGCCGTTGGAAGCTCCACACAATGGTACGTTTCAGTACCTGGGGACTCTGCCGTCTTCTGTGGGAGTCCAACGTTCCTAAATGAAGGAGGGTTGAAGCTGATATCCAGTGTTCCTGTTTTCTTTTCAGTGCATTACAACTCTTCTTTACCGTGAGAAACATCTTCCAGCTGTTCTACGATGTCGTCCCGACGTACCACAAGTAAGGGTGTTTCCATCAGATAGCGTAGATGATTAGATCAAACTCATCCTCCTGAAGGTGTGAATAGTTACCTTCTTTGTTTCTTCTCTACCTCTCCACCCAGGGAGAACCTGCTGAAGTTCCCTCACCTGGCGGCCATCCAGCACAACAACTGCATGTACTTGGCCCACCACCTGCTCACCCTGGGCCACCATTTCAGAGCTCACCTTCCACAGCCCCTCAGCGAGGGCATCACAACATTTGTTGACATGGTGCCTGGATTCAGGAAGCTTGGTGAATAAACAGTTCTACTGTAGCAATAGCAAAGCGTGTGCCATCACAATTTAATGCAGAAATGAATCTGCAAAACGATCGTTCTCGGCCGTCGATGGTCAACAGACAACGGGTCACTATTTCTTTTGTGGGCCACCAGCAGGCTAAAGTCCTTTTGCATATAAGAGATGCATAGCTAATCTGCAGAGTGCTTTGAGATGTGCTGAGCTCCCTTTTATTATTTTCCTCCAGGCGCTCAGTGCTTTTTGGCCCAGATGAACGTCCAGAGAGCTGAGCTGCTGGAGAGACTTTCCACCGCTCACAATTTCTGCAACCTGGATGATGAAGACAACTACATAGCAGCCAGCAAAGCAGTAAGACAGGTGAGGGAAAAGGTTGTGAAAATAAAGTGTTTGTTTGTTTGTTGTTAATAATGAGAGTGTATTGAAAAATACACTGCATTGATTTGAGAGGCTGCATTGTGTTTGAATGTTCAAGCGATAATGGTGCTCAATTCATATTCTCATGCAAGCACTGCTTCTAACTCCTTGATCATCCGCCTGTGTGATTGTAGGTCATCCATCAGTTGAAGCAGTTGGGCACAGTGTGGCAGGATGTCCTTCCAGTCAGCATCTATTGTAAGGCCATGGGCAACCTCCTCAACACCGCCATCACCGAAGTCCTTGCCAAAATAATGATGCTGGAGGTTTGTCCTTTTGTGAATTGAAAAACAAAATAGCCCCTCTTTCTGAAGACGGTCTGGGCTTATTACCAATACAAAGGAGTTGATTTGGTAAAATTACAAAGATTTGAAACATTTTTAAATGTTAAACAGGTTAACTATTAAACAGGTCTGGGATTAAGATGAGCATGAGTATGCTGATTTTTATAATTTCGCAGTCCAAAACCCAAAGAATTGGGTGAATGTTGGCTGTGAGATTAACACATTTTATTTTAAAAAGCTAGATAGTTGTTCCACTATACCAAGAAATGGTATACGCATAGCATTGCCGTATTGATTCCTTTCTCATTCTAACCGTCTACAGGATATTTCCTCCGAGGACGGGGAGCACCTGCACACTCTGTGCCAGACCATCGTCGAGGAAGGTCCGCTGGTCTTCATCCCTCTGGCCGAGGAAAACAAGAACAAAAAGTATCAGGAGGAAGTGCCTTTGTATGTGAGGAAGTGGACTACCTTCAAGGAGCTGGTCATTGTGCTGCGGGCCAACCTGCAGGAGATAGTCGACAGGTCAGTATCAATAGGTTAAAGTAAATAAAAACACAGTCAGGGAGTTTTTTTTAAATCTGTGGTTATATTCAGGCTTTTTCTGCTCAACTGTCTTCCAGACTTTAGTTAACTGAGGTTAATTAGTGATCTCCTGTTATGCCCGCTGTTTTATTGGTACATTTGCTCGGCTCAATTCTTAAAGTAATGCTGTGCATCTTTAAAATAAGTTGAAGCGGCTACGGCAAAGGCCCCTCTACGCTCCTCATTTTATAATGCGTCTTCTGTGGTTCCTCTCCACAGGTGGGCTGACGGCAAAGGTCCGCTGGCGTCTGAGTTTTCCAGTTTGGAGTTGAAGAATCTGATCCGTGCCTTGTTTCAGAATACGGAGAGGAGAGCTGTGGCTTTGACCAAAATCAAATAAACACTTGGTGCAAAAGAAGAGACTGCAGCACGTTTTCCTCGGAGAAAAATAAGTTTTATGCCTATGTTCACTTCCATTTTCCCTTGCTGTAACCTATGCATTTACATGTGTGGTCGAACAGATTTTGCCAGAGAACATGGTCGCCCTGCTTGATTGATTGAAACCAGCTTATACCTCAATCTGCGGTATATACGTTCCTTCTCAGTGTCCAGACTGCAATTAGTCCCGCACAGATTCTTTGATCAGAGGCTTCTTTACCCCAGCATCCTCGGCCCTATAGCTTGAGTGGTTTACCACCACAAAGCCCACTGAGGTTGTGTAACCAGCGACCTCCCATCTGTTGACGTTGTTTCTAAGGTTTACTTTGCTACACATTGTTCATCAAACGCATCTGTAGCTCGTCTGTTTTGAGTTGTTTTTTTTAGCTTTAATGCCACTAAAGACCATTTAGTTAAATATACCTTCAACCTAATAAACTGAACTCTTCTGTTATGTATTTATTACTTGTCCAAATAAACCAAAACACACACCTGATTCAGACCTTTTATTCTTGACTGGTGAGTTTAGCAGACAGCCATTTTACATTATTGTTGTGCAATGTGTCCTTCACCATGTGTGAACAAATACTAACGGTAACATGGTTTTATTTTTACACAATAACTGAATAAATGTTTAAGAAATCTTAACGATTTCCTGCATTCACCATTCTGAATGCATGAAATCAATCACATAAGCTGTGCTTCTGTGGAATGCTCTAAACATTCATAGTCCACCAAATGTTTTATCTCTATGATTTGAAGCACCTTTGAACTCATCTTTGCAACACCAGCACACCAAAGTGTTCACTTGCACCTAAGGGACGTGAATGTTATGAGAAGGACACATTCATGCTCCTCAAACCTTGTTGCTTCCCAGGATCAATCAGGGACAATTATGGTTTGAAACTGAAGGAAAACTGATATTTTAGTAAAATTTATTTTTAAACTTTATAGTTTCATGTTCTGTGGAGCTGCAGCCGCAGAGACAGTCACAGCAGAGCGTCCTCGCTGACTGCAGAGCTTCTTCATCGGATCCAACCTGTTGCATGTCTGCAGCAAGGAAGTGGAGTGCTGGCAGCAGCTGTCTTCATCTTAAAGGGTGCTCTAAAGGTATGCTATTTATTTCTATTTTTCACCCTTATAGAAGATGAATCAGTGGTAGATATCTGGATTGTGTTGATAACAATGCTTTAATTTGAGGTGTACATATGTTGGAAGTAATCAACACTGTATTTTATACACAACAAATTAGTAGTTCAAGAGTGTAGTTTTCTGATCTATTAAGAGCCTAAATTAAGTTGTCCATGTGTTATAAACAAGCTGACAATGCACTGTATGTATTTTATTGTTTTGTTTTACTGGTTTGTAATTTCGCAATCCTATTTTTAAGACTCTTTCTTATTTATTTTGTAATTGAATCTTGCGTAATTTTGTGTTGATTATTTTCCCCATTAACTGATTGATTGTTTAATTTATAGAACATCAGAAATGACAATGCTTTCATTTGCACTGCTGTAAGTGGAAGAGTGCCAAGAACGCGATACAAGTAGGAGCGCATCTATTAGCATCATAGCAGTTATTCCTTCCTTATTCATTCATTATCGTTCTATAATAGACTAATATAGTCTTCTACTAAGTCCCTTTGTGTAAAGGTCATTTTAGCTTCCTGCTGTAAAGAGGGGCTCGGTCTGCGTCTTTTGGTATATAAATAGATCTAATTTATGGATCATATTAAGTATGTGTGCACGTCACAGTTTACATTAAAAGTGGAGCATTTTACTATTTTTAGTGACATGAAGGAAGTATGTCTGTAAACATCTTTTCCTTCTTGCCGCTTATGTCTATGTATGGATAAAACTTACACACGTTAGTGGATACTAAATCAAAACTAATCACAGCACTTGGACATGCTGTAAATCCAGGATATTGTGGTAAAAAAAAGAAGACGCCCTAAATCCTGTCCTTCTGATTGGCTCAGAAACTTTACATTTTTTGTATGTTTGTTATTCTTGTGATACAATAATTACTGCACTGTTTAAAAAGAGACATGTGAATTCACCACGGTTCATTTGGATCTGAATAATTCTCTATCTAAGCCTGGCAATTTCTTCTAATCTTTTCAAATCCGTCGTCTTCCATGGTGTTTCTCCAATTCATTTTGAAGATTAGAGTTAATCCCTTCGTGTGTAATACATTGTCGCAGCGACTGGGACACTGGTCACCCCACTTCAGGCGAATGAGACCTCCTGTTACATTACAGGTCATTTAGCAGACGCTTTTATCCAAAGCGATTTACATTACACTTTAAACCCGTGGCTTTTCACATTTTGCCCAGGGAGCAATTAGGCATTAGGTGTCTTGCTCAGGGTCACTTCGACTTGAGACATCTCGTGGGGCAGCCGGGCAATCGAGAGGCTCCACTGGCAGCGACAACATTCCCGCGTCCGCCATCGAGAAGCCGCACGCCGCCAAGAGTCACAAGAAGCGCTGCAAGCTCCTGGGCGACGAGCCCTCGCTGCACGTCACCGCCAGCAACCTGCGGCAACGCTACGTCACCAAGGACGGCGAGTGCAGGGTCAATCTGGGCCCCATCGCGGACAAGAGCCGCTTCATCTGAGACATTTTCACCACGATAGTGGACCTCAGGTTCTGCTGGTTCCTTCTCGTCTTCACTATGTGCTACACTCTCACATGGGTGGCCTTTGGCGGAATGTACTTCTTCGGCGCCTGGTTGCGGGACGACGTTGCGCATGTTCACGACCCAGAGTGGAAGGCATGTTTCCAAAATGTTGACAGTTTCCTCTCTGTCCTGCTGTTTTCGTTGGAGAGCCAGAGGACTATTGGGTACGGCTCCAGGATGGTGACCGCAAACTGCCCCGCGGGTACGATGCTCCTGACGGTCCAGTCCATCCTGGGCTCCATTTTCCGATGCTCTGATGGTGGGCTGCATGTTTGTTAAGATCTCCCGCCCGCAGCAGAGAGCCCAGACGCTGATCTTCAGCAAGCACTGCGTCATATGTGAGCGTGACGAGAAGCTGTGCATGCTCTTCCGCGTCGGAGATTTGAGAGCGAGCCACATGGTGGACGCCAAAATCCGAGCCAAGCTGATCAAATCCAGGCAGACCAAGGAGGGCGAGTTCATCCCACTGGAGCAGTCGGAAATCAACCTGGGCTACGACACCGGGGGGGACAGATTGCTTCTGGTGGAGCCCCAGACCATCACCCACATCATCAACGAAAGCAGCCCATTCTGGGAGTTGGGTTCCGAGCGTTTAAGGAGGGAGACCTTTGAGATCATTGTCATCCTGGAGGGCATCGTGGAAGCATCAGGTGTGTAGAGGACAAATCATAACGTTTTTAAATCCTTTACTGCCCCAAAAGAAGGGTCGGCGAAGGGTTTAATGGCGCAGCTCGTAAAAATACCTTAATCTTAAACTTAATCCTTAGGACAGAGAGATGTTTTGATCTACTCTGACCCTTGTCAATGTGGATGGAACATTATGACATATATATGACATTACATACGCCCTGATGCTAACGCTGTTCTTAAGTTTAGTCAGGTCTCCAATGAAGTGACAGTTGGCTGACCTTCTGATGCTCTGTTGTGATGCAGGTATGACATGCCAGGCCAGGACATCCTACACGGAGGACGAGGTCCTCTGGGGTCACCGCTTTGAGTCTTGCCTTTCCTTGGAGAAAGGGGCTTTTTGTGTGGACTACGGGGCATTTGACAAAACCTTTGAAGTCCAAATGTTGCCACTCAGCGCAAGAGACGGCAAAGAAACGACAGGTTGCGTTTCAGAAACTTGGCTAAAATAAAAGTGCATTTGTACACTAAAGTGGCAATTTTTTAGTTTGAGGAATGTCCGTTCATTCAATAAAGCGAGTAAGTGTTTGTGACTTGTGCGATTCCCCAGGAGAAAAAGATGTATTGCATTTTTTTTATGTATCTAACAATTCTGAAAAAGAAGCTTATTTATCAAAAAAAAGGCTCAAGACTGAGCACAATTTCATTGTTTTTATGGAGAAAGAAATGTTATATCAACAAAGACCGAAATATTTAGTATTAACCATTTAATATAAATGATTACAATCAAACTTCATGAGTATTAATCTCAGGGCTGTCAAAACGTATGTTGTTCTGTCGTATGCATGAGAAGGTTAGCAATGTGTATTTCTTGTGACATTACTAAATACTTTACGTTATGGTTAATCAAAATAAACCTGTTTAACGCCGTTATCTGTGATAAGTAGTGTGGAAAAAAGATCTGAACTCAAGGTCCACTTATGTTTTTGCTTTTCTGGTCTTTTTCATTCCTCCTCTCAACTCCAAAGTTTATCTAAACAGTATCAGTCTGACCACCCAACAATCTATCATTTCCGATATTACTTACGAAAAATATCAGAAACCGAAAACTGACTGAGCAGAAATCGATTAAGATTGACAGGAGTTATTATCATAACCACTTATATTGAAACAATTTGTGTGTTTTATGAATCATCTTTAACTCCAGCTCGATATGTGGCGCCGCATCACCAAAGCTGCGACCCCCCGCCTTCCTAAAACCAAAGAAGAAGAAGTAGCGTCAGAAGAGCAGCATGATGGGATATGAGAGTCCTCCGGCGGCGCGCTGCCGCCATGTCACCTAGAGAGAAACGTTTAACGTTAGCGATTATCCTAGCTCTAGGCGTGGTTAGTCTCGCTCTTTATTTCATTCCTACGTTTCTTTTTGTGAGTTTTCTTCTTGCATTGTTTTGTATTGTGTGTTGCTATCTCAGCGGGGAACTATTTCCCGCCAGGTTAGGCCTCAATCCCCGAGCTGGGGTGAACCTACCACCCGCGCTGCGGCGCTGGTTGTGGGGTTGGTGGGGGACCGGCGTGTCGGTGGCCTCGCGTGGGAGAACCAAGAGCGGCAGAAACAAAACCGAGCTCCGGGACGCGGAGGGAAACTTTAGAGAAAGGCTCGTTGAAACTGGGATTTATCGGAGGGAATCCTTGGCAAGTGACTCCTTTCTTTTCAGCCCTCGGGATTTCCTCATGGGGAGTTACATCGGAAAACCCGAAGGTCCAACCGCCGACTCCGTGAGGCCGAGAGCGGGTAGAAATCCCCGAGAGCAGCTGCGGGAGAAACTGTCCCGACCCAACCATGCTGTCTACACCCCAAACAGGAGGCTGTCATTTGCTGGGTAAGTCGATTTGATAACCAAACCACGTTGCCGTTGCGCCCAGAAGTTAACGTTAAATGCTTTTACATGAATTATTAACTTCAAAAGTCTTATGAAGTATCCGCATCAACTCAATCGTTAAGTCGAGTAAGACCCTATACTGGGTATTGTGCAGACGCAGACAATTCTAGAAGCGTTATTGTCAAAATGCATCTTTTGCATTATATCATTGCTATCTTTTCCAGGGAGCCGCTGGGCACAGCAGGCAGATTCACCATCACCCCCCAGCGACACTATCCCTTGCAGCAGCCAGGTGTCTCCTCGGTGGGAGTCCTGCCTCCCGTCAGGTGGGATGGCTTCAGGAAGAAGAACATCCTCAGCCCCCGTAACTCGCCGGCCGCCCTCAGCCCCGTTATGGTGAAGATCGCCCGGCCGGACCACCACAGCTCCCCCAGGTCTCTACATTCATGGCGACACCTCGTCTGCCATCATACGAGTTACACTGTTATTAAGATGTTGTCCTTAACTGTCCATTTCCAAAGTATGCTTTCAGAACTTGTGATTACTTTCCATGTTCTGCCTTTAAGCTCTTTGTGTTTAGTGTCTCTGACACTGTGTCCGCTAAGGTTTGGTACATTGCTGGTGATTGATGTCCAGTGCTTAACAAAAGCCTAATGTGTCAACTGTGCTGCTGTTGCGTTGCTGTTTGAATGAACAAACTTTGACCAGTGCATTTTTTACTTCTCCTCTATTTTCTTGTTTTTAGTTTAAACCAGAGTTGTGCAGGGCTCCCCATGGCCCCAGTGGACCCCTGCTCCAGAGAAAGCGTGCTCAAGGTGCTGAAGGAAAGCCGCAAGAGAGAGGTGGAAGATGAAGACAAAAGCTTCACAACTGAGCAGAAAAGCAAAAGAAGGTACAAAGCTAAAATCAGATTCTGGCGTCATCAAACTAAATACCGTTTGACAGTATAAATCCCGTCAGTCTTGTTATCAAGTTGACAGAAGAGTAGCCCACAGGGGGCTTGTAAAACCTTCATACATCTTTCTTGTATCATCTATTATCTCTTATGCACAAAAAAATATAATATAAATCCGTGGCATAGATTATGCTTTAAAACTTACCGCTGTGCAGGAGGTTCTTTCGCTGATGTGTCGAGCATGCTTCCCATATAGCACTTTTCAATCTTGCATATGCAATAAATAATAAATGGATTTCTAGTTAAATGCTTTGCTCTGTATGCCTCATTGTTGTGTCCGCATGATGCCGTAGGCTACATTATTAAGGAACATGTCTGAATGTCTTGATGTAACAGATTGAGATGGCAACCTCTCACATGTCTCAAAAAAAGGCTTTACATTTTTCAGCTTTCCTGTTGTACATGCATCAATATATTCTAACTGAGTAGTGGTCTGCACCTTGTTCACGCATGCGCTCCATTGAGGTGTTCTATTCTCCTTTCCCAAGGCGTAATGACAGCGGAGGAAGTACACATTCTGCTTTTGAGACACTTCTGCCCAACGGGGCGCCGTCACAGCTGGTCCCCAAGTGAGTTTAATTTTTCTATGGCAGCGGTGGTTTTACTGACTGTATTTGGGGCAGCCTTAATGTAGGTGGAAATGGTTTTCCCCCCTCAGGCCAGGAAACCTGAAAAGAGGGGTACCCTCCCTGGCGGAAGATTCCATCATGAAGAGGTCTCGCACGTCCTCCATCAGCTCTGGCAGTGGGGTCCACGCCCCAAGAGGAACCCCCGGCACAAGGAGGAACCCTATCCAGAGCTCCTACAGTTCTTCCCTCGGCCTCAGCCAGGTAACGACTACGTGTGGTTCCAGTCGACACGGCCCTGCACACACAGAGGGGACGTGTTAAGCTTAACCTCCTTGTTTTCAATCGCAGCGGAAGAAGCGGTCAGCACCCAGCTCCCCCCTGCCCAGCCCCGGATCGTCCCGCCCGCAGACTCCAGAGGGAGTTTCTAAGAGACCCAGGTACGTCTCTGCCGGATCCCCGCTAGTCATCCAAGCACTGAAACTAATTTAGCAGTTTGTAACTTGTGGTTTCATTGCCAGAGAGGACAACGGGCCGTCTCCGCGTGCAGCCTCTTCACTGAGGTCAGACCAGACGGCCTCAGACAAGGCACCTGTGACTTGTAAGTCCTGTTTATCGCCAAAGGCAAACGACCTCCTCGAGCTTAGTAGTATAGCTCTGCTGAAGAAGCAGTACTGTTAATATTAGTATTTTTTTCAATAGTTAAAGCTGCATGAAGTTACTTTACCCAGTGGCTATTACAGGCTACTTTATTTGAACTAGTAATTTCATATCCCTTAAAAACAAATGGATAAATAGATCTGTGCCCCTTCTCGACCCAGTTATGCATCACGTTTTCCAGCATGGAGCTAACCTGTGAAACGCTTAACCTGATTAACAGCAGTATCCCCGTGTTAAGCTGTTGACGCAAGAGTCTTATATCAGCAATCTCCTGCGAGTTCAACATGGTACCAAAAGCCAGGAATGCAGTGATCAGACTAAACAATTATTCAGATTCCTGAAGGTCGTGGTTATGGTGGTCGGCTTTTCACATCTGGACCTTGCATTTTTTTTTTTTTTCTTGAAAGAAATCGTGCTGGACTTTTTGCCTCAATTGAATACATTGTTTTCTAGAGCACCAAGTTCTTCGTAGCCTTATAACTCGGCTCTCAAAGTGCACCAGATTGATTCAATTTGATTCAATTTTCTTCCGTCACAAACATCTTGTGGGAATCGCATCCTAGTTATATTTATCTTCATATCAAAAATCCCAGGATCTTAACTTTAATCCCTGGTATCGAAACCTGGTATTGTAAGTAGTATTACGTTTGAATTCCCCCCCCATCATGACAACACTGGAGCTGGTTGCATAGAATTAGACACTATGTTACGCCTTTTTAGTCTGATTTAGTTTCATTGTCCTTCTTGTACCACGATGTTGCAGCCAAACTGACTCCGGTACCCAAGGTCCCGTTGACTACCTCAGCTGACTCCACTGGGAGCGGTGGAAAGAGGAAACGGAAGATCCAGCTTGTGTCCAGCAACCGGGATGACCATATATCTCTGGTAAGGAGTGGAGCATCGCCTTTCCATGTAGTCCTGTGTCACCGTGACCTAGAGTTCTCTTCTCAAGTCTGTGTTCACTGATTTGCAGCCCCCGCCTCCGGAGCTGGGCTACACCATCACTGTGAAAGACCTGGATGAAGAGAAGAAAGCTGCCCTCAGCAAGATCCAGAAGGTCCTGGAGACGCCCGGTGAGTGGGAGGGGCCACAGCAATGCACCAGTCAACACTTCTTTTGCACTTTTTGAGACATGCTGCACTGTTAGCCCGCATTCACACATTCAGACTCATTGGAAATGTAGCTTTGAGAAAATGTCTTTCTGCTTCCGGAGGAAACTCGAGACTCAAAGGTTTATGTATTTAGTGTTGCAAAGCAGCTGCTTGTTTTGAAGATGTCTAAGCCAGTTTTCTTTTTTCTTTTTTTTACTGGTATGTGTGGGCCATTACACCTGACCTTCCTTTTGATTTTTGTAATTGGTCAGCTCCTGAGCCAGAGAAGTCCACCGCCCCACCGGCAGCCACCCTTGCCTCCCAGCTGGGCACCTCTTACAGCTCCACCACCCTCAGCAGCCTGCTGGCAGCTCCTCTGCCCACAGCCTCCAGCTCTGCCATCCCAGTCATCAACCTGGACCCCAGCCCGATCAGCAGCGCCAGCACGACCCCCGCAACCTCTAACCCGCTGCTGGAGGCCCTGAAGATGAAGATCAGTATTCCGTCAAGCGCTACATCTGCTGCCAACACTGCCACAGGTACAACCACTGAACTGAGGTTGATGGCATCTGTGGAATACAGGCGTCTTTTGGAGTTACCTTATAGGAGATTTGACTTCAGACATTTTTAATCCAGTATTAGAAAACGGTTGACTTGAGACAGAGCTCAAAACTACAGAGTAGTAATGTACTGATCGTACATTTGTTTTGTGTCTGTAGTGTCTGCAACATCAACTCCGGTGCTGTCCGGGGGCTTAACCCTCAAGGTTTCTACTCCGGTGGCGACCCCGCAGCTCCCTCCGGCCTCCCATTCCTCTTCTGCCTTCGCCCATGTGCTGGGTCAGGTCTCCAAGGCTTCCGGCGGCGCTCCACCTGTGACGGGATCAAACCTGTTTGGATTAGCGAGTCCGATCAGCACCCCTGCTGCTTCTTCACCTTCTTACTCGGCTGCCGCTGCGGTCACCGCCCCAGCCGGTAGCTTGGCGTCCGTCAGCAGCGCCAACCCTCTGCTGGCTTCAGGGTTCAAGCCAATTTTTTCTGTCACCGCCGCCAATACCACCACCACCTCCGCAGCTACGTCAGCCACTGAGAGCAAACCTCCCGCCAGTAATTTCACGCCCATCTTTGGCGCTGGCGCAGCGGGCGCCGGCTTTGGACAGCCTCCCCCCTACACCACCACGAACCCGGCTTCTACGCTGTCTTTGAGTAGTGCGTCCTCGATGTTTGGTGGCTCTACAAGCAGCACCGTCGTTACATCATCCGGTTTCCCCGGCATGACCAGTCTCCCCACTTCCGCAGCCACCACTGGCTCCATCACCGCCACTCAGCCCGCAGCCCAGCCAGCCGTGAAATCCCTCTTCGGCAACTGGTCGGCACCATCCACGACGAGCTCCAGCTCGGCCCCGTCGCAGGCGCCCAGTACAGGGAGCCCGTTCCAGTTTGGAGCCGCTACCACCACGACCGCGGCTCCCCCCGCTGCTGCCGCTACCACGACCTCCAGCAACGGCGCCTTCTCTTTCGGTGCTGCACAGCAAGACCCTCAAGCAGCAAACCAGAAGGCGTTTCCCTTTGCTCATTCGGCGCCCGGCCAGAAAACCACCACTACATTTGGAGGTTTCGCCATGGCGAGCACGGCCTCCACCACTGCTGGCGCCACCAGCCAGTCCAACTTCTCCTTTGGAAAGCAGTCGTTTCAAGCAACTCAGGCTACGCCGGTGACCTTCGGCTCCTCAGCGGCGCCCGCTACGCAGGCGACCTTCGGCTCCTCGGCACAGTCCACCTTCGGTTCTTCAGCGGCACCCGCTGCGCAGGCGACCTTCGGTTCTTCAGCAGCGCCCGCTACGCAGGCGACCTTCGGCTCCTCGGCACAGTCCACCTTCGGTTCTTCAGCGACACCCGCTGCGCAGGCGACCTTCGGTTCTTCAGCGGCGCCCGCTGCGCAGGCGACGTTCGGTTCTTCAGCGGCGCCCGCTGCGCAGGCGACCTTCGGTTCTTCAGCGGCGCCCGCTGCGCAGGCGACCTTCGGTTCTTCAGCGGTGCCCGCTACGCAGGCGACCTTCGGCTCCTCGGCACAGTCCACCTTCGGCTCCTCAGCGGCACCCGCTGCGCAGGCGACCTTTGGCTCCTCAGCGCAGTCCACCTTCGGCTCCGCGACGGCGGCACCAAAACAGTTCTCCTTCGGAGGCAGCGGGGCAGCCTCATCCACTCCTGCTCCCAACACCGCCCCCCCTCCTTTCCCTTTCGGAGCAGCCGCTGTCACCACAACCAAACCAGCGTTTGGCGCCAGCTCTGCTGGTTTCGCTTTTGGTGTCACCACGGCTCCCTCGGCCGCAGCCTCTGCTGCGCCGAGCTTTGGTGCAACAAGCCAGACTCAGAGCGCCCCCTCGGCCACCTTCGCATTCGGCAGTGCTGCTCCTCAGCTGGCGCCCGCCGGCCCCGCCCAGCCAGCCCCCGGTGGGTTTAACTTCGGTGCTGCTATGCCATGCCCCCAGTTTGGAACCCCGGTCCCCAATAATCCGGCACCACAGATGGGAGGCTTCAACTTTGGTGCTGCTGCTGCTACTGACAAACCAGCTTTTGGTAAGCACTGTCTATTGTTGTTGCTTATTTTATCATGTTAACTGAGCTACAGGGAGATTTGGGATTTCACAGCAAAACCTACACTCTGATTTTGAGACACAATTATGGATCATTTATGCCTCATAGAATCCCTCCTGTGGTCTAAAATATAGATCCCATATAGCACAGCTTTTATTTCATTTGATAGTTAATTACATTGTTGGAATTATTATTTAAGTTGTCCACTGTTTTCCCTGCAGGGACGTCTACCCCATCCTTCGGCCAGAGTGCTGTTTCTGCTGCAGGTCCAATTCCCTTTGGCAGCCCTGGAACTCCAGTACAAAGCTTCAACGCTGTTCCTTTTGGTAAGTCATCCATGCGTACCCCTTTTCCTTTTTTTTAATAGGACTTGTCGTTCGTGAGCTGAGCCGTGATCAAACCGAACGGCCCGGTAACACAACAATGTGTTTTTCTACGGCGGGCTAAAGGCCGTTGGGGATTTAGGAGAAGCTGTTAGATGACTTGTTATGGTTTTCACTACACGGGCTAAACCTTCCCCTTTGGTTATAAACTCCTAAACTTCTTTTTAAGAAATAATACTACGGGCAATCATTTTAGTTGTGAGAAATGACGTGTACGATGTCTTTTCTATCCTCAGGGTCCCCGGCGGCTCCCTCCTTCTCAATCGGAGCGGGATCGAAGCCATCCGGCGCTCGCCAGAGGCTGCAGGCGCGGAGGCAACACAACAGGAAGAAGTAGCCCGCCGCATGCGTCCAGCGCCGCTTTCAGAGGACTTCAGCCGTCGCCGCTACGGTTAATCAGGCTCCTATTGCTCTGTTCTAAGTCCCAATACATCGTGCCCTCCGCTTCCTTCCCCCTTCCTCCCCGGTGGGGCGTGCTGCCCCAAAACGTTGGCTGAGGAGTTAGGAAGAGCACACAGGTTTTTGAGTTGATGCCGCCTGGGTGACCCAGAGAGGGAACGTAGCAGTGAGGAGACCGGATCCATAACGATGTACTGTACTTGAAGGGGAGAAAAGACAACTCGATGGTTTAATTTTGAACAAAAGCATATCCAAAGTTTTTTTTCTTTTTTTTTTTTCTTTATAGTTTATTGGTTTGTCTTAAGGAGAATGTTGAGACATGGAGATCGTGGCTCAGACATTTATTTTTTTACGTGAAGCGCTCACTGGTTTGTATATTACAGAACATTTTGAGTGCATTATCTGAACGAGTCTGAATGGTGTGACATGTACAGTTGATTCAGATAAGGTACACAACACTGCAGTGTGAAGTTCTGAGACATTTGCATTTTAAATTATTTTTTTAATTGGCTCTCTGACCCTGTAAGTGAATGATGTGTTCCTGCACTTAAAGGGCGACTTTGTTAATGTCTTAATATAGTTGGCGCGCAGACTTGTGTAATTTTTTTTTTTTTCACACTGTCATTATAAGCATTCCCAGAGTCCTCACAGACGGCCGTGTGTGTGTGTGTGTTTTTTTTTTTTTTAATCTATAAAGTGGTTGCCAACACTGATTTAATTAGCAGGTCAGTATGTGATAAGGATCACTACTCTTAACTTGTGCTGACTAAACCAAAGCCAATTGTTCAACTTCACGTCTGTGAAAAGAATGTGATCTTTATCTCCTCTTTTAATCCTTGAGATGTTTGTGCCAGACTACCTCTTTACTCCAGGCACTGAATCCGTGTTACTTCGCTGAAAAATAAGTCTGACTTGATCGATTTAATCCAATTAGATTTTACTTTAACTGCTGTTAATACAGATGTACCTTAATAAATCCAATTAGTTTTTTTGTTTTTTTTTAACTGTCGTCGCGCAAACATTAGCCTCACTTCTGTAAAATTTCTATTAAGTTATTGCTAAATATTAACCATTTACAAAAATAGTCTGTTTATGATACAGGGATTGTTTTCTTTTTGTAGTCGGTAATGTCTTTCATTTGCACCATGAGTTACAGGATATTGTCCAACCAACACGTCAGTAAACCATTAATGTCGGCCGTCAGTTATTTTATCAAAATTATTTTTGTTCTTAATCACCTTTTGCCCAAAGTGAGCAGTATCTGATGCAGGTTTTTGATCGTGAATTCTGAATTAATAAACAAATTCGGACATGGAACTACAAAAAACTTTAAGATCCCATTTTTATACTTTTTGTCTCAATGATGTCCACAATTGTATTAGTTGATATACATAATATAGTTTACTTTTTAGTGCTATTAAATACAAATGGTCAAAAGTGCAATATGTCTGTTGACAAAGGCAAATGTTTTTCTGGGATTTCAAATTTTAGATTTCTAGAGATTCTTGAGCAGCTTTTTGCATTCATTGTTGAGGTAACCATTAACTACACACTCAATCTTTATTTTAGTAACACAGTAAATATATAATTAAATGTAACATTGTTTCCTCTGAATCAATCACATGCTCAAACTGTTTAGTAGTCACAATACATTATCTAGAATAAAATAGTTCAATATATGGTAAGGCATAGAGACATGGGAATAAAAACTAAAAAGTGTTAGAATAAGCTATAACCATCTAAAAAATGTAATCAAAAAGTAAAAACTACACGTTAAATGTAATTGATTACAATTACATAACTGCACAAGGCAAACAAAAATAACTCCCTTACAGCAGTCTAATTACAGCATGTAGCCTGGGATTCAATTAATCAGGTACTGCTGCATCCTGATCAGTAAATGTCCTCTTCTCATTCAGGGCTTTAACCCTCCAGTCCACTAAGTTGCGCTGGAGGACGATTTAACCAACAAGGAAGAAAACATGTAGAGCTTGGCGCATGCGCAGTTCCCTCAGATGCGCATTGTAGCCAAGTAAGACGTTAGCAGTTTACAAATACGTGGCATAAAACTTTAGACATGGAATTTGCCGCACTGTTCGCCGTAACTCTGTTACTGGGTGCACTGGTTATTCTGGTTGCACTGGCGGTGGGCAAACGGAAAGAAGAAATAAGAGAAGAAATAGAGCAGGCGTCGGAATTTGCCGGTAAGAGACATTGTTACGTTAGCTAACGTAACTCTAGCCGGAGCGGTGAGTCACCGTCTCCCGAGTCTCACCGCTCCTGTGGTCTTTGACGCCTCGACACACGCACACGCAGGTGCGTTGGTTCGTAACGAGTGCGAGCACCGGCTGATGTGGCGTCACCTGCGCCTTCACATGGACTTACGAAGCGACAAACTAAAGGAACTTTAAAGCGACTGTCACCTGTCGTTGGCCAATCAGCGAAGGTTACACTGACGACCAGACCAATGGGACGGCCGCTCAGTGTCAAGTCGTTTACTATTAATTAATGTCACGTTTAGCGGAAATTGAATAATGACCACTGTGTTTCACCACCGCCACTCTAAGTCCCCTTCTCAAATATATGCTGTTTTCCTTGAAGGGTTTGTTTAGTACAGATTAAACCAAACTGTGCACAATGGTTCAACACGAATGACAATCAAAAGGCAGAAAGAGACATATTGTTGCAGTAGGATCATTACGCTGATGCAACAATATTATAAAAGATGTTATTGTCTGATCTTATCATCCATATTACTTCTTTAGATGTTTACTGTTTTTTTACAGATGCTAGAAGATCTAAAATACATGTCATCGCTACGTCCATCACCTACTGTGTGTTGTCCTGTGCCTCGGAGACCTGCCGCAATAATGACGAGACTTTAGTGCAGTGCAATTCAGTTGTCTTGTTAGTTCAAATGTTTTTGTGCCATCGCGCCCTGTTTTTGTCTTTCAGCCGTGGGCAGCGTCGCGAAGGGCCCTACATCCAAGAAACCGAAGCAGGAGAAACCGCGGACCCGCAAAGATAAAGCTGCACAGCACACCTTTAGTCACCCGCTGTTGGCAGCCTCGCTGAAGGTAAAGTGGAGCACCCGATGCCGCTGTAAAAAACACACGTTCACTCAGCGTAAGAGCCTCAGAGCACGGCGAGGATTGTTGGTCATGTAAATGTTTATTGACGTAAAAAAAATCAGCAGTAACAAATATCGTCTCCCTTCAGGCTCCTCCTGCAAAGTCGATCTTTTAAAACACAAGTTGGTTTGTGCTCATGACGCTTTTCAGAGCCACAGCGCGAATGTGACGTGCCTGGATTTCAGTAGTAACGGGAAGTACCTGGCGTCGTGCGCCGAAGACCGCACCGTCCGCATCTGGAGCACCAAAGACTTCCTGGATCGGGAACACAAGTGCCTGAGGGCCAACGTGGATCTGGATTCCGCCACATTAGTCCGCTTCAGCCCGGACTCCAGGTCTGTCTCCCTCCCTCTCCCTCTCCCTCTCTCTCTTACTCATATTGTACTCGTGCAGAGCCTCCTTGACATGAAGCATTATCTATCTAACTTCAAACTAACCATCATCATCAAAACAACTTCAGCTACTTTGATTTATCATGTTGTTCCTCTTTGCGTCTTTGAAAGGGATTATCTCTGACAACTACTCCCCAAATCATTATATATATATATATATATATATATATAAATATATATATAATTATAACCAAAACAGAATTTTGCATTTATTAAACAGAAATGGCGCTGGTTTCATCTTGAGGTATTTTTTTGTATATAGAAGCATGATAATCACAACTCTCTCCTTTTTCTCTGCAGGGCGTTTATCACTTGGTTGTCCAATGGAGATACAATCCGAATCTTCAAAATGATCAAAAAGGAGGACGGCACATTATCCTTCAAAGCATCTTCAGAGGACTTCCCACAGAAACACAAAGCCCCCATCCTCAACATAGGCATTGCAGAGACAGGTACAAACCAAATGTATTTTAAAGGGATGGATCGAGTCCTCTCTAAAGGAAAACCAAAGCTGTTATCAGCTATGATCTTGAAGGCAATATTACTTTGCAGAAAATAAGAATTCTGCATCATTCGGATGCTTTGGCTCTGTAATAGTGTGAATAGTTTAGATTCACCAATTGCCTGTTGGAAATGAATGTCTGCCAGCAAGGTAAAGCAATGACATTATTGTAAATATAGCTGTGCTGTCATTCTTTCCATAGCTCACGTCTACATATGACTGAGCCGCCAGCTGACAACACGACTTCTTTTTAACATTAATGCAATGTTTCCAACCATTCTAAAACACGCGCAATGCCAACAACATCCGATTCTGTGTTCCCTCCCCGCAGGCAAGTTCATAATGAGCGCCTCCACCGACACCAGCATCCACATCTGGGACCTGAAAGGAGACGTGCTGGCCTCAATCAACACCAACCAGATTACCACCTCTTACGCGTGCGTCTCCCCATGTGGCAGGTCAGTCTTTGTCATCTCAACAAAGTAATTTTTTTTAAGACTCTGTGGTTTTTAAAAAGGTCTAGTAGTGATTGATGTACTAATGTTTGAATTCTTTGATGTTGACCAATTTTTCCTTTTTTTTTTTTTTTTTTTACTTGATTCATAAAATACTTCATACTCCGACTCACTGCATTTTGAGTATTCTGGAAAACCTATTTTTTAAAAGTCATTATTTTAGCTGGGAAACCGCCACAAAGCCCTTGTGTTCTCGTGGGATTTCTCCCGCTGATCTTTGTGTGATGATGTAACTGCGGGCTTCTCAGGTTCGTAGCGTCCTGTGGCTTCACTCCTGACGTGAAGGTGTGGGAGGTTTGCTTCGGGAAGGGAGGAGAATTCAAAGAGGTGGCGCGAGCGTTCGACCTAAAGGGCCACTCGGCGGGAGTTCACTCATTCGCCTTCTCCAATGACTCGAGCAGGTAAAGGCAAGATTAAAAAGTAGCAGTACTCACTCATATACATATATGACATTAGATCCACCTGACAAATATCTCAAATTACTGTAGATTTGTCTGGTAACGGGGAAACGGGTAGCTTGTCTGTGTACTAGTAGCACCTTTCAAATGTATACCCTGTATAATAAAATGTTTTTACACTTTTCCATTTTTTTAAAGAACCAATTTATATCCTGAGAATTATAAATAAGCTTCTGAATTGACCGGCTGATTGCAAATAAATCAAAGAATCTCTTTTAGCGTATTCTTTCCTTTTCATCCATCAGAATGGTGACCGTCTCCAAAGACGGTACGTGGAAGCTGTGGGACACGGATGTGGAGTACAAAAAGCAGCAAGACCCGTACCTTCTGAAGACCGTGCCCTGCACGTCGTCCGAGGGCAGCCGGGTGGCCCTGTCCCCTGACGGCCGGGTGGTGGCCATCAGTGACGGCTGTAACGTGGCCATGTACGGCGCCGCCAGCGGCCAGCTGGAGGAGGAGATGCACGGCGTCCACAGCGAGAACATCAACGACCTCCGATTTGACATTACCGGGCGCTTGTTGGCGTGCAGCGGCGACAAGGCCATCCGAGTGTTTCACAACGCCCCGGGCTACCGGGCGGCCATCAGAGACATGAAGGACATGCTGAAGAAGGCCCAGAACGAGGCCATGAAGCAGAGGCTGCAGCAGCAGATCAGTGAGGCTCAGAGATCCCTGGACAATGTGCAGGCTGCTCCGGTCGAATAAAAGAAACCCAAGAAAGGACTCTGATGGCATCGGACTGACTGCTGATCCATTTGGCAGCCTCAACTCTGCTGCTCAATGATCTGTTCCGGGAATAATTAGATTTTGCATGCTGTTTTAATAAAGAATATCTTTTTATGGAACAATTGAAGTGTATTTTTGTCCTGTTGCATTTCCAATAAGTGTTTTCTCTTTTGTCTGTTTTTTTCAATACAGAACAGAATATCCGATGAGTTAAAATAACTTTGGTGTTTGTTGGAAAATAACAGCGCCTGGCTGAAAAAAAAATACCAATAGCTTCATCCGTTTATTTTTTTTATAAAACTGTATGTGCCTTTTAAAAGCCCTTTTTAGAATTACAAATTTTACATATGTGTGTATATATAAAATAGAAATAGAATCAAATGATGAAATACAACAAAGTATATTACAGTAGCACTAGAAGACTCAAGTTCTGTAGTTGTATCATTATTAGTATTAGTCTTCACATATTTCTGTAAAACAATTTCTCTGTTTTGTCTTCTTCAATAAAGTTTTTGGGGAAATTGAAAAGAACCCGGTTTGACCCGGAAGCGGTAGTCGCGCAGCGACACACGTGCTTTCCTCCTTCTGCAGCATGTACCGAGGTTGTGGTGGCGTGAAGAGATGTCTGTAGACATGGTGGAGCTCTCCGTAACGACACCGCAGCCGGTCAAACCGGCCGGAATCCCGCAAAAGAACCGCGTGTTCCTCGACTTCTTCTGGGACTTGGCCAAACCGGACCAGGAGGTCCGGCTCAAGGCTTTGGAGAACCTCATTCAGTACTTGAAAACCAACGACCAGGTGAGGCGGATTAACGCCGCCGAGTAACTGTACGAGAACCCAGCGTGATCATCCTCTTATTATTAAAGTTATTAAAGTAGTAGTAAATAAACCAGTGACATTACTAAATATGCTGATGGGTTTATTCCTAAATATGTGTCATTCTATATATATGTAATTACATTATATTTATTTCAATAACTTGACATACGGTGAATAGTTTAATAACATCCTATTTGTTAGTTAATTTATATGTCATGTTAGAAATCTGAGAACTAAATCACATGATCAGAAAGTAATAATATTCTTCTGAGATTATGTAGAAACCCCCCCCCCCCCCCCCCCCCCTCAACTACACAGACTTTAAATCTACTTGGTAGAGTACTTCACTTAATGAACTTTGCTACATTCCACGTCTGTTTGTAACTACAGCTGTGAAACCACCACCAGGAAGTTATTCCATAGACGGTTATGACGTGTCAGGTTATCCGTACAGTGTTATCATAAGTGAGCCCAAATGGTGAATCTTGGTGTGTTGTCATTGGTGCCCTGCAGGCAGATGAGTTGGAATACTCCTTGAAGAGGCTGGTGGATGGACTCGCTCACACACGGGAGGCTGCGAGACCCGGATTCAGTCTGGCGCTGGGGCAGGTGAGTGCAGACGACTACAGAAACCAGTTCAGTACATCCACCCAAGAGGATGTCTCGGGCTGACTTCATCTACACCTTATATCTGACCTTTTTGTGTGAAATAATCTTAAATCAAAGCTCTGTTTTTGGCCTTTTCCATTGCTTTCACCATCAACCACCCCTGCTAACATTTTATAATGTGATTCATTTTGACTGAAGCGCTGACTGCTCTTCACTTTGTGTTTGTGTTGACAAATGAAACATTTATTGGCACGACATGAGCTTTTGTCTTGTTTTTCAGGTCTTGGGTGCATTTAAACAAATCTCTTTGCAAAGTATACTCAACCAAATAAAACAAAAGCACAATTTGCAGACAGCGAAAAAGGTGAGTGTCTTAATGTTTACTCTGTTGGCTCGAAAAACTTCACGAATGGGCTCTTCTAAGTAGAGGGCTTTTGCTTTGTGTTTCTTAGAAATTCCTCAGAAATGCCGCGTTTGGAAACCTGTTTGGCGTCCTCGCCCTCCATCAGTCCGGCCGCATCGCTGAAGTAAGCAGTCTGCCCCAATGGGGGCCGAAGAACCTGAACAGTGAAGGGTTGTTGGTGGCCTCTGAGCTCTCGTCTTTGTGTTCCTGCAGGAGCCGCAGGTGGTGTTGGGATGTGTGCAGCTCCTGCAGAGCCTCAGCCAACACAGGCAACACCTGAAGGACCTGCCCACACAGACCATGACGGACATCCTCAATGAGGTGACAGCTGCTGCTCAGTCGCACCGCTGGTTGCTGCGTGGTTTAGATCTGATCTTTGACTTTGGTTACACCAAGGAACTTTTAGTACTGAAGCCTTTGTTTGATCTACCTATTTTCTCTTCTTGTCGTTTTGCCTTTTCTGTTCTGCAAACTCACCGTCCGTCAGATCCCAGAGGAGGTGTTTGAGGAGGTGCTGCTAAGCGCCCTGCAAACTGACCTGGCATCAGCGTTCAGCACTCCGGAGCAGCTGCAGCTGCTGCTGGTAGCATTGCGGCGCTTTCCGCGAACACTCAAACCCAAGAAACTGAAGAAGCTGCTGGGCTTCTCCACCATCATCAACGCCGACAACATTCCCAAGTAAGTTTTCCTGTGCTGCTCAAGCCCACGCTTTTTGGATCACACAAGTTAAAGGGTAAATTGGTCATATCTAAAGCAGTTTGAATCTCAAATAAACATGTTTTCTGCCATGCTGGCATTCTAGTTCAATTAGAACTCAAAATGTTGACTTGGTATGCGCTCGCCGCATGTTGGCATGCGAATGCTTTGATCTGAACAACGTATTGTCTTCTGCAGGTTGACAGAGGTGTTAAAGATGGCGGCCAAGTCCTCAAAGAAGGAGTGTCTCCTCCCACCGGTTGTCCTGGACCTCCTGAAGCTCTCACTGAAGGAAGACAGCTTCCAGCTCTTCTGGAACGACGCCATCGTCAACGGCATGCTACTCAAGGAGCCGCTGGGGCCCACTCAGTGAGTGCAGCGAGGGGCTAAGAAGCATTCATCCAAACTGCAGCAGCTGAGGGCGGGGAAAGCGACGCGCTGCTTGTGTTGTCTTTTTGTTGATGTCTTATTGTCCGGCCCGTAGCCCAGCTCAGAAATGCATTCATGTCCCTTGCTGTTGTCCAGTTACCTGTGCTACCGTCTGCTGGGGAGCGCCTTGCCCCTTCTGTCGGAAGCCCAGCTGAAGGAGGTGTTGTCTGGAGAGGTGATGGCCTACTACGCTGAGCACATGGCGTCTTCGCAGGTCAGTGGGCTCATCCAGTTGTGACCGGGGCGATGTCCTAAAATGTAATGCGAGACCAAATGCAGAGTTGATCTCTCCATGCTTCCACAGATATTGTCCTCAGTGGACAAAAGAACCTGTCATTTACTCTTACTTTCCCCAGCGAATGTGAGCTCAAAATGTCCTCCGTGTGTCCTCGTGGTTTTGGCAAATTGCCACTTCAGCTGGAGCAACGTCTGTCTTCTCTCGCTAAGAGTGCCAGCCTTCGTCAGCTCCAGATTAAGTACTCTTAGTCATGTTTTCACATCATTCGTATCATAGCAACCAAAGCACTTACTGCATTATCCTCATTGCCCTTCTTTGTTTGGCACTAAACCATTGAAAAGTATTTAATGCATTAAAAAAAAGTGCATATTGTTTTGTGGATGGTAGCTTAACATCGATCAGGTGTACTTTATTATTATACTATACGTATTAACCCGCTTGGTCATTTTTGACTAATGTCATTTCAGAAAATTTCCCAGAAAGGGAGCCGCTTCCAGCTGGCGCCAGAGATGGACGCCTACGTTTCAGCCTTCTTGCAGAGCTGTCAGGATGCCGACAAGCAGCTGACAGTGATGGTGGCCTTCTCCTTGCTGTCCACCAATGGCTTCCTGCTGATGCCGCCGACGTGGAAGGTGGTGCAGCACCTTCAGCCCGCGGCTCTGCAGCAGTACGTGGACTGGCTGAAGAAAATGTTCCTGCAGCCTCAGCTGGACAAGCTGCTGGACCTCAGCGCTCGCCGGCACAGGGACAATGAGGAACAGTGAGTGAGCGCGGCGGTCGGGGTGTTTATCATTGGGCTTATCTTTCAGGATGGAAATGTGATGTCGCTGTTTATTTGCCTCCCTTCAGGAAGGAGAACTCCATATTCAGCCTGAGGAGGTGGATCGTCTCTCGGCTCTGCTCGATCATCGACAACAACCAAGTGAAGAAGGAGGAGGACCTCATCATGGGTGTGGCCAGGTGAGACCTGCAACTATGTCAGCGAAGTCGAGGGACCGGTGTTGGATGAAGAGATGGTCGTCAGCTGGTGTTTCTTTTCCAGATTTATCTTTTTCCACGCGTTCTTCGACGTCAAGAAAGGATCGCGGGACATCGAAGAGACGTTGGGGAAGCTGTCTATCCCACTGGATGATAGAATCCGAGGACCGCTTGTCAGTTCCTTTTTTGGGTAAGTCACTGATGCCAGATTTCTGTTCTGGCAAACCACAAAATTAATAGAGAATCTGACCTCGTTCCACCTGTTAGCTAGAGTTTAACCCGGTTTTCTCGCTGTTGCATGTGTTTTGTTACTGACTTGGCGTCTGTCCGCCCTCCTCCAGACTCCTCTTGTCCCTGCACCTCATGCCTCTGGACCAAGACCCGTCCGACGGGGCAGCGTCCTACCGTAGGCGCGTTGTGGGCATCACAGCCGACGGCACCATGTGGATCTACCACATGGCCCAGTACGCTCAACTGCTGCTTAGCCAGCCGAAATACGCCCAGTGCTACAACCCCTTCACCCCCGAGCAGAGACAGGCCTGGGACGGGTAGGACAACGATGTACCAGATTGTTACAGCCACACTAGTGATTGTGATTTTACAACTTTGATCTTTTTGTACAAGTCATTTCTGTTTCGGCTCTACCAGAGAGACGTAACGTGTTTGACGGCTGCGCCTCTGCGTGTTTTTCCCTCGCAGCATGCTGGAGTCTGTGGCAAACCTGAAGAAAAAAGAGAAGAAAGGCCCGATTCCAGGGAGCGGCGCGTTCCAGCAGCTCTTCTTGCTGGTCGGATTCTACCTCTTCAAGGTGAGGAATACTTCCAGACCCGTGCCCATAGCAGTGCTGTTGTTATTGCAACCTTATTGATTCACAAAAAACAGACCGCTGACAAAAACATTCCTCCTGAAAGGCGCCGGAAGAGCTAGTGGACATCATGAAGGACCTGCAGAGCTGCGTGGACGTAGCTCTGGAGAAGAATGCCAAGAAAAAGAAGAAGAAGAAGAAACCAGGTGAGGCCTCATGGCGGATGAAGCTGCACCAGCTGCTTTTCACATTTTAGTGTGAACGCTCTATGAACTCTGATGCTGTTGCTTCTCGTTGAGATCTAAAGCAGCTTTATATTTTATGTTTATGAAAGAAGATGTAAAAACCCTCGAGATTTAATCTGACTTAAGTGTGGAAGAAACTGCTGCAATAGAAGAACAAATTCACTAGACAAAATTGACTTTGGGTTGGACTGTGTGTAAGCGTGTGAATGTGGCTTTGTTTCTTTTGGTGCAGGGCAGGAGGAGGAGCCCGAGTGGGTGGATGTGATGGTGGAAATCCTGTTGTCCCTGCTGTCCCAGCACAGCCGACATATCAGACTGGTCTGCAAAACAGTCTTCTCCTCCATCTGCCCCGATGTCACCAAAACGGCCCTCACCGCCATCTTGGATGTAAGTAACGCCTACGAGCTCGGCGCCAGTCCTCACTGATGTTTGTTAGAATAGTTTTTAAGTGATTGATGTTTGTTTGGGTTCTTTTAGGTCCTGGACCCGGAGAAGGACGAGGAGGACGGCGCTTTGGTCGTCACTGTCGACAACAAAGACAAGACGAAAAACCCAGATGAGGAAGATGATGATGAGATGGAGGTCAGTTCCCCTCTTGCTTCTTCTGAACTTGTGCTGCTGCCTTTCTTGGCCAGTACGCTTTAGAAGAAATGGTTATTTAATCATAATGGGAAATATCCTGGTTACACAAAGGCTACATGAAGTAAAACAAACATTTTCTCTTGTCATAGTCTGCTTAATAAATAAGTCTGTTATATACTGTTACACTTAAGAAATATTATCTTTTTACTAATTTAGGAAACATATTTGCTATCCTAACATGTGCTGTTATGACTTAATAGGGTAACAAGTCGGATGAATCAGACGATGACTCTGATGAAGCAATGGAGGAGGACGATGACGACGATGATGAGGATGATGATGATGATGAGGGGGACATGGCTGAGGGAAAGGTGGACCAACAGTTCCGTATGGAGCTGATGAAGGTCTTGCACGGGCAGAATGCTCTGGTAGGTTTTCGGGTGTGGTCTTCATGTGGGCTCGGTGATCTGCCAGGGACGTAGTAGCCTCCGTAGCCGAGCAGATGTGTGTCTACTACTTCTTTAAGCTCTAAAATGGGATGTTTTAGGTTTGCATGTCCTCAATTAACCGAGTTAGTATATATCTTGTTATCTTATGCAGAGCCTATTTGAATTAAGTAAACTGAACGTGTGTGTGTGTCGGTTCCCACTATGCGTCGCGTTAAAGTCCTGTGTCCTGCCGTATATCCAGGCCACAGCGGAGGGCGGCAGCAGTGATGAAGAGATGGATGACGACGCCATGATTGCGCTGGACAAGGGCCTGGCGACGCTGTTCTCGGCGCACAAGAAAAATGCCGAGGCTAAAAAAGATGAAAAGACAAAAATTCAGAAAGAGAAGACACTGGTCCGAGACTTTAAGATCAAGGTAACCGATCCGGGACTTAACTGAACACTTTTTGAAAATGTATTTGTTTTTTCTGGTTTCACCAGAGTCTGCTAGCCTGATATTCACCTGTGTGTTCACTACAGATGTAGCTCCAGGACATGTTTAGCCCAGCTTTTCTCAGTAAAAAGACGAGACCAAAAGTGGAAAAGGGTACACATTTCACCAGCCTCGAAGCTGTGCCTCCCTCACCCATTTTGCTCGTTGTAGGTTTTGGACCTGGTGGAAGTGTTCGTGGCCCGGCAGGCCGGCAGCCCTCTTGTCCTTTGTTTGCTGGAGCCTCTGCTCACCATCATCAACAGAGGAATGAGCTCCGGCAGCGACCAGCAGGAGCAGGACTTCCTCCGTCGAGTTGCCGATATCTTCAGGTAGCGCACGTCAGCGTGGCGTGATGCACGGCGTCTGTATCCATCACTAATTCAATGTTTAGAACGCTTGTGTTTTTTTTCCCCCTGCAAAATCTGCGCTTAAGTCTGAGTCTTAATTCTGAGGTATTGGGCATTTGAGATGCTGACAATGTATCGCACATGCAGATATCAACAACTAGCAATACAGCCTCAAAGCCCCCAAACCAAATCACTGTGTGTCGTTTCTCCAGGAACCAGCTGTGTAGGTCCAAAGTTTACTGCAGGACCGCCGGCGACAGAGAGGGGGAGCTCCATGACCTGCTGGACAAACTGATGACGAAAACCCAGAAGCTGTCCGAGTCCAGCGTCGGTCTCTACTACTTCAGGTACAACTCGCTGTTCTAACGAGGCAGCTGAACAGTGCATGAGGCTAAGCTCTCACACAACGCTATATTTTTGACTGAAGACTTTTCGTTGATCCCATTTGGGGAAATCAGGATTTAATGATGCAGAAAGAATCATTCATTTAATAATTTTAAAGCACCAAATGATACCTGCCATTACAATCTCTTTATTAAAACATATAACTTGGTAATATAAGGAATGAAAGCTGTGCTATATATATATCTCTCATTATGAAATGAAATGTTGTTGAAAAACACTTCCAGAAAGCCAATCCAACCTTGGCAGAGATAAATGAGGCCCCCCCCCTCTTAGAAACAAATTAAAGATGACGTACTAAGATTAAACTGCAATCCACTCTTCCTATCTTAAGCACCTCCTGTATAAATTCCCTCGAAATGGTTTTCTGAGGGAAATTCAATTCTTTCAACATTCATCTGGCAGGGGAAAGAAATAGTGGTTAAATGATATCTGCACATTTTGATGCAGAGCTTTCAGTTTTCTATTACCATTGACTTATTTCTCAGATGGTTCTTTGTCTTTTTGCCCTTGCAGTTGTCAGTCTGGTTGAACCATGTTAGTGTTTTTTCCGGTTGTATAAAACAAATCCTCCAATAAAAAATGAAATTTGTCAAGAGGACCCTCGACAGCATAAAAGACTGAAATCCAGTAGAATACTTGATCCAAGAGTCAGTTTTGAAGGTCAAGACTGAAATCTCCAGGCTGAACACATCATTTTTACCTCAGGAGATTTAGTATTTTACTGAGGTTGAACTGTCCTTGCAGTGCATCTCTGTACGTGGTGAAAGTGCTGCGGGGAGCTCCACCCGCTGAAGCCAAAGAGGAGCCGACCGCCGGCGGGGCTGCAGCACAAGACGTATGTCTGCACACACGGGTTCATTTGTTTTGTTCATTCATTCACCGCTCGACCTTGGCTGCTGCTGTGTTTAGATCCCTGGAAAGTCTTGCCGATGCATTTGCATCTCGCGTTGTGTCCCGCTTCACACCAGAAGCATCACAATCAGCCAAATAATATCTGTCTTTAACATGAAATGAGTACGAATAAATAAATCATCCGACACCTGATGTTTTGTGCAGTTGAGTTTCATGGGCAACGTGGATGTGGACCGCGTCGCCAACGTCTTCAAAGGGGCCCTGAGCAACTTCATGGGCAAGAGGAAGAGCCCCCTGAGCGCCCAGATGTTCACAGACCTGTTCACCAGGTTCCCTGTGAGTGCAGCGGCATCTCCCAGTAACCGTTGCGTGCCGAACGAGCAGTAACTGATGCCGCCTGTGTGTTTTTTATATTGACAGGTGTTGTGTGTGAAGCTGTTGGATACTATTGTGCAGCACATCACATCTGGAGCCCGAGTTTACCAACAGGTATAGGAGACCCTCCGGTTCTTACCAGCTCGTCGGACTGTTAAAGCCCTGTGTACGTTCCTGTTGATGGACAGGGTTGTGTGCGTGTGCGTGTTTAGGGCCAAGCTTGTATGCTGATGTTGCGGGCGATGCAGAGCAGGGAGGTTCAGCAGCTGCTGAGCGGCGCTCCCTGGACGGAGCTGTGTGCGACGGTCTCGGGTCAGCTGGCAGCGGTAGGTCAACACCGCCTGTGTGATCCCTGGGGTGCTTCGGTTCATAGAGGCTTCGCACTTTCTTTGCCGCTTGATTGTCCATTTCCGTCACTTTCTCCTATGAATTGTTGTTGTGGTTGTTTCGGCGTTTGTCTCCATGCTTATGTTCATACGGCTCTAAAAGAACCTGAGCAAAGTAGTAATGGATTTATTTTGTGTGGGCAGCACACCGATCTGAATCCGACATATTAAAACTACGTAATTGTTACACATGCAGACGAGGAGCATCATTAGCTGATTCTTTCTTCCTGCTCAGGCTTTTAAGGGATAAAACACTCCAAATCGCAGCCAAATGAATTAATATAACAAATACACTCGGGAGGGGAGGACATTTCGACTTATGCTAATGTCAGAAGTTAACAAAAGGTCAAAGCAACTCTTGTCTTTTTACACCAGCTGCTTTAATGAGCTTTATTAACATGTAATTAAAACAAATGTTTAAACAAAAAAAATTAAAACATTTTAGTTTATGTACTTTAGAACTGTAATAGTTGTTTAGCAGCGGTAACTACATTAGGGTTTTTCTATCAAATGTACAAAAGGTCTTGAACATAAAGGGTCTAAATCTAGTTTTTGTGGAACCGTTTTTTGCTTACCCGAAAACGCCTCGTCATCACATCTCATCCGTAAAGTTCAACCGCTGCCTTCACGTTGAGCGCTTTTTATTGTGGTGGCCCAGCGGTCTGGAACACTCACAAACATTCCTGTAACCGTGTGTCAAAATGCATCATATCCATCAAACAGGAGGGAGATGATGATGATGATGATGATGATGAGGCCATTAAGGATAACGGTCCAACCCCGCCGGTGTCTTTTCTCCTCACAGAGTCTTCAGCAGGTCGGTGTAACCGAGAACAAGGAGGTGAAGGAGAAGGTGCTGAAAGCCCTGGAGCTCAGTCAGTTCCTGGTCAGGAGCGTTCACCGTCAGGTAGGGGTGGCCTGCGCGTGTTGAGCGTCCCCTCCGGATGGAGAGAGGAGCCTTTGTTGTGGCGTCGGTCCAGACTCAAGCCTCTGCTTCTCTGCTGCCTGCTCTTTGCAGAAGCTGTCTGTGGACCTTCAGCCCCTAAAGGAGGTCCTGCAGTCCCTGACCAGCAACGTCGCTTTCAAGAAGACCGGCAAGCTGGAGGACACCTACTGGGCCGTGATGAAACTCCTTGGAGTCCAGTGAGTTATAGTGTGATGCGGTTATTTAAAGTGTTGGTTGTTGAAGAGAGAGTGATTTTGGGAAGCAATTTGGAGAAGAAAAAGAACCTGCCAGCTGGTGGATGAACCATGTGTCAGTCACACAACATAAGCCAGTTTCCCTTTTTCATAATTCAATTTGCAGTGTGTAATTTATAGAAAGGATCTCAAACCCAAGATTGCTTTGAAGTAATGAAATATGCAAACCGGGCTTTGATGGCAGGCTTGTTGCACATTATTCCTCCGACCGGTTTCAACCTCGTAAATTGTGTCAAATTCAAAACATGATAAAATTGGTAAATGCATCATGCTCTGCTGGATGACTCGTACGAGCCACTTGACAACAAATCTACTCTGTACAATCCCCCGTCTCCTAGCAACACTAGTGTATCCTCAGTGTGCAGCAGTAATTATTGTAAATCACTATTCAGTCAAGTGACTTTAGGACAAAATCATATAACCGATAAATAAACAGAACTCTGCATACAATTGTTAAGCACACGGCGTCAGCATGCGATACATGTTTAAAATGTGTTGTTAAACGTGTTGATCCCGCTTGCGTCCACCTTCACAGAAAACCAAAAGTTGAAAAGACAAAGCCCGACAAGGAGCCCGTCGTGCCACAAGGTCCCACGAAGAAGGAGAAAGGTTTCCTGCCAGAAACGAAGAAGCGTAAAAAGCGCGACAATCCAATCTTGGAGCCAGCAGCCGCCGCCGCCGCGGCAGAGGCGGGCCAGGCGACCTCGAGTTCCAGACCGGCGGCAGACAAAGGACAAGTCAAAAAGAAACCGAAGAAAACGAAGCAGAAGCGACCGGCCGACGGCGCGGCTTCTCAGCCCAACCCGGCCAAGAAGAGCAAGACGACGCCGTCTGAGAGCAAGACGGCCAAGAAGAAGAAGAAACCCAAGCAGAAGAAAGAGGGAGGAGGGAAAATGTAAAGTGGACACTGTTTTAATGTTTTCTTATTAGAGGCTGTGCGTTCATCCGTTTTTCTTTTTTTATTAACTCTGCCGTCGGTTCAGTGTGAGCAACACGTTGGTATGTTTCAATATGAGACAGTGTTGTGCATATTGAAATACTTCAAATGTATCAGACCTGTATTTAGATTTTTTTTCCCCCTATGGCCGATGGCTATAAATTAGGAAAATAAATGTCCCCCCATAATAAACTCACTTCTTTCTGGAATGTATCAAAACTCTTTTCTCATTCCGAAACGGTTCCACGCGGTCTGTGAATCAATGTTCAAGAGAAAGAAACGACGAGGTGAGCATTCGTCATCACTTCTTCAAATGATATTTTGTCATTATCTTACAATTTTACAGATGAGTCCACTGTCATAGCAGATAAAAAGTCAAACTATTTTATTAATCTGATTATTTGGAGGAATCGCACAAAAATTCACAATTCATCTCCAGGTTGTGAATCCCTCCATAATTTGCAGGAAATACTTACTTGATTGATATTTTCTAGTTACTGTGGGGTAAAGAAAATGACAGTAAAATCTGCAGACCTGCTATGCTTTTCACAGATGCCTTCTTATAAGCAAACGGTTGCTTAATCCCACATCCCACAAGTAACATTATTCATTAGTTGTCTGTGTCCCACCTTTCCTTTGACTGCAGAGGATCTCTTTTTCGCTAGAATTTTGAAAATGAAAAAATTAAATTTTCCCATTGACAAAAAAACAGGTTTTCTTAGCAGACCTTATTGTTTGTGACAGCGAAATCTAAAAACCATTACTGGAAAAAATGGGGGGGGCTGCAGTTTTTGGTCACACGTGTGGGCGGACATTAGATTCTTATTAGAAAGAAGATGTTGTTGTGCTGTGTGCCATAAACTACGGTGAGCAACCACACACAACCCTAATTCAGCTGTTGGAAAAAAATGATGCAATGTTCCACAAATGGATTACTATATAGGACATTAAGCCATGCTGCCATAAATCCACAGGAATACCAGGTAGGTGGCAGCCCCATCCATCAGTTTATCTCCTCTTAAAGCCCCCCTTCACTTCAGGAACCTTCAGTAGTGGGTCTCAAGAGGAGCCATTGTATAACCAACGTGTTTAGTGCATTACTCGACAGGTGTGGTGCAATTGTGGCACAATACTAAATAAGCGCAACAAGCCCCCGCCCCCTCTAATCATTTTAAATGTGTATTTTAGTCATAAATCATTCATAGATCACATTGCTTCGTGTGTGTGTGTGTGTGTGTGTGTCTCAAAGGGGTCCCTCCTGACCAACAGATAAGCAATCTGGCTTCAATCTCTTTGTCTTGTTGTTGTTGACCCACTGTTGATGAAGTCTGCTTTCAGAGGCCCTACGAGCGCTCCAACATCGCACAGTGCCGTGTTCCATCACCTGTGTCCGTAATGATGCAAACTCCATGAATGACAGAATGAAGAAAGCCTCCGTACGTATGGGATGGACGTACTCAGGATCACGTCGAAAAGCTCCAACGAGAAGCTTGGAAAAAAATGATACCTGATCTGTTATTCAGCCTCTGCGGCCCTGGAAGAACGCATCTCAGTTCCCGGCACGCTAATCTTTCGGCCACAGCTTGGACCTGCATATAAACGGATGCTGGCGGCGACAAATCATCCGCCCGGAACCCTGACGACATGGGTGACAATGGGAGCAGCGGTGTCCTCTCCCGACAATGAACTGTCATTTGTCATTGGTGTGACTTCAGCTACGGAGCCCAGAACCAATCTGCTAATGCAGCCCAGAGGAATAACCTGAGTGGGCCGTAAAGTCGAGGACAAAGTCTCATCGATATGAGTAAGATGTAACTGCATGAAAGCCTCAACCCCGCCCCCCGTCGCCTGAGGAAATATTTAGTATTCACCCGTGTTGTTGTTTTTGTCAAAGTGTGGGATGCTCTGATGCTCCACCGTGTGCAGGTTGGCAGACTGTTAGTGTTGGTTCTGTATTGCGTGCATAACCGGGAAGCCATTAATTAGTCAAGCTGGTACTTTTCCTGCCCGGGCCTTGCAGGAACAACCTGAGTTGAGTTGTGCCTTTTTTTTTTTTTTTTTTGGAGGAGGCCCAAATCTGCGAAGCCTCAAACAGTCCCCTGTTCAACACCTGCTGTGCACAAATCTGCCTGTTCCAGTAGTAATAATTTAGAGAACTGCGTTTGTTTATTTTCACTGTGCACAAAACTCCTACTGGATATTTTATGGTACTGACTAAAGCGAGCAAGAAGAGCACACAAGTTTGAGAGTGAACCACAGCGCGTCTGAGAAGAGAAATCAATAGCTGTAGCAGACTGAAAAGGTACTGTTCTCCAGAGAAAACGTGAATACACTGAGTGCTCAACCGATTTGATTAAAAAAAATGATTAAAAAAAATCCAAAACGCATCTCACAAAACAAGATATAGCTTGTGAGTTCCACACCAATCCGAACCCTAGTGGGCCAATAAATGAAGGTTAAGGAAAGTGATTAAAGCTTTATATATATTTGAGCAATTTTCAAGACCGGGATTTCATTCCCGTTGGATCGCAAATGCTCACGCTGCTTATAAATTGTATTAACTGACTACTAGATGCCTGAGGCGTGTCATCCACATTACCCACAACCATGGCAAGACTATAATAAACAGCCTCAGGGGACCTGATCCACTCGCTGGCCAACCAATGTAAGTCTTCCTGCAGCTCTGAGGAGCAGAACCTCGTGGGACAACAACACTGAACTGGCCTCATTAATTCTAAATGAGGCTACACACAATAACTGGGCTATTCCCAAAGCCAACTTCAGCCGCACAAAAGTCGCTCCACCTTTTTGTTTCTCTCTTTCTAAAGCAGCTTTAAGTGTGACACTAAATACCCTTAGTCCTTCAACTAATTTCCACAACTAATGACCCCCCCCCCCCTGTCATCTTGTCCTTTCCCAACCGCCGACGTCTGACCTTCTACATTCCTACCGGACCTCCCCTGCTCACAGCCACCATGCGTCAGTGATCCCTGACCTCAATCCATCCCAGCAAGTGATCACCTCCGACCTCCATCCATCCCTTCACCCTGAATCTTCATCCATTCCGAAACCACTGACCTTCATCCATTCCAATCCAAACTGCACCTTTTAGCAGATGGAGAAAGTATCTCACGGAGAGGTAATACGGAGGTATGTTTATTTCCACTGGACGGTTGTAATACGACAATGTAATGCATATGTCTGGTTATGACATCTGGTCTTGGTGGCTTTGAATGCGAATGTCTCATTAATGTACCGTGTTGTTGCCAAAGAAAATCACTCATTCATTTATTTATTCAGTGAAAACGCTTAAGATGTTACGGATCCTAGCCTATAATTGTTCCGGAGAAAACATACGTTTGAATGAAAAACGCATTAGTCATCGTTCGCTGACTTATTTCCAAGTTTCCTGCGAAGATAAATGCTTTCGCTGTGTTGCACTTATGCCAATGAGATAGACAGGCAGTCTGTCATTGCATCTTTCAGGGCAGGAGCCTTGCCAAAAGGCTGCTTCATATTCCCAAGACTCTATCTTGCTGGGTACGATTAGGAACATGGTGTCCTGGTACCTGGCCAACACACTGACTAATGCTCATTCAATTCCACTGACCTCCAACAAGACAGGCTCGGGTGTCATCACGTGGGAGAGGTTAGGATTAGAGGTGATACTTCTATGAATAACCTTCATGTCAATAAATTCCAGCGGAAGATTGATGGGGCCGATGTGGGAGACGCTCTATATGCAGTGGATCTGATTGTGTATTCAATAGACGTGGCTCTCCATTTGGCCTGTATGTAGTTTAAATGGGCACGTGGGCCGTAGAAATTGTGTAAGCAATGATTCTTTGGTAAAGTGGTCTCTTCAATGCTGCATCCTCAATGCAAATTCCACCTCCCTTAGGAAGGACATTTGTCGGGTAAATTGGGTGAGGTGATGCAAATCCATCCAAACATTTCCATATATATATAATGTCATGTATGCAGTATTTTATTACTTATTTACCAATCGATTTATAGCTACAGCCAACTGATGTTCCTTAATTCACAGTCAACAGGCGACACGTGTTTTACGCAACTGACACATTTGAAGGCTGAACATAATGTAAGTATTTATTTATAAACTTAGAATATTACATATTTCCTTTTGATAAGGCAGATTATATGAACTCCAGAAAGATGACGATACTGTAAAACATTCCAGCTCTCATAATGACATACATTTATAGTGAATTCATATAATAAATGAGACCCCACTGCTCTTCGACCCACCATGATACAACATGAAGCATAAAAAATAAATAGACGGGCTTAAAATGAAACCCTCTGTTGGAAGGATTCTCAATTCATTACATGTCAGAGAATACATTATAGCCTAAATACTCCAAAATCAAAATACTGTATTAGCGCTAAGAATTACTATCTGACACATAAATAAAATGTGCATCACTACAGCAAAGAATCTTGCAGCCTGTCAGGCTAACTAGAGCTACCTACAGATGTCTAACTGACATCAGAGGACAGTACTTGAGGCAAATATGCTAAGTCACTTAATTGAAGGAAAACATACAACCAAACAAATAAGCCATAGTCTACAGCCTATATGCAGCCTTGCACTGCCTAACAGCACCACAACATCCATTATAGTCTAACTACATACTGGTAGTGTGTCAGAGAGACATGCCAAGGAAGATCAGCGAGCCAATGTGGTCTGTGTTGTGTCACCAAACTCTAAATAATTTAAACACAACCGTGTGTGTCACATCTCTGGAAGGTTTAAAAGTTTAAACATCTCTGTGGTCTAAACGTTCTAGGCCGGGGAAGAGGAAGAGGTCCAAAAGTCAAAGCAGGCAAATACTTTATACAGCCCCATAAGGAGTTACCGGTCGGCCGAATAGTGTACAGGGAAGGTGAGTGGCCCACGTGACTATCCTACCTGCCAACGCAGTCGACTATTCTGCACTAACTGTTTCACCTACACGCGGCGGAGACGGGGCTGTGAGTTCTTTGTGCCTTATTGCTTTTCCTGTTTTATTCCACAGTCTCGTTCCCTGAAGTGGCACCAAGTGAACAGTCAAGAGGAGCCGTCTGCAGCGGCGCCCGTTCGACCCCCCGCCGCGGCGACCCCGGCGTCCCCGGTCTCCGCGTCCCGGCACGAGGGTCGCTCCTCGCGCCTCGCCGGTCGGACGATGACGCACGGCCTCGCGGGCTCCCCGCGCGCGGGGCTGCGGCGGTCGCGCTCGTATTCCTCCTGGGCGCGCAGGATCTTCCTCTTCCGAAGCTTCCTCTTGTGGAAGTGGAACGTGGCCAGGGAGACCAGGACGATCCCCGCGAGCACGGCCACCAGCACGAGGAGCGCCAGGGTGGAGGAGAACGGCGGGAAGAAGCTGATGGGCTCCGCGCAGGTGCCGTTGCGGGCCTGGAAGACCCCGTGACAGCGGTGCAACGGCACCGACGGTCCGGAGGCCTCGGGGGTTCTGGCCGTCATCCGCTCCGCGTTTGTCTCCGGACGCGCTGGTCTCTGTGACCCCAGTAGCCTTCTTACCTGCTCTCCGGGGCTCAGCGTGGTGACACCATGTGGTTACCTGCACCGAAAGACAAAGAGCCGTGAGATGCGCTCATCCAGCTGCGGCTGGAGACGGTACCCATCGGATCAATCGGACATCCGCCCACCCGCACCCATTAAGCGGTCCAAGCTCCAGCAGGAGGACCGGTGCCAAACACTCAACACGACATCTCGAAATCCTAATTTTAGATTAAAAAAAAAAAAACCTGCCAACCTTCAGAGCTCATGATCATTGTGAAGAAGAAGGAAACGAACCGTTTCGATGACTTCAACACACAGGGGAGTAGGGACAACGCTTCATGTATTGTAATGTGCAGGCCTGTGAGATAACGACCGAACACAATCCATCCATCCCCTGCACTCCGCAAAAGCAGGTTTCTTGGCACACTAACGCCCGGCCGCAATGCCGCGCGTCTACATTGAAACGAAGAGAAATCTTACCGGATGAAATCGTCAGTTCGGAGCGCAGTCCGTGAGTGGAGAGCCGATGTGCGTAAATGGGAGAAGCGGGTCGCGGTGACGCATTTCATGCAACGAGATGCTGATGCTGCTGCTGCCGAGCGCCGATCGCTCAGGACGCGTTGATTGCAGCAGCGTCTGCGACCAGGACAGAAGTGCTGTAGGTGTTGAGGGAAAACCCCTCCGTGTGGCATCGAAGGGCGTTTTTTCTTTTTCTTCTTCTTTTTTTTTCTTCTTCTTCCTTAAACGCGAAAAGAGTCGTGGTTTGGTTCTTCCCTGTAAAACGTTCCCTCCTCCCACCTTCGGCTGCTCCACTCAGCATCTGAATGTGGAGCTGCAGCTGCATTAAAGGTCCCGTTTAGCCAGCTGGCAGGGTTCTATTTGTCCTCATTGAATGTAGTCCACATATAGGCGGTGATTATGTGCCCCTCATTTTAATAAATGTGTATTCACTTTATACTTTAAACGAATAATGAATAATGTAAATTCCCTGGAATTCCTTAGGGTGCGGCCAGTCAAACGCTGCATGAATTAAAGCGTTTAAGACTATGCAGGGTGTGAGTAATGTTTGCCTGTTGTGTTTTTATTTGAACCAAACTCATGTGCGTTTAGACTTCTTCTTCACAGAATCTTCACAGTTAATCTTAAGAATCACAACTTAACATCTGAGAATCGCTTAACATTCCCAATTTCTTTAAATAAAAAAACTCCCAAACTGAAATGTGACATCACATTACATCCTCATATCTGTATTTCTTTCATTCCAGACCAAGCGTTGCTCATTCTGACCATAAAGAATGTCACTGATAGACTCATAGTCGCCTGCTATGGTTGCAACATGCTTTAAATCCAAATTTCCAACTAGTATGGAATCAAGAATTAAGAAAATGATGATGATTGATGTGACATTAAAACTGCTCTTGAATACTACCATGATTAAAATCTACCTTTTACTCTTGGTGAAATGATTCAAACTAGAAAAACGTTAATTTAGACCTAAACCACATTGAGTTCAGCTCCTTCCTGGTTGGAAGATCGCTGCAGGCGGTGCGACATGAATTCCAGATATAGAAGTGTGAGCATTGAAGGATCTAAAACGAGGCCACACCTTGACCTACCTTAAAACATCGGGGACATTTTGCATGTCTCTTCTCTTTCCCAGAAAACAAACATTATTTTTCATTTCAACCACATGTGTTTCGTGGTCCGGTAATCCTTCAAACTCACAAATCTGCCCATCAAATTTCCCAGAGGCCAGTTTGCCCCCTTGTGCCGGGGCGGAATGGGGGTTTAGTCTGCTGGACACATCGGTCCTTTATCTGACTTAGGTCTGGGCAATTTGGAACCTACGTCCCCCGCCGTGGCGCTGAAACACGGCGTGCTGATGAATCCACTGCGCTGTCCCTGGTGCTGGAGTCGGAGACAGATTTGTAATTGCGTTTTGTTTCTCCCTCACTTTTGTCTTGGATCTGTACTATTCCCTCAACCATATAGCTTGCGGATAAATCAGGTTCACCATACTAATCTAATCATACACGAAACAACACGCTCCCCCTCGCATAGAACACTGAGGTTTCACCAAACTCATCATCAGCATCAGCTAATATCAATCAATCAACTCACTGAGATGTTTCAGTCTGTGGGCCACTGTGAAGAAGGAAAGGCATGAGGAGGTGTGACGTAATGCTCGGCACGTTCCTCTTCAGGACAACTCCGATGGATTCAAGCTGCGGCTCACGCCCGCAGGTCGGAGCCTTCCATCCTGATGTTGATGTTTGCCGATTCTTGTGGCGTCAGCTGCTGCCACAGCACCTAAAAGAAGACATCGACCACCTGCAGATAATCAACTCCTTCGCCAGACATGAACGTCGATACTGAACAAGGCTGCAAAACCCTGGATTAAGTTCGACGGGCCTTTTCTAAATTCTAACCTGCAGCATGTTTACGGTTCAGGTTTATGTTTTTTTTTTAACTATTTTGTTTTGCAATTACAGATATTGCTAAAACGTGCATTAATGATGTTGGGAACACATTTTGAAACTTATTATCCAATAGACGCCAATTTTCTTGTTTGGTTTGTCCATTCTGGGCCGCCGTAGAAACATGGCGGTGCAACACGACGGACTCTGTGAAGAGAACCCGCTCCCTGTTAGATATGAAGGAGCCGTTCTAAGCTGATGTTTAATTTAAGATCGTTAGCTATGATGAGTTAACATTGAGTCTTGAAATTATCTTTATATATTCATGTTACTCTCTGTCGTGTGAATCATGTCCTGTGGAGGGTTGCATCATGCTTCACGCAAACACTGCGTTGTTGCATAAAAACAAAGAGTACAATTGAATCAAATAAAAGTAATGTTTCTCCCTTCGTGCTGGCACCACGAAGCTTTTAAAATCCTCACAGTAATTTCCCTAACCTGATACTGGAGGAGATACTCCATCATCAGCGCGGCTCCATGAAAAATGAATGGCCTCGGAAGAAGAGAGGACGAACTCACTGAAGATGAGTGCATACTGAAAGATTTATACAACTATTCATGCACAGTTTAAATCCTGGCACATGTTAAATGGAGAGTGATTATTGCACTTATTTTAATATTCATACGGGTCTGCAGCAGTTTTCCGGGTCAAACTGGCCGACGTTAAAGCACCTGCTTGCCTTCGCCGCCGTGGCAGGGAACCCCGGAGTAACATTGCAGAACGAGCCCAGCCGTCTTTAAACAGATTAAGTCAGTCTAAGAGCTTTATAGCTGTGTATCTTTAGTCCACGATTAATCATACAAATGGAGATCACGGTGCACACATTCAGGCAGCGTGTCCTTGAAGTTCCCTCCTGATGTTGCCCTCTAGTTGTGTGAGGAATGAAAATAGGGTTTGAGAGAGAAGTTTTAAACCCCTGTCCAATTTCACACCCCTGCACACTGCGAGCTGCGTGACAACGGCCTAACAGCAGTTTTTTTTGGGGGGTTCTTTTTCGCTGCCCACTGAAGCTGGGAACAAGGTTGATTAGAAAGGGAACTGCAACGGTGAAGTTTAGCTGAACGACGTTGAAAACACGCCGTGGAGCTGCAGGGAATCATTCTCTGTGGGTTTTATTACACTAAGTCCTTTGATCGATTGTAGAAAATATTTATTATAGCAGCAGTATATGTTTTTTATGGATCTGAATAAAGAACATAAGTTTCCAAGAAGTGCTCAGATCTTGAGTAAAAGTAGCAATAACATGAAATATTAGTGACAAGTGATAAAATGGTACTTCTGCAAAAGTATTACTTAGCGTTTACATAAAGTGCCAAAATGAATAGTGTGCATTATCCAAAGTGGTCTGTTTCTGAATAGTATATTTTAGATTACTTGATCATAATCATTTATGCATTAATGTCATCATCATTTTATTAACGCAGCTGGTAAGGGTGGAAGACATTTCCTTTACATTTAGACTAAAATGCTTTTTTCCCATAGGAGTCTTGTTTTATCTTAACCTTTGATAAGACTTCATAATTTGTATTGTTGATTACATTCTGTATTATGAATCTCACTGAGCAAGTCACTAGAACTAATGTTATCAGATTAATGTAACAGAGTCAACATATCACACTTTTAAAAGTCGACGTCTAAAGTTGTACAGTAAATGTCCTTTCTTACTTTCCACCACTGTTGGTTTCATTATAGCCTATAACTGTTACCACATTCTTCTCTTCCTAATGACGCATCATGTATCTGCCGATTATTGAGCCCCTCCATTCTCCTCCAGTGCCGGGCCTCTGGGACGGCAGCTTGCGTTAATCAGGATTATTAACTGTAATGAGAAAGCTTTGTGGGTCTGAATGCTAAGCATATATTGATGTACACGCTGCTGTCCACTCAGGGATATGTGTGTGTGTGTGTGTGTGTGTCTGTGTGTTGTATCTCCATGAGAGGGAACCGGTATCTTTAAAGCTGCAGGCCATCTCCAGGCAGCAGCAATCCTCTTGATATTCCCTCCACGCTCACACCAAGCCTCTTGTCAGCAGAATTTCTAATGAACTACACAAAATCCAGTTTTATCATGCATGCACTCATGCACACAAACACACACACCCACACACACACACACACAAACACACACAACACAGACAGGCCAACTTTCCTTTTGTGCCCAAAATAAATGACTTCAGGAAAGAATGGAGGAGGCACGGGGAGAGGAAATGTCTCTCCCCAAACAGATTTCTCTTTTTTTCCCCGTCATGATGACCCCGTCACTGAGCGCTAGCGTGTGATAACATGTGTGTATTTATCATTTGGGGATTTTACATTTAAGGGTTCTAAATGACGGCGTGCCGCCTCCCTGCTTTGTTCCTCTTGTCCTCAGAGAGAGAGACGGAGAGCGAGGGAAATGACACGAACTGAACCGTGGCCGCTGCATTAGCCACAACGTGACCGCAACATCCGAGATTGAATAACTACATACTTTAGCTCACTTGGAATATCAGCCAGAGTATTTCTCAGAAGGAGACAAATTCTTATTAATAAATATTAATCAAAAATTTGTTTTTGATCCCAATGCAAAGAATAACAACATTTCCAACAGAGAAGTACAACATTCCCATATTTCATGCAATCAGAAAACGGTAATACTACGGCTCAAATGGAAAAGTAGTTACATTCCACCACTATGTATAGCATATTGCACTGTGATGTTTTAACACTTTAGCTGCATTTAAATGTTATAGTTATTGAGCTTAAGTTTCTCCATGTATCATTATTCCCAATATTGGCAATATCAGATTGATAACATTGACCTGATTAGCAGCCGCATTGTAAAAATCATTAAAAACATCTAAAACAATTAAATATTAGATTTATAATAAGAAGACTTGGCGCCATTAAATGGTTAATTTCCACACTGTTTCTTTCTGGAAATTATTCAAATCCTTGGTTTTATAAATAACTTAAAAAAAATACGTGTTCTTCACAGCTTGTTCACTTAGGCTGTTCTATCGATCTTTTCTTCAGCTGGAGGAAGGCACATCAGCGGCAGCAGCTGCTCACCTTTTCCACCCACCTCCAGGCACTATGAGCATCGTCAGAGCCCTGCAAGCGTTCACACACAAGTTCACATGATTAAACCCACACTTTGCTCAGAAGTGATCACACCCTCAGCTGATGAACAATTCGGTTCCTAAGCAACTGATCCTCTTCCTCACCGTGTGTGGGGTTTGCATGTTCTCTCCGTGTGTCTGCGTGGGAAATCCTCCCAGCGCTTTTTTCTTTCCTCCCACAATCCACAGACACGCAGCTCAGCCGGAGCGAACACTTTAAATTACCCCTACGAGTGAGTGTGAGGGTGTGTAGGTGGGTGCATCTGAATATGAGTGTGTGTGGGAAATATTCTATCCCTTTGTGACAACTGCTAATAAAGAAACTAATTATGTAATGATGAACGCTTAAAAAAAGCTCAAGTTTTAGTAAAACCAACGGTGATCTGTCAGTTATAAAGTTAGTTTTTTAAGGGACATGAGGGCTGTGTAAATATCCTGCGGCTTTGCCTTCTTCCTCATGGTGTTACTGCTCCACCACTTCGTCTGTTCTCATATTTCGATTGCGAGCTCCTTTTCAAGCCAATCTTCAGTTAAATTGTCACCTCGTGGCAGCGTTTCTTTAAATTTCAGGGTTAGATTGCACAGGAAAAGAATAGGGTGCTTTTTTGTAAGTGAGCCACTTTCATTGTCTCTGAGTGTCCCTGCCAAACAGCACGGCAGTCTAAACCGGTGGGAGGGTTCTGGTGCCCTTGACCCAAGTGTAGGACACACTGAGAGATGGAGCCAGCAACTATCCCAATCGGAAGAGATACTCATTCTGGAAGATTTGGTCCTCTGATTGTCTTCTTCCCTGTATTGATAGTCAATGACGTTGTGACATTTGCCTGTTTGTCCTGATATCCAACCCTTGTTGTCTTGATCCGAGAGTCTTCAGTGTTTGTTAAGCTACAGAACATCTCTCTCACTCTCTCCATATCTCTCCTTCTACTATCAATTATAATAACAGCAGCCTGGAGCTTCCTCCTAGCAAGTTGCTCCATGTCGTGAGAGGAAAACCTGCTACATTGTGGCATTGCCCTGGTAATAGAGCTCACTCTATTCGACCCCCGGCTTTGCCCTGCGATCCAATTTGTCTTTCCAGCACCACGTCGTTTTTTTTCCGGCGACGATGAAGTACTTCTTCAAGCCCGTGCTGATGTCGTCACATCTCAGTTTGTCCCTCTTCTCCCAGGGCATTGTGAACTAAATTATACAAAACAATGGAAAGGATGGATGTTCTGCAGTCAACTTGAGGTCTCGTTGCACTAACAGGAGTTGGCTTAAGTTTCCATCCAGCAGATCTACAACCGAATGATCTGCCAGCATCCCCTGAGAAGTATGTTTTCCTGCTTTCGTTCACCCATGTTAATTATGTATTACCACGAAGAAGCTGGTGGAGTCACGTGGTATGCCAAGTTAACCCATAATTGACATAGGGCCCCAAAAATAGCATGTGAGGCGTTCCTATGTTAATCATGTGCCATATTCAAGCCCATATCTGCCTTGTATATCCACACACCACATGCATCCACTGGAGAGACACAGGCCTTGAGTGATAAATTGATTCAAATGAGCAGCTCTGGCTGATATACATTTGACAGGCAGCGCTCATGCATGCAGCTCATAGCTTTGATCACCCCACAGGGGATTGTGTAGAGCAACTGGAGTTGAAGGTGTTTGTGTACATTTCCACAATTTATATTGTTGAGTGATTTTGTAAGGCACATATAGTTTTCATAAACATATTTTGTAACATTCACTTTGCTACTTATTTAATTAATTAGGTAGTTCCTAGGGCCTTTCTGATTCTGTTCGATGTTATTTCTACCCACAGATACAGTCTTATCCTATTATATTTAAGTATCTAGTATGTCGAAATGCGGTCTTTATTCTGAAGGACACCGGATGAGAAGCTTTAGTTTGAAGGGACGCTGCGAAAGTGGTAGTGGATGTGTGTACAGGTCTCGAACCGCTAGCTAAACTTTCGCTTTCCCTCCACTGAATGAAGTGATCATGGCGACGTTTTTTGGTGAAGTCTTGTCTGTGTATTCTCGGGCCGTGGAGGAAGACGACGAGGAGCTCGACGAAAACGAGGAAGATAAAGAAATCCGCAGAGAGCTGGAGGAAAAGAGGTAGCTAACAGTTAGCCGTTGGATAACATTGATTTCTAGCATCGAGTCAGGAAAGGATGCAAATATTAACGTTAGACGACTAACGCCAATTAATGGCTGACTTCATCCCGTGAAGTTAACGTAACGTTTATTATTGAAATTACTGTGTGGACGTAACGTTGGACTGTGCTCCTCATACACGCAATTACAACTAGTTACATTAGTCCTAAAAGCCATAACTTAACTGGCATTGAGTTAGCATCACACGGCAGCTCAAGCTAGCTAACATGACACATGACATTTCAGTATCACCCACTCCCCGCTCCATATTTCATATTAACGTTACGAATCACATACATATTCAATTAATCCAGCCTGTGTGGGGATTGAGTGTTTCACCAGCAATGTAAGATATTTTTAAAGAAAAGTCCGTAAATCGCACCAGCATAAAGGGGTTTAATTAAGGTTCAGTGTGATAGTTGTTGATGAAGCATCGGGATCATTCTGTTGCCTTTGGTTTTGGATGCTGTTGAACTGCAGTCTTTAGTACTGGTTGTTTCGTTATTCTGTCCACCCCATTTATATAAAAGTAGGCAGCCTAAATAGAAGAATCCTTTCTATTTAATTCAGTATTCCACAAGTGTCAGTTTTAAGGCCGTCGTACTATCTTCTGAAATGTGGGTCAGTATAAAATAACTAATAATTACCTTACTTGAGCCAATATAACGTTTTGTGATATTGTCGGAAGAGGATTGATATCATTCTTAGTTAATTACTTATTTAATAGTAAATAATGAGCAAAACATGGAAATGGAATTCACTATAAACATCTGGAAATGAGTATTTTCCTGACCGTTCCTCCTGCTCTAACACTTGTCCCCCATTGATCAGGGAGGTTAAGCTGCACTGGAGCCCCGAAATCTCTGAGTCGCTGACGTCTGGAAACCAGTTGCAGTGCTCCGACTTCATCCTCGCCGTGGGACACAACGCTGCCCGTAAGAGGCCGCTACGTTACCCGTAATGAGTCCCTCCAACAGAACTCCCACTATTATTACCGGTCAGAGGAGTCTTTAATGTTCCCTCAGAGGAAATGGGTGGTAAAGTGGTCAAGGGACTTTAACTCTGAAATAACACAAAGATAATAATAAACATGAAAATACTTTGGTTAGTAAGTAACCCAATTTGTTAACATATTAATCTCTAAAAATCAGCACCCCGTTTTTTTATTCTACACGTTCTATTAATATGTATAAAGCTGCTGAACTGCATCAATATTTTGTATGCACTATTGGTGCATATGACTAATAACATTGATGATGGCTTCATTTAATGCAATTGGTTTGCAGGATGTAAATGTAGTGCAGCCATTACCCAGTATTTTCTTCACCGATTAATTCGCTGATGACATTTTTCAACTAATCCAGTGATTCAGTGATCTCTGTAACATTTTTGGAATATAATAGAAAATATCCATCACAAGATGATTGATGTCTTTAAAGCTGCCACGCCGACCACGGAATCCGCACAGCCGTGCGTTGCTCCTTCCCATTATCACGCTTCTGTTTTTCTTATAATCTTTCTATACTGTTTTTTTTTTCTTAAGCCTGATAAAAACAACATTATACAAATGTGTTAAAAATAATTTCTGTGTGAGAGAGCGAGAGAGAGAGTGTGAGATATTCTATTATGTATAAAACATATATAACACAATGAAACTAATAAACAAATATATATAAAAAGAACAACGCCTGTGAAAAAGTAAATATAAATCCTGTCACCTGTGATCGGTCTTCGCAGGGTTTCTGTCCGTGTACGTTCTCACCTCTGAGAACTGGGACGCAGTGGGCCATGCGTCCATGTGGAACGAGAGGAGCCGGCCCGAGACAGGGCTAACAGGCGGGGAGTCGGCATGTGTTTTCTACAGATACAAGAACAACCCATCTGTGAGTGACACACTGAGCAAAGCAGTATGTGTTTGATTCATCCCACAGAAAGCCGGACTCGATTCTGAGCATTCACTGTAATGAGCTGGCTGCTGATCCACTGTAACCCATCTGATCATTTCTTGCATATTCGGCGCACATCAGTATACTATGTGCCCAAAAACCCTGTAAGGACTCGTGGTCCGACTGGTTATACAGTACGTGCATGTGAATAAGTCCTGATTATATAATATAAGGCAGGTCAATTGGTACGAGCAGATTATTCGACTGTTGAGCTTCTCAAAATTCACTGCCGGTCAACCTCCATTTTTTCCCTCGCAGCCTGGTGTTTTTTTCACGCGATTTTAATCAAGATAAACGGCCGTGTGTGGAGCGTCAAATTTATCACGCAACGCCTGCAGGAATTTAGGGAGCTGAAAGAGAAGACTTTCACGCAGTATTTAGCAGCTGTGCACGGCAGATACCACAGCAACCACCCAGCAATTTATAGATTGCTGGCCAGTAAAATCTTGGTTATACCACTTTGATATTTCATGATTTAGGTGGGTCTTTAGATTGGAAATTGTTTTTTTTTGTAAGTATACATCTGGTATTGTGCTCGTATAAACTATTGATAGTAGTGGAGGGACCCAGGTGGGAATGGCCGTGTCACAGTGTATATGACATAGAGCTCTAATGATAAGACAAGTTGGTTAATATACAGAAAGTAGGAAGAGGTAATATGCAATTCTTTTGAAAATGGTTTCATTGTTTTAGCTCCCAAGATCTTTAATGTAAATATTTACTGCTTTTCTTTGTCTTGCATCATAGTTAATTTGCTATTTGAGGCCTCCGGTTTTATATTGCATAGAGCAAACACATATTCCAGGAAATTAATCGGCTAATAAATCGATAATGAAGACGATTGTTGGCTGCAGGCAAAGCATGATATTTCCATTTCAATGCTGCCTGCCTTCAATCTGTCATCCGACAGTAGAATCCGCCTTTTCTGTTTTTCAGTTACACTTACATCATCCACGTATGTTCCAATGTTGCATCACATGCCTCCCGCTCTCTTTTCCCCGTAGGTCTTGATGTGCCAGGTGACTTGCTACGTTGCAGAAGACCAGCTGTTCCAGTGGACGGAAAAGGTTGGTTAGCACAGCCAAATCCGCCGGATGGAACTTGATTAAATGATTAATTAATGAAATGATGTTGTGCAGAGAAAGTTCAGGACGACCTGCGAGCAGATATCTCTCACGGCGGTCCACACCAGTGGCTCTCGACCTTTATCGTGTCAAGGGCCCCTCGATTGATAAACATTAGACTGTGTGGCCCCCCTCGTTTGATCTGACCTCTCTCCAGGGACGACCTAAATAAAATACAGGCGATGTTGAGCGAGGCCTCTGCCTGTTTCTGTCCCCGTAGGTCTTTGGCTGCCTGCAGTGGAGACAGCTGAACGTGACCGTGCTGTCGGACAGCTCCGTGGCGGAGTACAAGACAGCCGACTACCTGTGCTGTAGCTCCGCCCCCTTTCTGCGCTCCCTCCACACCGGCGCTTTCCACGGTCAGCCTGTCTGCCGGTCACTGGAGCAACCCAACATAATCACTGGACTCCCAGCTGCAGGTACTGCCGTTACTTTACACTGAGAATGGGAAATGAACAGGAAACGGGTGGGATATGACTCCCCGTGACAACCACGTTTTAGAAGAGAATAATAATGCGTTGAAGGTTTTTTTCGTGAAGGAAAGAGGCATCTAAAACAACATCAATAATATCTCAAATGAAAATCACAATCATCTCTCCACCTCTGTGGAAGCTGTGTGCTCCATGTCGACTTCTTTAAGACTATTTTTGGCCAGATGGAGTTAATCTTCTTTTGCAGGACTGAAAATGTACTTATGTTGATGCATTGTGCCGTTATACAATACAGAAAGCTGAAATAAGTGGACCTCATTATTTCTGAGCATGATTGCCTCCTTTTCTAGTGCCAGACGCCATGTGGGGACGTTAAGAGCTGTGATTCATCCTCTGTGTCTAATAATGATGTTGAGATTATTGATAAAACAAGTAGTAGAAGCTCTGTAGTCCGTTTCTTTTCACTAACGCGTGTGATAAACTCTCTTTATGAATTCATGAACCAAACGGCGTAACTTTATTGTGCGTGCGTGCTCTTAAAGACACTGGAAGTCCAAACAAAGAGACTCGTCGTCCTGGTTAAGAACATGAGACCGTAAAACTTTAAGGACCGTGAGTCAAACTATTGAGTCCTCAGCAATTCTGATGATTTTATTTGTCTCTTTTTTCTTCAGTGCTGAACCACTGCGAGGTCCACCGCATCGCCACAGTAGTTTACCAGTGTTACAGTGACGTCACCGGCCCTGACTCCGTCACCATGGAGACCTTCAAGCCTGCACTAACTAAGCTCGGCGAGTCGATACAGGTGAACTGCTTTTCTATTTGCATCTGAGGGGGAGGAGGCGTGTAAAAGGTCAGATGATGACTAAACTGCATCGACAGTGTTTCCCTGTTCTCCTCATTTTTAACACGTTGCTCTGCGGCTTTTCTTTTCTCTTCAGTTGGACCCGTCTCCAAGCATAGACATCCTCCGCAAGTTTGCCCGAACCACCAACATCCAGAGTAATCTTTATATCTGAAAATGCCCATGTTGCACTCTATGCACTGCAGTTTAATTTTATTTTTTAAATAAAGAAATTAGGTAAAGAAAGCCTCTCTGTGAATGTCAGTGGTTTATTGACTTACCTAATTGTTTTTGTTTTCCTGCCCTCAATTCGGAGTCCCGTAACAGGGAGAATTATAATTGTGTTTCGGTCACTTGAACTTACAGATGACAAATTTTAGAAATAAATCATAGGTTGTTGTTGTTTTTTTGCCTTTGGGCATTCTTCATAATCTGTAAACCTCTCTGTTCTTTTCATTACACAGATGTTTAATGAACGCGGTCAGTATAGCATCAAAAATACATGAAATATACCTACATTGTGCGGATTTAGTAAAAGTAAAATTCCTGCATTCAATATTTTGCTCACGTATAAGTAAAACCAATTGCAATCAAAATACACTTCAAATGTTATGGTGGGCCTTGATTTTTTTATGTGCAGGTGTATATTTCCCTCCCCGGTAGGGGGCGGTAATGCGCCGGCAAGCTCTTTTTCCAACGCTGGAAATTCAAAGAAGATGAAGTGAGCGAAACTCAAACAAGTCCGTTTGGCGTTTTTCCGTCAACAAACAAAGTTGGTGGGTTTTTTTATTTCTCCATTCGGTTGCTCATACGTCGAACGGTCGACAAACCTCGCTGTCTCATCACGTCAGCGTACAACCGAGCCCCTCGGATACCAAGAAGCTGTATAAAGTGGAAGGTTAGCATCAGGCTAACCACGCTAACGTTACCAATGAGTGCCGGAAGGTTCCTAACTTCTAAAAGCTGCCGGTGCAAAGTCTCGGTGAACCGGGGTAAGGAGCACCCAGCTCCCAGAGGGGCCAACCGGGTGCTGGCTGGCAGAAACCCGGCAGTTGTGGCGGTGGGAGCCTGGGTGGAGGCCGGACAAGACTTTGTGCAGCACCCGTCGGTGAGTTTGGCATTTAATGCTATTGCTAAGCTAGCTTTGACGCTGTCGGTTGCCAGGCTGTTGAGAAGCCGTTAGCCAGTGATGAGTTATGCTAAAATAATTGTTTTAATCAGTTGTGGAAGTGAGAATAACAATACTGCAGTATTACACTACTTGGTTACAGGTAATAGTTCTGCAATCGTAAAAGTGTCGGCATTAAAATGTAATTTAGTAAGTTCATTCATTCAGAATGACCCATTCAGAATCAAAGAAAAGCTCATTTGTATCACTTGTTTGTAATTAGTGATGCAAAATAATGATCTAACTTTTAAAAGTGGTGATATTATTATTATTATTATGGTGAATTACTTTATACACTATACTGGTTTAACGTTATACGTTTTAATACTATAAACTGCTGGGTAACGTAATCCATAATGATACAACAAAACTAACGTTAAGTTAATGTCATTCATATTTTGGATTTCTAATAATGTGCGTTATATAATGCAACGTGAGAGGTAACCATACCTTTTTATATTAATCGTGTACAGTAAAAAGTATAAATTTAGCTTTGCACTGAAACAAGTATCAATGGATGGTCTCATGTCTCAAGTAGAGTACAAGTACCTCATTATGGGTTATAACTAAGATAGAGTCCTTAAGTAAATATGCTTACGGTATGTCTTGATACAAAATCCATCATTTTTATATACTTTTATTGTGACAAAATAAATTTTAAATTGCAAACATGTTAAAATAATTTATGAACAATAACAATAGTTTTGATGATTCATTTGATGTTAATTGTCGATGGTCCTATGATACTCTGGATGTTTCCTCAAGCATTTCCTACATGTCTTGTCTCAGGCCCTGGCTTTGCTTACTGAGGAGATCCAGGCAGAAAAGAGGAGGGAGGCCGAAGAAAGTCTTCAGCGATTTCAAGATGAAGTTCGCCATCGTGTGGCACAGCAAGCTCAGGACCGCAAGAAGAGACTGCAGCGTCAGACTGACTCAGAGGTATAAATAACATTTTTAGCACCGAGACAATAGAGCATTAATGAAGTACAATCTAATTCAGATTCATTTCTTTTCAACCTTAGTTGTTTACATAGTTAGTATGTAAAGTGTGCTCTTCACTATTAAGCATTGCTTCATCCAGAAAAGGGGAAATTCCAGATTTAATATTAGTGTTGATAAGTGTTATGTTGTTTGATTAATAGGCCATCCTACTTCCAGTTTTGGCACTCCGTGGTGACTGTGAAACATGGCTGAAAAACTGCGTGTTTCTGTGCAGGTGAAACCACACGGAAGAGTCCTACAGCAGCAGCATCAGGTCTGGACTCGGCGTGTGTCTGCTGGCGAGAGGCTGATGTCTGCGGGAGGTGCTGCACAACAAAGGGTGACTGATAGGAGCTCTCAACAGGTAAGATGGTATTGGTGTTGAATCAAAGAAATATTAGTGGTATTTAGTGTTTTGTGTGCACTTTGGTAAAGCCACTTCCGCACAGTCTTTTGCAATCTAATACTTTTCTTTTTGTCACAGATTTTTATTTTAATAATTGGTGTTCCATGGATCGAAATAAAAATAAACTAAAGTAAATGGACAAATACTTTACCTTAGTAATAAGTAAGTAAAGTATACCTTGTTAACTTTAGAAATAGAACGAGAGTGGAACTGACATCCCTGTTGAAATCAACATAGCAGGATAGTTAGAGCAGTGGCCTTTTCTTCTCCATTGCGAAGACCCTAACTTCACTTTAAACCATCAAAACAAACTTGTCTTGCATCAGTAGTAGTTTAACAGGTGATCATTTTGTTGCCTTTGTCGGTCGAGATGATTGCATTGTTTCCCTGCGTGAGTGATGGAACAATGTGACTGTGATTAATCTGTGGGATTATTTATTCCCACTGTTTTCCAGTCTAAAGGAGGCATGAGGCAGGTCCGACTCAGACTGGCCGCCTGTCGGATCATCCCGCATGGGGAAATGACGTCCGAGCTTTCCGGAGGCGAATGGAACATCTCCCCAACCAGACATGTGAGCGTCTGGTTCTCACACTTGTTCCTCTTTTGAACAACACATTGTTCCTATAAGTGTGTTAGTGTGTTTTTGCAAAGTCAGTGTGAAATAAAAACACATTGTCCTCTGCACCCAACAGACTGGAACTCGCGTGCTAAGAGCAGAACAAGAAGTGGAAGAGCAGGAGTATGTTGAGGAAGAGGAGAATGATCATTTCTTCTCTGGTCAACATGAATGTCCCCTCGTGCAGCAGAAGGTTAATGAACAGTGCCACCATTTCGCATTTTCACAAGCAAGCTTTCTGCTGTATACATACTGTTCATCAGCAAAACTCTCTATTATCCTTTCTGTGTTTGTTCTTTTTCAAAAACTCCTCATCATATTTATAATGTATATAAACTTTGTCATCACATGGTACGAGCGCCCGGATAGACTGGATGTCACGTGAGTTGTTAAAAGTAGCTGTGTCCCAGGTCAGCTGAATATGAGTCCCTTCTCTCCAAATGAGACAGTTTGGCAGCACAGCACCTTAAACGCGGTGAAAAGTGTTTTCAGTTGGCTCTCAGGTCAACTGGTAACCAGAATAGCTCAAGCTTTATGATCTTGATATAGTCTTTACACAGCGGACAGAATGTAATTATAAGTACATAACATGTACTAAACTTAACGGTACAAGTTGTGTTGTTTCACTTCCACACATGACTGACGGCATAATGCGGGGGAACAAGGTTGAGGGATATGTATTCCTACGCCTTCCATTTTCCTCTAAGGCCTTGCAGTTTACTACAACGACACCAGTAAATTGTGCATTGGTGCATCCGTCTGCTTTGTGCTTTCTGACTTCTCTGCCGTAAGCACATTGCTTCCTACCGAGGAGGTCAATCATTTAAAATATAGTTCAACAAGTTTCATTTCTTTAAAGTGTTCACAAAAACACCTATATGCTGTAGTTTACACAAGTCTTGTCACATTGTCTTATTTGTGACATACAGAGCTTTAATGGAGGTTTTTGAGGGAGGCGGCAGATTGTTTGTGGTAAGATTTTATTAAGAGACATTTTTGATTTGTTGACGATATCTATCCGACTGTTTGCCTCAGATGAGTGGACCTACCATGTGGGATTCTGAGAAACCGCAGTCTCCTGCTTTCAAGTCCGACGCCGGAGTCCCACAGGCCCTGTGGCCTCTTATCGACCAAGAAGAACTGAAAAGACAGGTAGACATCGGACATGTGCATGAAGCGCTGCCTTCACATGTTGGAAGCCCTTTCCCGTCTCAACAGATGTTACAAATAGCACCTCTCTCTCTCTCTCTCTCTCTGCAGCGTCAGTCTCAGTTCCTGATGCACCGACGTCTGTACATGAACATTGAGAGAGAGCAAATCAAGGAGAACAAACAGAACAGGAAACACCTGAAGAGGACGAGAAGGTGACGAGGCCACAGTATTTTCTTCTAAACCGCTTCCTCCTATTGGTGTGATTCGACTTCATCTGTTGAGCTGTACCTCGCGATCGCCGTTCAATGTTTTTATCATCAGCTTTACGACGCACGGCCTATTTGGCTCAAAGTATGCCTCAAACCTTCTTCCTCTGTATACGATAAAAAAGTGACGTGATAATGTACATTTCAAGTGATTCTGTAGCATCGGCCTCCTCTAACGTGGCCCCGTCTCCCCTGAAGGATCAAAGCCGAGAAAGAACAGGTTCGTCTGGAGGAAGAGCGGAGGTTGGAGAGGGATCGGCGGCTCGCGGAAGCCAAGCGGAAGCTGGAGGAGAGGGAGCTGCTGATCCTGGAGCGTCTGAAGCTTGAGGAGGAGAGAGAAGAGCATCTGCAGAGAAGGAGAAGAAGAGAGGAGAAAGGGAAAGTAGCTGTGAGGTAATAAATGTGTTAAATGTGTGAAGCCTTTGGTGCTCCACAGGAAGCGGTTTGGTCTGATAAAGTGAATTTATCTTATATCTATAAGTTCAGTATGGTTAACTCTGGGTCACCTGAACCAAATGAGCGGAGCTACAGAGTGATTGTAACTCCCGACAGGTACATTGAAGCTCTCAGAGCTCAGATGAAGGAGCGACTGTCTCAGGAGAAGCTGGAGCCTCCTCCTCTCTGCTGCTGCGCGTCGTCTTTCTGGGACTCCCACCCCGACACCTGCGCTAACAACTGCGTGTTCCACAACAATCCCAAAGGTGAGCGCTGCACGCTCGCGTAACCCCCCCCTCCCCTCCGGGTGGGGAGGATCGTGAGAACATGAAGAAGAACTGACTGTAGCGTTTGTCTCCTCCACAGCGTACGCCAAGGCGTTACAATCAACAATGCTGAGTTTGGAGTTACACTAAAGGCAGCTGATCTCTCTTCGTCAAACAAAGTCAGATGAGAAGGCTGGTGTCAGTTTTGTCTCCCTCCATGATGTGTGCATATGAGTCAAGATGAGGTGGATTCCAATAATGTTGTGCAGGCTTTCATGTTTTCCACGACGGACTGAGGTTTCATGGAACATTTTGAAAAGACATTGACTCAGAGATCAGGAATCAGGATTATGTATCTTAAAGACTTCGGTGATCCACTGACTTTTACCTCTGGCCTTTTTATCAGTTTTTACTATACTGATACTGAGTACTGATGACAAACGCTAATGTAAGAATCACACAACTGTATTTATAGATAAATGCTGATTCATTTACTGATGTTCGTCTTGAATCGTATTTGTTTTGATGAGGATCTTAACTCATCTGCAGGTTGAGAATGGCTGTATATTATAATAATAATAATAATAAAACTCTGACGGGGAACATTTGTATTTTTCAGCAGCAGAAGACTGTCTTTGTCCAGTAGAACTCAAATCTGTTACTTTAGTCAAAATGTAATGGCATTCATTAATTTAATGTTGCAGCTGATAAAAGCGAAGATCATTTAAATCAGTGTATATACAGCCGGGTAGATTAATCCACAATAACGCAAGCCTATTTATTAAGTTTAAGATTTATTTTACATGAATCAAAATCTGCAAAGTATCCAAAGCGGTCAGATAAATTATGTTGTGTGTTAGTTTTTGTTGTGACTATTAAATTGTCACTATCGTTGTTCACCACTAGGGGGAGTACTACCTGCTCACTCCTCACGCGCCGCTGTTTCCGGTGACGTAACCGGAGTGATGGGTGGGGGGGAGGGGGGGTCACATGGGCTCCGGAAGTCTCCCGACTGGAATATCCTATGGAATAACACATGTACAGGCAAATAATAACATTATTTTTATCCCGTCCGACGGCTTTTTTTTTTTCCCCCTTCCCTGAAGTCGCGCGTGGAGGCGGGCTGGTCCGCGGACCCGCTCCCGGCCTGAATATAAACTCCCCGCCGGCGCAGAATGGAGATGTGCTGCATGTTTACCACGTCGCACCGAGAGGCTGCTTCTCTGCTTCACGGTTGTAACGTTAGTTAGTGGCTGGAATCCGCGGACAGCATCAGCTTTCTGACCGGGTAATAAACGCCACAAACGCCCGGCGAGTTGCCTCTGAGCGTCCCACCACCGGAGCTTTTTTTAAACATTTTTTTTAATCTATTATTTATTTTGGAATGGTTTGAAACCTGAAGCCTTCTCCCCCCCCGAGGACATGTCTGGGCTTTGATTGTTTTTGTATTTCCGACTGTGACGCAAGTTTCTACCGAACCATGAAGACTCCGCTGGCTCCCGGGATCCGGCTGCTCACGTCCTTTTCTCGGGATAGTTGGTGAGTTGTCCCCTCATATTGTCCCCTGTGGTGCTACTGTTGGTCCGTGCCGTGTTTATCTCTCCCGGGCTGTAAATGATCTGCTCAGCCGCGTCGATAAACACATTCTGTGCATTTGTATTGTTACTATATAATATACCTGCAATGTTTTAACCCACTGACGCGTTACTAACGCGTTATTACGGGCTGTTTTCGCGTGTCTCGTGCTCGTTGGGGTTGTGAGGTATAAATCAAGAGTAATGTTAAACTATGTGAAAGAAAAAAATGGGAACTTCAGATTTGCTTCCATTATCGATGTATATTTGACCTTTAACAAATCGATTTGTTGCATCAAATCAAGAAATGTAAGGAATTTCGAAAAAATACCCGTGACCTTACATAATAATAACCTCAGTGTCTTGTACCAGCATTTAACAGCATTTTGCTGTAATCAAGCAATCAAGCCCCCCCCTCAAAAAAAACTACAACTACATCCCAACCAGAAAAAACCCAACTTAAACTTGATATAAGTTAACTTTGGGCTTCGTTTTCCTTAAGCCCAAAGTGATACCTTCAAATTGCCCCCCAGTAAAAATAATCAATTTGAGTTTTTTCTTGGAAGTTGACTGCAAAGATGAATCAATTACCACGATAGTTTACCAGTACTTCCACTAAATGCTTTTGCACTTGTTATTCTTTCAGTGTTACTCGCAGAGCCTGTTTGTGTTGATTAAACGTGACGATGCCTCGCCATCTTACGAACAAATACAACAGCCTTGCAGTAAATCCTGTCTTTGAGAAGTAAATACTATTAGCAGTAGCAAAACAACAATAAAAGAATACTTGAACACCAGGTCGGGCCCGTCCTAAAGGTTCACAAAATATCGCTGCCACGAGACGACTCATCTGGTAGGAAAAGAGGAGTAAAACCTGATGTTTCTAATATTTCATCATAGTTTTATTAGCACTACACAAATGTCCCAACACAGCTTATAGTGCTGATATCAGGTTTGTAAGTCATAAGTATTTTGTTATTTGTTGTTCTTGTTTTTATTTCGTCATCCTTTGTCTTTGCAGGTACCGCGGTTTCATTCTTACCCTCACCTTCCTCTTCTACACGGCCTACCACCTTTCACGGAAACCTATCAGCATCGTGAAGGTGAGCGGGGACAATTCAATTCCTTCTGTCCACGGGGCTTCTGCAGGAACGCGTGGGGTTCGTGGGTCAATAGAAGCGTGTTATTGGAGTTTGGAAGATGACTTAAAGAGTAAAATGATTAGGAATGTAATGAATAAACAGTTGAGAGCACCGGAATGTTTCATTCGCAGACTTTATTTTCACCGCAGAAGCTTTTTACCTGAACTCTCATCAGGTTTAACTGACTTTTTTTTTTTTTTTTTTTAGGTCTCTGACTGACAAACAATGCATACATTTTTAAAGGGAAGATTGTTTTCACCTCGTTCACCTCTCTTCGGTTTATGTTCATGCTTCTGATCTTTCTGTCTCATAATCAGAGTGAGCTGCACAGAAACTGTTCCCTGGTCATTCGACCTGCAGACCTTAACTTCACCAACAATGCTACATGGTGTGACTGGGCGCCCTTTGGTAAGTCCTTTATTTCGTTATCAACTCTGACACTACCACTCACGAGTAGATAATGCAGACCAGCAGTGGAAATTTGCAGAACCTCTTTGTAGTGTGTGGGATTGAAGAAGTAAAGAATACTCAAAACAGTGAGTAGGCAATACTAAAAAACGCTTATGTTCTTCCACAATGCGATACATAAAGGCAGATGTTTGTATTTCGATTTATACACTGCAGAAATAATATTCTAAAGCGCTTCATATATATATATATTATATATATATATATATATATATATATATATATATATATATATATATATATATATTCACATAAATATACATGTATTTCTTTGGGAATTGAGACACAACTTTCTCCGGTCGTCCAGCAGGGAAAAGACTTTATCAACATAAACCTTGACCTGCTGTGTGGTTTATTCAAGGAATTGTTACGGGGATCATCTGTGTTCATGTTATCACCTCAGCTAGAACTAGAGGGCTTCCTTAATTAAGCACAAGACTCAAGCTATTGATCACAGACTCTCCCTCCGCACGTGTGACATTTGACCCACTTGTTCACTGCACAGGTACTTTCCTTAAAAGCAGCCGTAAAGGACGCTCTACCCCACCCTCCCCCTCCCCCACAACTGAAACATCCATGATCCTAACCGTTTCATTTGTGTCGTCCCTCCAGACCAGAACAACTACCAGACCCTGTTTGGCGTTTTGGATAACTCCTTCCTGGTTGCCTATGCCATCGGCATGTTTTTCAGGTTAGTATGTGCCATTGCCGGCAGACATCTTTGTGTGTGTGTGTGGGTGTGTGTGTGTGTGTGTGTGTTTGTGCTTTGTCGAGTCCCGATCATCTCTCGTGTTAACAGCGGGATATTTGGAGAGCGTGTGCCTCTGCGCTACTACCTGAGCTTTGGGATGCTGATGAGCGGAGTGTTCACGTGTCTGTTTGGCCTCGGCTTCTACTTGAACATCCACTCGTTGTGGTACTACTCCGTCATCCAGGTAAAGACCGCAAAGTTGTACACATCTTCAGTTGCCTGTCTGTTTATAAATCCAAATCAACCCATGAATGAACGTCATAATTCTGGCGACTGAATGACGATTCCACTTTGTACAACCTGTAGTTGAGTTAAAGAAATTATAACTCCGAACCACAGAAACGGCTACGGGATGAATTGTCACTTTCTTCATGGTTGAGTTGAAGATTAACCGCTGCGCGAACCTAACTCACATTAGGGGGGAAAGAGGGAAGCACAGAGATCAGATGAGTTGTCTTTTGCTGACTCAACAAATGGACACCCTACCGACACACACACACACACACACACACCCTCCACAGGTTCCACTGCTGTGCCTCGACTCTGTAGGAAATGAACGTTGGTCTTAGTGTGGATTCACACTCACAAGAGTTTTGTTTCACTTCTTTCTTTCTTTTTCTCCACACTCCCCTTTTCCAGTAATAACCACCCATATCGCCGAGCAGGTTTTAGTCATGTGAGAGTCCACTTACCTCAGGGACGAGGGAGGAAACCAATTTTAGAACACCGGCTACTTTCCCTTCCTGTGTACAATAATAATGCTGCAGTTTCAAAGCTTATTTGTGATCCAAATGTTTCATCAGAAGTGTGTTTTGTTCTGACATTCGCATAGATCATTTTTAAGCGTTTAAACCATCCCATGACCGTTCCATGGAGTCAAATTCCACAAGTGAATTCAACAACGTATGCAATGTAAAGATCTCACTGCGGCTAATCTATCACATGACCCGCAGCTGCAGCGTGCCTTTTGGCTTATGTCTGCTGCGTGTGGGAATGTTCAGACTCAAGGCTCTTTCTCCTCCCTCTTTAAGTAGACTTTTCGGGTCTGGAACCGCCATCAAGAGGCTTTGATGCAGTAAGTTAACACATGCTGTCTGCTTGCTTCCCTCTGCAGGTCTTGAACGGGCTCATGCAGACCACCGGGTGGCCTGCAGTGGTGGCGTGCATCGGGAACTGGTTTGGAAAGGGGAAGTGAGTACTGCGCTGTGTGCACCACGCGTTCAGTCCTGCTGACTTTGCTGCAGTAGACGCCTCTTTTTGTGGCTGCCTGACTCCCACGTGCACATTTGTCACGTTTTGAGTCAACCCGTCCAACCTGCTTCATGAATCTAAACTGGCCCTCAAATAAACCTGACTGTTCCGAAGTTTGTAATCTCCAGCAGCATGTCTGAGGGATTACGATGTGCAGTTATCACATTGATTATTTTTTGTTTGATCCACACACAGACAGGAATGAAAAACTTCAAATAGTGTTTTTAGGTGGAGTGATGTGCCTGAGAGGTGGAGAGCGAGGCTAGCTGCTCCGCTCTGCTTCACTCATCGAACATCACTATAGCGTCGTGCTCGGCACACACACACGATTTATGTGTGTGTGTGTGTGTGTGCCGAGTAGTCAGAAAGAGAGCGAATAAGCGTCTCGCCTAGAATGTTGAACTGCTACTTAAATGCAATTTACGGCTAATTGATTAATTGTTGTGTTTTGATCATCAGACGTGGGTTCATCATGGGTGTGTGGAACTCTCACACCTCTGTGGGAAACATCTTGGGCTCCCTCATCGCAGGAGCTTTCGTGTCCTCGGCGTGGGGATTGTCCTTCATCGTCCCCGGGCTCATTATCGCCTCCACTGGGATCCTGTGCTTTTTCTTCCTGGTTGAAAGTAAGTTTTTGTTCTCATGGTGGGTGTTTATCCAAAGACTCTTATTTTGAAGGCGGTTGCCTTTGCTACGTAGGTTGAATCTGCATGTGCAGGATCGTGTTTGACTGGTTTGTAAGTGAACATTTGTTGACATTTGTAATAGAAAAAATGTAGTTATAAAAAATACGTAAATTTCTCTGTTCCTTAAGTGGGAGAACTATACAGTTATTTGCAAGAATGTGCGAAGTATTGGCTGGGTAAATAAAAGAATATGTGTTTTTAAAGAATTTAAAAGATTGGTTACTCATTTCCTCCCTCAGTACAGACTGAAGTGTGAGAATGACTCGTGGTGGTTTTAGCGTTCCCTTATCTTGTCAAATATAGTTTTTGTTTTTTAATTCCTCTCTTTTTCAGAACCCGAACACATCAACTGCACTCCTCCCCAGCATCACGTGAGTAAAAGAAACACCTCTACCTGCCCAGTTCCTTCTGACTACTTCTAATAGTACCCATATTTGCATTTTCTACATCTAAACAATCAATTAGCTGTGCGGCAGCATGAGAAGCTCCGCTTTCTCTGCTTACAGGTGGAGATTGACGTGTTTATGACAGAACTACTCTGCCGGTCCGTAACGAGACTCCGCTTTCTGTTTTCAGAGTGAGAAGGAGAGCGACGGCGACGAGACCGAGTCTGTCACCAATAACTCGTCCCATGTCGACCGAGTGGCCTACGGTTCCATCAGCGCCGAGCCCGCAGAGGCTGTTGAGCAGCACACGGAGGCCATCAGCTTCAGCGGGGCTCTGAGTATCCCTGTGAGTGGAGACGCCTCTTTTTCACCATCCAAACGTCTTCCATGGACATAATCCTATTGCAGGACGAGTAGAGCCAAACTGATAGAAAGGATGTCTGCTCACTTGGATTCATACAGTGATTCGCTTTATTTTGAGCCTGGGGTCAAAGGTTTGTCTCGTCGTATCGTTACACCCCCCCCACTAAAGAAGGCCGGTTGATTGTGAATCATATCACTGATAATTAAGGCCTTGCAGGAAAGTTTTTGACGTGGTTTTATTGTCTCTCTCAAGGGAGTGGTTGAGTTTTCTCTCTGCCTGCTGTTTGCCAAGCTGGTCAGCTACACCTTCCTGTACTGGCTTCCTCTCTACATCTCCAACGTTGGTCAGTATTTATATTTTTAAACGACAAGACAAGTATCCTACATTGTAGTTTCATCCACTTGAATTGAAATTGACTGAAGTTGTATTTTTTTTAATTTTCAGCACACTTTGATGCAAAGGCGGCAGGAGACATGTCGACGCTGTTTGATGTAGGAGGAATCGTGGGTAAGCTTTGATTTAGCATATGACAATCTGACTGGAAGGAAAAAGAAATACAAAATATCTAATGCAAACACGCCTCTGTAGTTCAGGCCGGAAAACAAAAAGCCTTAATTTGAAGTTAATATCTACTACTGCCGTTGCTGTTTAATTATACATCATTGGGAAATCCGACTGGTTGAGCTCATGCAACTGATAATCCCAGTGCCGTGAGGAAGACGTGAGCTGGCTTCAACGTGCTGTGTGTCAACAGGAGGCATCACGGCGGGCCTCGTGTCCGACTACACGGGCGGCAGAGCGACGACCTGCTGCGTCATGTTGCTCACTGCGGCCCCGATGGTGAGCGTCGTCTCATAAATCCAGCAATTCCAGACATTCTACAGATGAAGTGTTTGTAATCTCCTGCTGCCAAAGCCTGATTGTGTCACATTGTGTTAATCATAAACACTATTTTGTCTGTTGACAATGCATGTAGTGACTTAATTATACTAGTTTAATTTCTGTTGTTATTATTGAAGGAAAGAAGTAGAGAAACAACTTTGGTTGTCATGTATGTGTGGATACAGCTGATGCTTTGAACCAAAAAAAAGGAGATTAAAGCAAAAGTGATATGTGTTCTTGTCTTGTTCATGTTGCAGCTTTTCCTCTATAACTACATTGGACAAAGGAGCCTGGCTACTACAGTCGGTAAGACTTGCTTCCCTTTCTTGTTGTTCCACATTTCGTTTTTTACTCCCTATAATGAGCCAAAGTTAAAAAAGAAAAAACCTCACTGGATTTTAGGAAAACAATCATGTGCTGCTGCATTCCACCCGTTCTAAGTGATTCCAATGTTACACTTTAGTAACGAAGAAGTTGGATCTTCGTCTCCTTTATTTTTTTAAGTCGACAGTCCTTTCTGTTTGCTTTATTCACATTGACCACATCTATCTGATGAGTTAGCTGTGAGTCATCAGACGGCCTATGAAAGTTCATTCACTGTGTAGTTTCTATTTAACGCTCTTTATCTTTTTGTCACCTTGTGAAGGTATGCTGCTGTTGTGCGGAGGCCTGGTGAACGGACCGTATGCCCTCATCACTACTGCCGTATCTGCTGACCTGGTAAGACCTGAAGCATCATGGGAAACGTCCTGTGGTAAGATTGCTCGCAGTCGAATGAAAGATCTGAGTACATCTCCCACGTCTCTTTGTTGCAACAGGGAACCCACGAGAGTCTGAGAGGAAACTCCAGGGCGTTGTCAACGGTGACGGCCATTATTGACGGGACTGGTTCTGTTGGTATGGAGTTATTTTCCATGACTCTTTTTAAACACTACTTTATAACAATAAACAATACTTTATATCTGACAATTTGGACAAGAATGAACTGTTAAGATGTTTGGATCATCTTTGTTTATCCATCTGCATCTTCCTTCTATTTGTGTTTAACATTTGGCTGAAAATACTGCACGTTTAAGTTCTGTTTTCGATGTGACTTCTTAAAGCGATGTAACCGTCGGCGTGTTGTTTGCAGGAGCTGCGGTGGGTCCTCTGCTAGCCGGCCTGATCTCTCCCACTGGCTGGAACCACGTCTTCTACATGCTCATCACTTCTGACCTCTTAGCCTGCCTGGTGAGAAACCCCTTCAATCTTCATCTTTTACTCCCTCACACCACAACACGGCAAGGCTCGACATGCTCATTGCTGCCTCATTCCTGAGTGACACGCTGCTTGTTTGTTGGTCTGTCCGAAGTTTTTGTCCAGGCTCGTTTACAAAGAAGCTCTTGGTTGGTGTCGACGTGTCCCCCGAGCCAGAGGGTGAGTGTGCACACCAGTAGGGCCTCACAATTCATTGCATATTACATAGAGATGTACCGATACTGCAAATGGATATCAGTCCCGTACTAACTCAAGTAGCCGGATAAGCGATCGCTGAGGATGAACGATTTGGTACATGATTCCACTGTTTTATTCAAAAACAATTCAGTAAATGCCTGTGTTTATTTATAGGATTTCATTAGAATGTGTAGGTCAACCCTGATGTTGCCATACACATAAAACATGATCCTAGTCACTTCGACACATTTAGGCATACGGCTTATTGATTGACGTGATTGTATTGTAAATGGTTTATAGTCATTCTCAAATCTTTTTGATTCCAGGTTCAAAGAAATCTGAAACACCGGGAACCAAAATTGAGAAAAGAGGGAGAAAATGCCGAAACTGACCTCGGTGGACATTATATACTTCACTGAATGGAAACCATTGGAGCCGCCAGTGGAGGATTCGAGGCACTACAACTGACGATCAAGGCCGCCTTCTTCTTTTAAAAGACAAATATTTCTTTATGGACACAACACTCTTTTTTAAATGACTGATTTACCGATTTTAACTTGTTTTAATATTCTTTTATCATTAAAAAGTGTGTGCATTTTCTTAATTTCTGTCTCCCTAGTTACTGCATAAAAACAATATATAACAATAACCTCTATGTTTTGAGGGGATGATTCGTCTAATGTCTGAATCACATTTTGCCTGACCAACAAAAAGAAAGTTGACGCCGCCTTCCTATATTTCCATCTCTCATTTACGCACATGGGTCAAATTATGAATATCAGCCTAAAACTGTGCTTAAAATGGGACGGGTGTCGGCAAATTACACAGATGACAATTGGACTCCCTGCTCCCCGTTCTCCGTGGCAACCTCTATAAAAAGGTAGTCAATGACAGTAATAAGAACGTACTAGAAGGACATCGTGACCACAGGCCTCCACAAGGACAAATGACCTCATTCACAATGTTATTAAAAGCGGAACACTTCTTTTCCCTTTGATTCAGATATGCTCCAAAATGTGGTATGACAGACTTGCGTGAATAAACACTTAAATATCGGCTTATATAAGCAGTGTACTTTATTATGTATAGTTTGTCTTGTACTGACAGACCCCAGCCATCAGAGGGCAGGAGGAAACCTCGTTATTGCAGCGCTCACTTCTTCCAGCCCTGAGCCCCCCCCCCCCGCAGGCCACCTCCCAGAAAGAGAGGGACCCTCCAAAAGTTAATGATGTGGGTGGAGAAAATCTTTTTTTTTTTTTTTTGCAAGACCTGTGCAGGGCTCTCCTGTATGTGGCAGATCTGCTCGGTTTAAAGGTGGAGTGAGTAATTCTGGGAATGATGTGAGGTTGCATAACTACTGAGAAACGTTATCGGCGTGAGCTGCTCCGTGTTCAACTGCAGCAACGAGAGCAACAAACCTCGAGGAGAAATTTGTTGCACGCCAAGTGATGTCAAAAACGTGTGCGGGCGCATCGTGGACGCACTTTGATGTCAATCCATCGTCTTGTGGAATGAGATTCAAAGAACATTTGGTGGGAGGTGTCAAAACAAAACGGTGCGAAAACGTGGCACGAGCCATAAAACAACATCTGACACAATGACGAATAGAAACTGCTAAAGTTGATGACTTCGCTTTTTTACGTTGTTTTTTTCAGCAGCTGATTGCGACCCAAAAACATGGTCTCAGCCAACCACAGAGTATTAAAAAAAGAACCAATTCGGGAGGTGACCTTGGAGGTGGACCATCGTCTCATGCGCCTTGAGATTATAAACATTGGCACAAACATTTGAATTATCGCGTGAGCCACAAGACAATGAGCCTCTGTGTGTGTGAGAGAGAGAGAGAGAGAGAGAGAGAGAGAGAGAGAGCAGCCTTTCTGACTGAGGTGAAGGTGAATTATTTGAATCTGTCAGGGCAGCCTGTTCTCTCCTCTCTTCAGCCCAAATTCCAATTCCAAGTCAATAATGTGGTCACCTCTTATTTACAATGTCTTCCTTTTACAATCTCCACAAATTCCCTCCCAGTTTTGATCACCCTCCCAAAAATGCTTGTGATGTGAGATTTAGCTTTATTTGTCTTCTTGAACGTCTAATCAGCCATTGAAGAGCCTTTGCAGGAGAGTTGTGTAGCTACATGTGCACGTAAAGCCTAATGAGTCTGTGTAATCTGGCTCTCTGCTAAACTCACATTGTCAATTGTCCCGCAAATGGATCTGAATCTTTGATCTGAATCTTTCACACCACCATTGCTAAAAGTTGTTTAAATGCCACCAATTGCTAAAATGTTTTAAGTCATTTATTTTCGAATCAGTTTTGATATCAACTCCACCCTCGTTTCACTCCCACATTTCTTCACCACTCATTTTGGAACATTGTGTCCTAACGACGAGATGAACCCCCCCCCGAGGGGAACGTGAGCTCGGTGAGTTTACAAAGTCATCAGAGCTCCGTGAGCTGGAAAGCAAACCCGGAAACTCGGAAACACGGGAGCGCCGATGTGCAACTCGGGGTCACGGCCGGGTTGGTGTGTTGTTTTTGTCTGTCCTGGATCTTTTGTCATTGAATTCATGCAGACAGTGTATCACAGTACAACACTAGGGTATCTTTTTCGGTGAAGGAATGGACTCAAACTTTCACTAAATGCTTACAGTAAATACTAGATCTGATTACCATTGTTAGATGTGGTTGAACCAACTAAGGCCTGTTCAAAGTGCTGTTAGATCTGACTCTCCTCCGCGTACCTGGAGATGCCGTTAATGAATGAAAGACTAGAGTTTGTGTGTCACCAGAAGTTGATATTTGCAGAAAATATTTGCTTCTTCACGTATTGCAACTGTCATATGAGTCTTTTTTTCTGAATGAAATCGACGGTGGTAACCTAGCGGGATTACAAAAGATCACAATCGATGTTTTATAGCTGTCCCGAGCAGTAAACAGCAGTTTTAGCAGTTAAAGCTCAGTCACGATTCATACCCTCGAGTGATACAGTAAAACATAATTGGGGACCTTGTGTCTGTTTCCCCATCGTGCACAGCCTTGAATGGAATTTTTGTAGGTGAGAATGTCTTTTGTCTGACTAATTTCTTTTTCTCTAAAGTGTTCATTCACGGCATGTGGCTGCCAACTCTCACACGTCGACTGTGAGAAACAAACAAGAAACACATTCACACGCACCCCTTGGGGTGTTTTTCAAAGAGAATTGATGCCCTTTCATCCTCGTCAGTCAGTGTTATAATTGCGGCATCTTCTATATTTTGACGCTTTTACTGAGGTTTTTGGGAATATCATTCACCTTTTGTCAGGTTCCCTTTACTCTGTGCATTGGCCCCTTTAGCCGCCGGCTTGTCTCTGACATGTCGAGATATGTCAAGTCAATCTAAATAGTTCTGATTAGAGAGTTTTGATTAGAATTGATTACAAAACAAATGTTGACATGAGTTATAGTTTTTAATACTCGCTGCTCAAGAACACGGACATGACACGATTATAGTAATTGCATGGTTCACTGCCTTGGCTTTGTCTGTAAAGCCCTGTGCACGCATGTAGATGGCGTCTAGTTATAACATGTCAGAGACATGTGACCGGGCGCCTTCAAAAAGCTTCAGAGCCGCGGTGAGATTAACGGAGGTTAAGTACTTGTTTCCAGTTGAAGTGCTTCAAACCAACACACCGCCCTCCTGTTTTTTGCCTCACAAGTAAATACACAAGTTGAAGAATCCTTCGTTTTGCCCATTAACGTTACTGAGTTAAGGTCACGTTTTACTTTGCCCTTGCTGACACTTTACAGATGTAATCATAGGAACAGTGTTTGTAAATTAAAGTGCAATCAAAGTTCTCAATTTCTAAAGATATGTTAGAAACGCACACCGAGCTTCTCTTCATTCATTCTTCTACCACATCCTGACATGGAAGATGATGGTACCATACGTGTTCCGGAGACTCTTCCAAGAGACCTCACCAAATGATGTCAGAGGGTCATTCAATAGATTCTATGGCCATTCATGAATGAGAAACGGCATCTTCAACGCGACATCATTCCTCCAGACCTAAAAGACAATCAATTAGCATTCGTTGTTCTAAACGCCTGACACAATAAGCTATGAACACATGAGCAGTAGGAACTGACGGCCTTTGGAGACGTTTTATATCAACTTCACAATCGTTTCAGTCATACATTCTTTCACACCTACATTTTGCTTCTTTGACCTGATGTGATTCATGCTGACGCGGCAGCAGTGCGTCGTTAGACGCGTTGGTGGAGCTGGAATGTGCTCTGGGGATCATGAGGACGTGATGGATTGACTTTGGGTCCTGAACTGGTCACTGGTCCGACACGAAACAGAAGAGCAAGGTGTGCTGGAGCAAAAGAGGGGCAATTACTTGCAGCAACTCTGTTCAATTTTTTCGTGTTCTCACACGCCCTCCACAGAAGGTGTTGAATTCACACCTTGGCCTGTCCCCTGCGGCCATCCTGAATTAGTTTGGATTTTGTTCACCCTGTTTCTCACTGCTTCTCATCCTTCTCCAAGAAAACGATTTGGTTGAAGATTACTTGGGTATTAACAATGGTCATGCCTATCTACATTAGATTTGAATCAATGCTTGAAATCAATCTCTTGAGCTGGAAACAGCAGTTTTGTGATCTTATAACAGCTCTCAGTCACGATTCAAACGCTCAAGTCATAAAGTAGAAGATGCTCCCATGTCGCAGAGGCTTTTTACTGCTAATAATTTCTGTGTTTTTGTCTTACTCACACACTTTCATGACTAATTTCTTTTTTTAAACAGTGTGTTCGCCGTTGCTTACTTTCGGTGGCTCTGAAATACACCCAATAGACGCTATTCTCACGCTGTATTACTTCTTATTTTGTGTTTTGTCTTGCACTAGTAACATTTTAGGGTACTTTTAAACCAGAAATAAAACTCTCATAACAATTCCATATCAGCTGCCGTGTTTCTATTAGCAGACAGAAACAGAATCCTTTGTTTCAATAATATCCACCGAAAACATCGGCTCATGGGACGGCTCCTGAAATGTGTGTCTCCACTTCTCTCAGCTCATCCACAACTTTACCAACGGTACTCGCGAAGCCCCATGCAGCTTTTTTCCCTCAATTTGTTTATCGAGCACACCGTGGAACCCAGTGAGACGAGAGCGTGGAGCCTGCATTACTATGCATTACCTGGACACCAACGTATACGTAGCTATGAGCTGGTTCCATAAGAGAGGAGCTACTATGGAGAGATGATGGTGATTTTCACCTATCATCATTTGGCCTTTTGGGTTTTTTGATAAAACAGCCCCCTTTTATGGCAGTTCCTTTATGACCCACTAGATGATGCTGTGAGGCCCACGGGTGGGACACGGCTGGGGTCGTCGTCGATAGATTTAAACTGTCAATCTTAATGACGATATTTGGAAGAGCTGCCCTACTCTGTAGGCAATCTGGGCTCTTAAGCTTTTCAAAAAAGATATTTTGTTGGTGCGATTTTTGACTGTTTAATAAACAATTTCGATGAATTCCTTTTTTCAATATTCCATTTAATTGCTTGCTTGACAAGTCTCACTGTAATATTGTTCACTCACTGTAAGATTGTATTCTGGGGCCCGTGTTGAATAGAAATGTCACAGTTGATACTCAATGACAGTTTTTCCAAGACGCCAAGGTTCTACCTTTTATATGACGTAAAAAAACCGAATGACATTAACTTTCACAATCAGCCATCCTTTTTGTATTTGTTTATCCATTGTTTGCATAACGAGGGCAAAACAAACATATTATACAATACCACTTAAAAAGGTAATGACAATAGTAGCAGGTTAACCCACAGTCCATCAGGTGTACAAACCTACAATTAAAGTATTGTGTATCAAGGTAAAATAACCTTAATGTGTAGTTGCAAGGCACTTATCACAGTTTAAAGAGTTTATATGAAGACGTTTGTGTGTGTGTAACACGTTATAGGGCGGATATTTTCCACTCAATATTTAGATACAAATATACTGCAGCATCTCCATATCCACTAAAGATAAGACAAACATATACAGTGGATGTACAATAAGACTACTCAAATTAACAAAAAAGGAAGGAAATCATACAAAACACATTAAAATGCAACACGGCAGATGATGATCAACAAACTGACCTTTGTGATCCAGGCATGTGCATTGGCACAAGTCCTGTTCTTTGAAAACAAAATCCATCTCTACTAAATTGGATTGGAAATACTCCTGCCCAATTATATTGAAAAAGATGGTCTGAAAACATTACAGGTAGACCCACACTTAGTTGTGAGGTTAAGGCAGGTGCCTGTATCCATCAGGCTGCTCTGAGAAACATTTTGGATTAAAGTTCAAAACAGTAATGAAAATGAATCAACTGCACCTGTATTCTTAAACTAAAAAACTAAAACTATTGGTCCAAGTAGTTTAGTCTAAGTTGGTTTAGAACATCCCGTCGGGGTCTTTGCTGGCCAGAGTACAGAAAGCAGGGCAGAAGACATGTTTTGGAATGACTTCATAATGTTGCATTACTCATGATGGAAATCTAACAACTGTGCTCCCTGAGTGAGTTCCACATTATAGGATAAAGGTTTAAGCTCTGTAATGGCAGCGAGGCCCTTTGTGGAGAAACCTTTTTGATCCAAGGCGAGGTCCACCGGCTGGCACAGCAGCAAGAAACGCTGAAAAAGAAAACGGTAAAATTCAGTTAAAACGCATTGCTCATTACTTTATGTGCACCACAAGTGCTTCTTTGCAATGTAATATTTTCTCATCAATTATTAGTCATAAATCAGTATTTATAAGTTACTGAAATCCCCCCAAAAATACTAGATTGCACTATAGAAAAAATGTGATACACTAAAAAGTTTTGATATTCTCATGCAAACTCTTATGAAAAGCTTAAGGGGAGATTTGAAAGCGTTGGTGGGATTTACTCAAAAGAGACAGTGTAGAAGAACTCTGATACCGACTCAGAGATTAAAGTTCTCATTGTGTGCTAAACAGCCCATACCAGACTAACGTGTACATCATTGGCTTTTTATTATTGTAAACATAAATCACTTCAATGTTGCTGAATATAGTGGAGTGAAAAGTATTTTCCCCTGAAGTGAAGCAGCATGTGATGTAAATACCGCAAATACAGATCAAATATACGCAGTTACTAATGCCGGATTATTCCTTTAAGCAGGGAATCACATTCTACAACCACAAGTAAAAGTTTGAGGGTTTTTACTACAAAGGAAATAAATCCTGCCGGTGATTCCAGGAGAGAAATCCAAGAGGGAAATAGTGGAGAGACACCGAGCTGCACAGCCCATATTTGAGTGTGCCCATCACATACAGAAAATCTAAAGTTAAACAACAAATAGACCTTAATCTATACAAGAGGTTAAGAGTTTTACCAAACATGTGTCAAAATTGGGCCAAACAGAATTTATTCAATGCAGAGGGAAGCAAGAGGCGTATATTCACCTGTCGAAGAGTCCCTTTTCCCTGGATTATTTTGTAAACCATAAACAGAGGGATGAGGGAGAGCGAGATGGTGGCTATGAACCAACCCAAGATGTTGGCCCAGAGTGGATAAACATAGGCGCTACTGAACTTCAGCGGGGTGTATTTGACGATGGAGAAGATGAAGGTGCCCTGGTATTAGAGGAGACAAAGGTTGATAAGTGTTAAATGTGACAGTCTGTGCCAGTAACTGTAACACAAGACACTAACTTAAATGAACTCTAACCTTTAACCTGAGATCTAATACAACAGTCAGTAGACTGATCGAAACATCTGCGATCGAAAGGACTGAACGCTTACAAAACAGAAGCAGGGAGTGATGTAGCGCCAGCAGTACTTCATAAAAGGGTACGGACGGTACCCGATCATGTCTGTTATGTTGCCATAGAAACGATCAGCACCTTTAGGAAGGGAAAAGACATTAGCCCTGTTAAAATATGTCGTAAGCCACTTTAGTCTCGACACTGCGTGTTCTTCTGACTCACCGTACACCCAGGCAATGCTGACTGACTGGAAAAGGGAGAGGATGAGCAGGGTGGTGCCGCTGCAGACGTGATGGTCCAACAGGTGGAGCAGGTACATTCCTCCCTAAACACGAGGGCATAGGTAACCGCTACATCAGGAGTAATATAATATTGTTCGATTAGTGGAAAGACGGCATGATTTGTTTAGCCTTGCTTATTAGTTTAGCACACTTTTCCTCTAACAGTAACATATTTTATGTATTCAATTGTGAGCTTTAGCGCTGTGAATATTTTATCAACAAACCATTTTGGTTTTTATCCTCTTTATGTGTTGTTTGTGCATTTTTGAAAAAGTATGTTAGAAGTTTCTAAAGCACATTAAGTATCATAAATAATATGTTGGTAAAGGGTTTTGCTAACAAACCTCGGTGACCAGGGAGAGTCCCAGCAAACAGCAGACACTGCAGATAGCCAGCAGAACCAGCTCGCGTCTATGGCCTTGGCGCAAGTAAGTGGGGAACAAATCTGTAATTGACGTCATCATACACTCCAGGCCAACAAACTGCCCGGAACCGGTGAGAGGGAAGAGAAACGGGATGTTGTTCGTTCATTCACTACTTTGTTCATTTATGAATTCATTCAGAGAGGTTCGGCCTTACCTGACTGTCCAATCCCAGCAGAATGATCATGAGGAAGAAACACACGGACCAAACCTGAGGCATGGGCATCATGGCTACAGCGCGTGGGTAGACAATGAATGCCAAACCCGGGCCTACACACATACACAGAAAGCACGTGTTAACCGTTTCACATGGGAATCATTGACAGTTTACTCTTTGTCTGCAGTGTTGCTCAGTTACAAATGTCTACGTGCGATGTCACAAATGTGAGTTTGATGCAATTGTGGTTCTGAGTTGTTGCCAAAATAACAAAAAGTAGGATTCGTGATTCATACAATAAAGATCATGATTAACGTTGTGACTGACTCGTTCCTCTTTCTGCTGTTGTGTTTAGCTCTGCTTGCTGGTAGGAGTTAATCATCCTCAGTGGTGGTAACATTCAGTAAGCTTCTTAGGTTGGAACAATAAGGGGATAAGGATCAAGAAACAAGGCAACATCTGGCAGAACTTCCACATTTCAGCAGGTAGTGTCTTTGCAGGGAGCTGCGTCTGGCAATTTACAAAACGAGCTCCCCTAAAAAGCTGTAAAGGAAGTGTCTCACTATTTAGTTGCCTTAGACGGTACTTGCCTGATTGGGCTACTTCAGAGATATCCACCCCTTGTTCCTTGGTCATGAAACCCAGAACAGAGAAAATGGCGAAGCCCGACACAATGCTGGTGGCACTGTTCAGTAGACACAAGTAGAAACAGTCCCTGCAAGAAAAGAGAAAACAGTTTTAGTGTAAATGTGTAACCAGTAAATGCTCATTTTACGACCACAAACTTGATCATCAGATTTAGTTACTACACATTCCGCGTAATTCTCCGATGTGTTTTAAGCGTAGATATACCATCACAAGGTTTTAATTGCCGCATTTTGCCAAGAACAGCCAACGCTGACATTTATTCAGAGGCGTATTTCAAGCCGGGGAGTTTTGCCACATTAGCTCGCCATTACCTGTAACAGTCGTTGTTGTAGGTGTTGTAACTCCCAAGAGAGGTTAGGAACCCAAGGCCGATGGCGTAGGAGAAGAAGATCTGAGTGCCAGCATCCATCCACACCTGACCGGGTCAAACAAATAACTGTGTTTATGTGCGTGATGACTCTCCGTAGGGAAAACCCTCTATGGGTTCCCCCGCCGAAGGACCGACGTGTGTTTTTACCTGGGGATCTGAAAGGCGGGAGATATCAGGGTACAGGTAGTAAATGATGCCATCTATTGCGCCCGGTAGTGTTACGCCACGTATCAGCAAAACAAAGAGCATAACAAAGGGGAACGTGGCTGTAAAGAAAGCCGCCTGAAATGAAAAATGAAACAGACAGGTAAAGCCTATTTGAACCGTCCTACAGTGTAACACACACACACACATATACATATATATATATATATATATATATAAGCTACACCATTGTTTAGGGGAGACTTGAACACAAAAACTGTGAAACATGTGAACGTTGCTCAGTCTAGCTCACCTTTCCTGTTGACTTGATGCCCTTCCAAATGCAAAAGTAGCAGATGACCCAAGACAGGACGAGGCACAAGACCAGCTCCCATCTCAAGCTACCGACATCCTCAATGCCGCTAGAGATTTTCAAAACCCGGCGCCTGGAGAGAGAAGGTGCAAGGGTGGGGGGTTGAGAGGGAGAGCGAAACGAATGCAAATACAGGTGTTGGGGAAAGATGAGAGGGAAACAGCAGCATGGGATGGTAGAGGAGTGACAGAAATCAACAGGAGAGAAACTCAGAGGTGGCCTGGGGGGAGGTAAGAAGAAAAAAACACAGCCAAATGGCTGTCTTGGATGTGTTTCGGTAGATAATTTACAAAGGTACCCAATAGGAAGCCTTAGAAAACATGATGCCTCATGATGCCTAAACTTGCAAAACCCCACAACACGTTAGGGCCCTTCATAGATGACCGTCTAGTGGCAAAGCAGTGTTAGGCGGTGCTGCATGTTACAAAACTTCCTGCACGCTGGTGCACATCTCCACCCCCCGTCCCTCCAGACCATTGGCAGACTGTGACTGTTGAGAAAAGAGAAAGAGGGCAAAGAAGAAAGAAAGGGGATGGATTGAAAGGACAATTAGCTTTTGATTCAACTTGTTTGTGCTTACTCCCAGAACTCCACAACAGGAAGAGTGGTATTCCGTCTGGATGTCATGCTGAGGCTCTGATTTGGATGGTTGATGTCCAGACATGAGTCTAGTACCAGAAAACAAAACGCTGGGAATCAAAAAAATGCTTACTTTCAAAGTTAAAGGTGAATTTAAAACGTGCATTTGAGCAAGGAAGACCGAGATCTTCTATCCTTTTGCGTTTAACAGCAACAGCTACTATCGTTGCATAACACTGTGAGTGAGTGGAGTGGAATAAAAAAAATCGTTTTCAACAATTCTTCAAACAAGGGGACATACCCGTGTTCCACTCGTGTCCACATGACGCCCAAGGTAACTCCGCGCTGAAGGACAAGAACAGGTAAAAGAAGGCCCACGCAATGATGATGATATAGGAGGTGGCACTGAATGCTATGATTAAGTGACTGGCATAGCCCATGCCTGAAAAACAAAATAAATACAAGTGAGGTTAGCAAAATGATAATATCCTGTTATTGTCCACTAAACACAGCTTTTGGGGGTAGAAAGTTACAGGTGCAAAACATAAATGACTTTGAAAATTAAACAATTGAACATGATTTTCATTTAAATCCAAGCACAAATGACCGTTTTGTTCAAAGACAATCGGTGAAGAAAGGATATCGTAAAAAAAAAAAAAAAAAGGAGACCGTGCGTAATTACGCACGGCTTTCACACCACGATCTCCTTCAAAGTTTGCAAACAGGGGGAAACAATATTATTTTAGTTACCTTGGAAAAGCGGACAAATTCTTCTCCAGCACGTTACACTCCCCTGGCTGGTGTATTGTCCCAAGGAAGTCTCGAGGAAGAATAAGGGTATTCCGCACGTAATCATGAACAACGTGTATGGTATGAAGAACACGCCTGCGAAAAACACGTTTTACTTCTTAATGCCACAATAGATCTATATGTATACGTAAATGTATGTATGTAATATAAGCAACAGCTGCTTAAGAATACTCGCCTCCGCCGTTCCTGTAGCATAAGTAGGGGAACCGCCACACATTACCAGGTCCGATTATTGCGCCCATCACGGTCAGGATGAACTCGGCTTTACTGCCCCAATGACCCCGTCCTTCCGACTCTTTAGGCGTCGGTGGAGGTTTGTTTTCCGACGAAACTGTGCAGGTTCCATTATTTCCTTTCATGGTCGTCTGTTCTCCCTTTAAATTCCTTGAATCAGTCTGGAGTGGCAACCTTGTCCTTTACCCAAAGACTTAAAACTTTGACTGTGCGCGACCTCTCCGACTGTCACACAGGACTGTGTGTGAATGAACACGTGAGGATGTTGTTGGCTGACATGGAGATGCTTTCATAACAGAAGATGCACCGCTATTTAAACTAAATGCGTCCCGGATACGTGCATGGTTAATAGGGGAGGGCGCAAAAGAAACTTGGGGAGGTATCCGTTTTCAAACGTCATTAGTGTAATGTTTACCACCCGTGGTTCTTTAACCACTTGAAACTATTCAGTTGAGTTATTACAACAAAGTGACGAGAAGCACTCGCTTCAAGGACGACACAAGAAAAATGCCTCCTGCACACAACTATGAATTCTATGTAAAGTACAGTGGGTTCGGATTGTTGACTTCCCACCACTGGGGGGTAGAGATGTTTCAATCAGGCCGAACGCTCCAATCAGCAGGATTATCTGCCAAAGGTGTTGATGTTTTGGAGGCCAGCGGTTGTTCTCCCGTGGAAGAGCGTGGAATAATGTGTTAGGATCTTTTGATGGTGTCACTAGTGGTAAACAGTGTTGTATTCCTTTTATTTTGGAGCAGGAAAGGTGGATTTAAATCACTTAATTTACAACCAAAGACCATTGGAAACAACATTATTTCACGCGTCAAAAGGAACTAACACCAACCAAGGTGACCTCACGTTTAATAGACAAAAGGGTCACTATAGTAGGCTAAATATTAATTTGTCAGATTGTGGTATCCTGAAGTAGAAACCAATGTTCGAGAAACTACCGACAATGCTGGAAGTGGCCGTTAGGTGCCGCTCACTCAGTTCATCACATATATTTTGAGGTTAATTCTGAAAGTTATTCCTTAACCTTCACACCAACATAACATTAAACATATAAGACTATTGTACCTGAACAACCATCAAAGCAAAGACAACATTGCCACCTGAAAATAAATCAACATATTGCTGTTATTTTACGAAAGTTACAGATATGGATATTATGCCAAATGCAAACAACAAATTAGTCTATTTGTGTATTAATTAACGAAGTACTCTACCCCTCCAAAAGTGTGTGATATAAATGTAGGAAATAGTGACATTTTTAAGCTGCAGGTGCATTGGGTGCATTGGACGGGGTCTTCCAGGAAAGTACATTTGTATTTTAAAAGCATAAAATCAATTGTAGAATGTTATGGGAACAAATTGATTCGCACAGTGATTTAAATAGACAAATCGATGTAGGACCACTTATTTCTCATTATTTTTCCTGCGTTTAGGTTTTAGAGAGTTGTCTTTACAGATGCCATTTCCAATAAAGGGTTTTCAAAAAAGGACCACTGAAAGGGCAATAAGAGACAAAGGTCCCTCGGAGCAAAACTCCTAGAATAATAGAAGACATCACCAAGACATTATAAAAAAAAAAAAGAACAGTTTGCCTCAGTTGTTCTTCAAACTTAACAATAGAAGTAGGAATGATATGATCTGAAATAATGTCAAGGTCTTTAAATCTCAGTCAGCCCTTATTGAAGGAAACATATAGGCTTTATAAAATGTGAGGCCACGTGGGGCAACTCCACCACTCTTAACACGTGCATGCGAACGCAATGGTTGCAAATAAAAAAATCTGCAGCCACGTTTTCCCAGTTTCAAGAGCCGAGCGACGTTACGGCAACTTGGAGCGAGCGTTTCCCGTCACGCTCCGCGCCGCGTTCCCACGGACTGCGGCGCGACGCGGCGCCGGAGCCGGCTGTGAGCTCACAGGAGGGCGGGGCTCCCAGCATCATCACCACCGGCCATCGCTGCTTCATTGTACGGGCGGGGGTGGGGTGGGGGTGTGTGTGTGTTTGAGGGGGTTGGGGGGGGGGGGGGACTGACTGCTGCTGATGCTGCAAGGGACGATCGTTTCCCCGGTTCCTTTTTTAAAAAAGCGTGAAAAACGGACATGTCATGGACACGGTTTCACGAAGATTAGCAACCGACGCGCGACGACAATCGAGTTCGAGGTAAGCGAAGGAGAGATGTCCGTGAATAAGGCCGTTGTGGGTTTTTTTGTGTGTGTGTAACATCGTCTGCAGCGGGAGTCGCGGGGACTAGCAGGCCTGAGGTCGGCTCCTCTCCGGCGGCCGTGCGGAGAAACGCACCGGGCTCTTTTTTCATCCCGCCGGAACCCCCCCCCTCCGCGCCTGCGAACGCGCACAATGTACCGCGAACGTGGAGAAAACGAGCCTTATGTCTTTGCTCGTGCAGCGTCGGAAGTGATGGAGCTCGGCCTCCAACCAGCGAGCCATCCGAAGATGACGAGGACGGAGCTGCGTGGGGGCTTCAATAAAAAAAAAAAAGGAGTCCGATGCTCCCGCAGCATCGAGCATCCTGCCCGTGGTGGTGGTTCGGTGCCCGTGGGCCCGGCTACGTGTTGTTGCACAGAGGCTCCCAGCTGTTGGGGATTTTCTCTCCAAGCAAAGGCTTCTCTATATAATTAGGCCCGCTGGCGGAGTCGGTTTGTGGGGGGACCTGTGTAATTATTTTTTTTATCTTCACGTTACTGGTCCTGTTTGGTTTGAAAGGATGCTGCGGTGATGCTGTACAGGAGCATGCTGGTGTTCCACAGCTGGCAGGGGCCTCCAGACTGGACACAAGGTCTGCAGCCTGCAGCCGCCCGAGGGTGTCACTACACCGGCCCCATACTCACAACTCCTGCTGGGGAGGCTTTTGTCCCACTAATGTTTAGGTGTCACAGGGACTGCCTTCAAGTTAATAGATTATAGATTGATTTCCAAAAGAGTGGTCGGGCTGTTTGATATCAAACACCGCTGAATTTGAGCTCAATGGTCACAATAATGACCTTTATGGTGTCAGGATGTATGATTTAAATATGATCCTGACATATGGCCTTAATCTTTAAGTGGTACTCTGTGATGGTCAGGGACCGATGAGCAGATGTGTGAGTGTAATATTCATATCTACCGGCCATGAAGTATTTTTGCACTGCTAAATGTATATTGTCATACAATTTAATATATTCCACATTGTGTGTTTATGTGTCGCTGCATATCTACCGTCAGTGGAAAAATCTCCCTCATCTAATCAGTTGTGACATTTACCCCACTGGTTCCTTAAGCCTTGTATATCCACTGTGCTGATATAATTCACCCCAGTTCACATGGGAACATCCTGACTAACATTTGCCTGTTTGATTGAACTGGAACTAAGAAGCTGGAAGGTGATGATTGACACCCAATGACTGGACTGGTCGCCAGTGAATCACAGCGTTAACAAAGATGGACAATCATTCACTCTCCCAATCGTACACTAGAGGCAATCTTAGTGTCACCAATTAACGTGTCTTTGGACTGTGGGAGGAGGCCTGAGAGCGTGTGGAAAACATGCAAAGTCCACACAAAAAGGTGCTGACCCTCTCGCTGCATTTTGCATTCTTCCGCCATTCCGACCAAGATTTCGTGAACTGCTTCACTAAAAAGTGACTTATGTTCAGCCTGGCGGGTATTCTCAACACAGCATCACCCAAAAGGCGTATTGAAGTCTTTTAGCCTATTGGAGCTCCACATAACAAATCCGAAAAAGCAACCAAAGCTTATTTCTAACCTTTGATGCTAACCCGCACTGCAGGGCAGAGTATGGCTTTTACAGTTTGAGTGGATGGTGGATGACAGATGGCAGGTCCTGATAAAAAAATAAACATGTCTTGCTAAATTTAGCATTGCCATTAAGTCCAGATAATCAAAAAAGGATGGGGAGTTTTCAAAAAAAAGGTTTGTCATTGAAACCAAACAAAAAAGCCTCCAATGGATTTTACCGTACGATCGCAGAGGGCCATCCGAAACTCCAGCTTCAACGCCCCAAATTCATGTCCAATAAGTGGGTCATGGTGCCAGTGTGCGTTTCGTGTGGAAGGGAATTATCACTCAACTCTACAGTTCTCTGCAGTTCCATTTTGCTTTTTAAAAATGTAGGTTTTATTTGCACCGCAATTTTAACCGTGTCGCTGCTGTAATCAACATCTCTTTTCAGTGTAAAACCGCAGATAAATCAAATGAACCCTCCCTGCTCAGAACCCGATGGCGGACGGATCGGGCTGGCGAGGAATGTCAAATATCTAGTAGCCTAATGGCCAAATTTTTTATTGTCAGAATTAAATTGAGACTGAAAGGGGGACTTCGATTTGGTTGAAGTGGCCAAACACATGACCTAATAATAACGTTAAGGACTAGCGAACTAGCGTTTAGCAGCTGAGGACCAGACGTTTCCCCGAGGACGGGGTGGACACCAAAACAGAACCACAAGGCCGGCGTATTTTCCTTAATCACTAGTAAGATGACATGTTTCCTTTTTAGGAGCGTGCTCCGGCGACCGGAGGAAAACACAGTAATGAATGTTGGTTTGAATATTTACCTCACCTCAGTGTTCTGCTCAGCTACAGCTAACAGGGGTTTGGTGACCTAACAGCGTGTTTTGTAAGTGTAAATCCTTGTTGTTTGGTCTGCTTGTTTTAGCATAACGTGAAGCACATGTTGCTCATTGCACATGGAATTTTTTTCGACTTTCTGACATTTTTTGACCTTTTGGTGTGCCCCAAAACAAACACCATTGAGCTCTCTCGTCAGATACCATGCAAATCAAACTGCCTGTTTAATCCTAATTAGGTCAGATAGACAATTGAGACAAACCATCCGGGGAATGGCCGAGCGTCGCCCGCTCATGTCCCGCTCACTGGACCAGCCAGCGGATTATTTCACAGTGGAGGCTGAAAACGAAATACGCCAGTAATAGGATTGACTAATTCATATCTATCTGCCCCTTCAGAGCAGTACAGAGCTGCTGTGGATGGTTTGTGGGTTAATATTGTGTTAGTAGTCGTAGTGCGGGTTGTTGGCCTTACACGATGATGATATAAAGTGATGGATCGGTGAATCGGCACTTTTTAACGCCAGCCGTTGTACATGGTGTCTCGTACAGCCACATTGAAAACTAAATGTGTACATTGTAAATATGTAAGACTGGAGTATGGTACTACGAGATCCCCTTCATAAACTGCCTGCTTTGGCTTTGTGTGTTAAAATAGGCCTCTTATTTACATGCAGTCTGGTGCAGACGGAAGTGCTGAGCGAGGACAACGGATAATAAAAGCACTTCTCTCGACTCATGCCAATGATGTCACCATATTCATTATTTAGAAAGGCCTGGCTATCCCTTTCCTGATACTTCCTGTCTACATTTATTTCCTTTTCTTCTTCTTCTTATCTTATTCTTATTTGTTCTATAGTGTAAGTGTATTCAGAGATATGCATGACTAAGATTACGCATCTTTCCTACCTTTCATGCTACGCAACTCTACAAAAACATTAAAAGATGAATAAAGGTGCAATATAGCAGATTGATCCTGCACTATGTCTCACTGTGTCACTGTCTTTGTCCCCCTCCACACCCAAGCCCTTTTTTTCTGATAGGAGAATGAGGAAGAGGAGGAATTGGAAACCACTGCGAGCGCCTTGGATCGTTTCTGTGAAGTCTCAATGAAAGCATTAGAAGAGCCTCACTAGTATTTGACCCAATGGCCAAGAAGGGGCGCCCGAAGAGCGAGAAGCCCGAAGCGCTCATCTCTGCCCTTCAGGCGGCCAATGAAGATCTCCGGTCCAAGTTGACTGACATTCAGATAGAGCTACACCAAGAAAAATGCAAGGTACTGTATATACATCAATGTCGTAGCTCAATTTAAACCTAAATGCCTCTAAAAAGCTTAAATTATTCTGACTTATAATCAAAAAGCTATTGGATTTGAAATATAATCTCTACAGCAGCCTTTGGACACTGAGACTATACACTTAGAGGTGACAGTACGTCTTGTGAAATGCGACACTAATACGGCATGTTTGTGTTTCCGTATGTTAGTTCTGTTACTGGTAAAGCTGCTGTTTGTGTTCTACACCGTAAACTATGCATTCATGCAGTAAACTAATTAACGTTGCGGAAGGAGCTCACCCGCAGCCACACCGTATAGCACGCATGCGATGTGCGTGTTAATGTCTCACCAGCAGTATGGTTCATGTTTGACGGAACCGCCTGTTTTGCTCAGTTTGCGGCTTGTTACATGAAGAGAACCCTTAACATGTCTGTGAGGAGAGGGGCCAGACACCTCTCCATTTGGTACATTATCATCGTCACAAACATGGGGAGTAATCCTCAGAGCCAGTGATGATTTGTGGCCCTTTTTCCGTCCCCGGTTTTGGACCTCTCGGGTTGTTCTATCAATGGGTGAACCAAATATTTGGACTTTCCAAATGCGCAATTCGTCAAGTCTATAAAGGGCCCGGATCTGGGTCCAGACTTCACTAGAGAAAAAAAAAAACACTGTCTATAACCTTTTAACCTCAATGAAACCTCCCACAATAACATGAAGATGAAAATAAAGCGCAGAGAGTAGACAGTGACCGGGAGTACCATCGCAGCTATACTGTCATCATCACTCCTGCATCCTTCTCTGCCCCGTCTCCCCTGCAAAGGTCAGCAAACTGGAGCGCGACAAGCTTCAGGAGGTGAAGCGGGTGCGGGAGCAGGAGCAGCACCGCCACACTGCCACGCTGACAGAGCAGCGGGCCAAGTGGCACGAAGAAAAGCAAAAGGAGCTCCAGGCTCTGAGGGAGAACCTGACCCGGCAGCATGAGCAGGAATTGGCCCGCCACGCCAAAATCAAGGACCAGGAGAACCAGAGGCTGAAAGCCGCGCTCAGCGCCATGCGGGATGGCAGCGGAGAGAAGGTGAGGTTAATTAATACTCATTACTCACCCGCTTAGGGGGGGGTCGCAGAGATCCGGACCCGCTCAACCCCGAACCCGTCCTCTCTCGCCGTCCCGCTTCTTCAGGTGCGCACAGCGTTGACCCTGGAGGCCAAGGAGGACGCGCGCCGCTTCTTTGACCAGGAGCGAGTGAAGCTCCTGCAGGAGATAGCGGAGCTGAAGAACTCGAAGAAGCAGACCGATGAGGCCCTCAGCAACATGATCCAGTCCGACAAGATGAAGGCCGGCGACCTGCGGGTGGAGCACCAGCAGCACCAGGAGCAGATCTCCAAGATCAAGTGGGACAGCGAGAGAGACATCCGCAGACTGGTAGGCAGAGTCACCACTGATAAATTACACATGATTGCAGTTTGCAGAGTATTGATCAAAATAATAGTACGGCCTGGTGTTGGATATCTGCACAGCACTCTAACTTGTTATTCTATTCTTTCTTTGTGTTTTTGCATCAAAACAAAATTCTAACATCCCTCTTTAGATGCACACTGTTCAAATATTCAGTTTCACAGGCAATTAGTGTCCTTTTTTTAATAGCAATTTATATAAACACACCATTATTTCCTTCTCCTTCAATATAGGTGGATGAAATCAAATCTAAAGAACGCACCATCTTTGGTCTGGAGAAGGAACTGGAGTCCACAGCGGGTTTCCTGCAGAAGCTGCAGCTTCAGAAGGACGCGCTGGACGAACAGCTGTTCCTCGTCAAGGAGGCGGAGTGTGGCCTGGGGAGCCCGAAGAGGGAGATTCCAGGCAGAGCTGGAGATGGAGCTGAGCACTGTGGTAGCCCGGTAAGTAGAAAGGAACAGCCGGGAGATAGCAGTGATATGAAAAATGATTTTCGCCCCTTTAGAAAGCTAAAGCGCCGGTGTGCTGCCGCTAGTTATGTAACGCATTGGCTGAGCATGCAAGAAGACTTGTGTAACAATATTTAAGGCCATCTCTTAAAATCACCACTCGCCGCTCATGCAGACTCAAGGCAGTCTGAACTGCGCGTGTGTCGCCAACCACCCCTGGTTGTGGATTGAGTTTGTGAAATGTTTTAAGTTCTTTTGCTAATGTGTTTGTTTCAGGACTTGAGGAGAAATCAAAGGCGCCTTGCTGACCTCAACTCAACCATACGCAAATTAGAGGACCGCAACTCCCTGCTGGTGGATGAGAGGAGCGAACTGGTAGGAGAAAATGAATTAGTTAAAGATGGATCTTCTGCTTTCTCTTCATTCCGTCCTTTATCTTCTCATCAAATCTCGCAGTTTCCCATCGACATGTCAGTAACAATCTATTCCTGTGTCCCTTCGCCCCCCCACCAGCTGAAGCGAAACCGGGAGTCAGAGAAGCAGTGCAAGCCACTGCTGGACAAGAACAAGCTGCTGAGTAAGAGGAACGATGATTTGACTCACACCATCCAGAAGCTGGAGGAGAAACTCAAGAACCTGGCCAAGGAGAACCACGAGATGGTCAGCATAAAGTCACATTGCAATCATAAACACGTGGACTAATTTCTAGGTGGATATTGTGACTTAACAGGACTTTCCTCACCGTGTGCTGTTTGTCTGCAGAAGGAGAAGATCAGCGCCCACCCTCCACTGAAAAAGCTGAAGTCTCTGAATGACCTGGACCAAGTGCACGATGACCAGGAAATCGCCTTTCTCAAGCTTCAAGTCCTGGAGCAACAGAGCATGATTGATGAGCTGACGAGGGTATGGCGTTTTTTCACGAGATGAGGTTGAAAATGATCCGACTTTTGAACAGGCGCCTGGGTTTTTCAGATGATTAACCACCTTCCAACTGGCCTGCCAGTGTTAGTATCACGAACCACATGATAAGCATTACGCTATGAAATTGGAGATGTGACATTGAAGTTAAATAAGTGAACGATTCCTTTTATTGATTTAAAGCAAAAGAAGGAAAATATGTCCGTTTGTGTGTTTTTTCAGGACCGAGAAAAACTGCTTAGAAAGAAGAGGCATAAAAGAAGTTCGAGGCCAATAAAGGTAGAATGAGTTATATTCTTATTGAAGTGCACTCGGTTCGGTACATATTCTACTATACACATTTTGTGACAGTGTATTCTTTGAAAACAGAAAGAAATTGAAAAATTTCTTTCAACCATATTGCTCTGAATATCGAAACTAACTATTCAACTCTTCTACGCCTGTAAATCCTTCCACTTCTTCTTCTTCTTCCGCAGAGGCACATCGTAGTAGACACCTTCTTTGGCTACGATGAAGAGTCTATGGACTCGGAGACGTCTTCGGTGGCTTCGTTCCGCATGGACAGAACTCCTGCTACTCCAGATGAAGACCTGGAGGAGGTGAGAACTTTCCTCTCATTTGTTTTTACAGCGTTCTGCTTTGATTAAATACCCGTTCAGCTACAGCGGGTCCTCTGACCTGTGTGTGTGTGCGTGTCGAACAAGGGTCTCGCCAACGAGGAGACGCAGCTGCGTTTCCGTCAGCTGACCAGGGAGTATCAGGCGCTGCAGCGAGCCTACGCCCTGCTGCAGGAGCAGAAAGGAGGCGTTCTGGATGCTGAGATGGAGGCCAGGGTAGATATACTTTGAGAAAAAACATTCTTAAATTCCTGTTGAATCTATTTGTGAACACAAATTAACTTGTGTATTTAGTTTTTGTCCGTTTTTCTATTGTTATTGTTTGTTGTCCTCTATTGTGGGTTTAAATTCCTGTGACCTGAAGCAAGCTAGAAACATGAAACTTTGCCCAAGAACTGCATTGGATGTTCACATGCTTATCCATAAGTACTAGTCCAATTGGCCACATGGTAACGCCGCCATTCCATTGAATGATATATATGAAAGACGACTCCACATTTTCACCTGACGCGCTCAACAAAAAAGCTTCTCGGATCATATATTTTGTCCTCACTAGATTTCACGTTGTTTTTGTCGTTCCCTCCTAAACCATCGGTCCAATTTCTACCAAGATTTCTGTGGCTCATCAGCACATGGGTAAAAGTCTAAAAGACCAAAGTCTACAACCATTCGGCCTATCATCACACCACATGCAGCACATTCCCACAAAAGGTTAATTGAAAAAAACAAACATTAGGGGCATAACCTAGCAGGAAATATCACAGACCGTCTGGGTTCTTGCACCCCCACTTAAACAGTACCGGGTTGGCTAATGAAAGTCCTTGTTGCTCACGTTTCAGGCTCAGGAGCAGCTCCAAGCAGAAGTTCTCAGGTATAAAGCCAAAATAGAGGACTTGGAGAAGGAACTCACCCTGAAGGGACAGGTATGACACACAAGCACATGCCTGAAAATATCGTGTGGTGAACAAAACCACAGCAATACCACACAATATGTAATCATGAGTATCATACGCCCAAGAATGAGCTGATATTATGGAGGGTAGGACACAGTATGGAGCCAATTAAAATGTTTTATCTTTGGGTTAATATACAGGACTGGGTATATGAAATATGTTGCATGTGCTGAAGGCCAAAATATACAGAAAATAAAGATACTCAACTAAAACATGACAAAAAAACAATATTTTCTCTTTCTATTAATGTCTAGAGATTCCTCCAATCCTCAGACACGTTGTTTCTCTGCCATAACTGAAGATCTTGACTTTATTGTTTTGCTTAACAGGCGATGTGTCCTGAAACCAAATGTGATTTAATGCATTAAGTGTCTCCGTCCTCTGCCAGGACTCCAAATGGGTGGAGGAGAAGCAGCTCTTCTTTCGAAGGAACCAGGAGCTTTATGAGAAGGTTAGACTTGAACCATAGGTCCAATTTACAACAATCAAACAGCGTCTTTATTACGGTGTTTGTGATGGCAAAGAATATTTATTTGTGTTAGTGGTCACAGGTGGTGCATTTTGTATTTAGCAGTATTTAAACCCTCACAGCTTTTTTAGTCTGCCACTGCATCACCATCATACGTCTAATGTTGTGGACACCTGCGTCTCCCCGTCTAATTCATTCTGTCTCTCTTTGGTGTCCAGCTGGAAAAGATGGAGTCGGACTGCAGTCGACTGCAGCAGGAGCTGCAAGACTCCAGAGATCAGAATGAACTGTTAGAGTTCAGGATACTGGAGCTGGAGGTGATTGAGTTTCCTCCGTTACAGTAGCCATTAGCCATGTAGACAGGACGCCCAATAGCCCGTTGCCTTTGTGTTGTGTCTGTGCTGCAGTGCAGATTCAGTGCAGACGGGGAGGGCGGAGGCTGACACCTAGTGGTCAAAGAGGAGAACCGCATGCTCGGATGTGTTGCCTAAACATCAGCATTAAAAAATTAAACCAGTGCAAACAAGGATTGTTCAGGGAGCTATTTAAAAATTGAATTTTAATTTTAAAACATCCAGGTTCAAAACAGAGTCCAGTTTTATATTTCATCTAATATATGCTTTTGTTGTTGTAGGAGCGCGAGAGGAAGTCCCCTCCATTCAACCATCTGAGGATGCATCCTTTCTCTGAGGGAGTCAGTGCTCTGCAGATCTATTGCATGAAGGAAGGGGTGAAGGTACGCAGTGGACTCCACCATTCTCATGGCTGCACTAAACTAGGGACCGGAAACATCCATGTTTTTTAGTCTTTTTAGTCTCTGAATAAACGTTTTTTTGCGTGCGTCTGACTCTTTTTTTTCAGGACGTGTGCATACCAGATCTCATCAAACTCCTAGATATCCTGGGAGACAACGGGGTATTTCATACGGAATCAGCAAATCAACATGTGATGCCAAAACCGACACGATATTAATAAAGCTGTTTTTTTTCTTTCCTTTTTGTGTAGAATTTAAGAAATGAAGAGCAAGTGGCCATTATTCAGGCCAGCACTGTTTTGTCACTAGCAGAAAAGGTAAGTTTGGAAACCACATCTTGGTCCTTACATAGAAAAAAAGTCCCTCACAGGAAAGTTTGTGCTGAGCCGCATTTTGCTGGTTCTTGCCCTTTTAGTGGATTCAACAGATTGAGGGTACGGAGGCGGCGCTGCACCAGAAGATGATGGACCTGGAGATTGAGATGGTGAGGGTTTATTTTTTCTGGATTTGACCTCTCTGACTTCTGATGCTGCATTCTTACTTTAACTGGTTCACAGCAGCTTTAGTCAAGGGCGACATGTTTCCAGGAGGCTTGTAAATGATATCTGGAACGTATTTTGCACAATGACACACAAGGGCCGGTTTGAGTAAAAGATTAACAAGTAAATAAAGTATTATGCTCCCATCGAGTAACCACTGTCTCTGTGCTGCTTGTTCCATACAGGAGATGTTCTGTAAACAGAAAGGATATCTGGAAGAGGAGCTGGACTACAGGAAAACGGCCATGGACCAGGCTTACATGGTCCGTGTGTGTTTGTGTATCATGTATGCAGCGCTTTGTAGGATTGTTTGTTTCCCATGTAGAGACTCCAATTCAGGTCCCTACTAGGTCCAAATGTATTTTCCCGGCGGTTTAGTTATGGCTTGGAGGGAACGTAGGTAAATTATTACAAAGTCGTACATTTAATCCTTTTTTTTCCCTCTCTACAGCAAATCCAGGAGTTGGAAGCGACGCTGTACAACGCCCTGCAGCAGGACAAGGTGCTGCCACAAAACATTACAAACTCACTGTTATGAACACTACTGTACGTTTCAAGCTACCCTTTTCAAGCCACGCTCGGCTCAAATGAGGATTAACTGATTAGAATCCGGGGGTCAAAGGTCACCGGGAGCTCACAAATGACTTTTAAACGCGCATGCTGTACGTCTTTAGGTTTATTTGGTTTGGCATCTCCTGTGTGCGACGCCTGTCTCCGTCCTCCAGGTGATAAAGTACGGCGAGCCCCTGGATGAACTTCAGAAGGACGAGCTGCGGACGGCGGTGGAGAAGCTGAGGAGGCAGATGTTGAGGAAGAGTCGGGAGTTCGACTGCCAGATCCTCCAGGAGAGGATGGAGCTGCTGCACCAGGCGCACCAGGTGCGTCCACGTCCCTACCGGCGGTTTTATGTGTGCTCATACGGCTGTGGGTTTTGTGCGTTTTGTTTGACATCTCTCTTGGATAAAGGTATTTGATCTGTTTTTTTCTCTGTGACTATTTGCAGAGGATTCGGGACCTTGAAGACAAGACGGAAATCCAGAGGAGACAGATTAAAGACCTGGAGGAAAAGGTAGACCTTGTTTCATGACTCTCTGTAAAATAAATACGTGCACTCACACTCCAGATGAGATAATAGAATTTTTCAGCCTCAGGTTTCTGGATTGAATCTCAAATTGAATATTAAGTGTATTTCACATTATTTTTCTGAAAGTATGAAATGTCCCTGCACAGTGAACTTCTCTTTCTGTCTCCCACTTACTTGTGTGTTACTAACATATCTTGAGTGTGCCTCTAATCCCCTCACTTTCTTTGTCTCTTCTTCATCTCGTTCTCTCTCTCTCTCTTTCTCTCTCCAGTTTTTGTTTCTGTTCTTGTTCTTTTCTCTTGCCTTCATCCTTTGGCCTTGAAGTCTTTGGCGTGTCCCGTAGCAGAGGTGAGTCCTGAGGGCTTTGAGTTGAAAGTTCAGTCCACCAGCATCTCCCATCTGGACCTCGGTCAAATACTTTTACATTAAAGAGTAAGAGTTTGAGTACTTTGGCTCCAGAGCCCGACTGGCTGCTCAAAAATGCATTTCTGTTGCATTATTCACGCTCATATATTGCTTTTTTTAAAAGAGTTAATTTTTTTCATTATTCATCTGAAAATAATCCAAATCAGCAAGTGAGAGCAGTACAATAAAGTCTACACAAACCAGGATTTAAATACTTATCTTGGCCTGTACTTAATCCTCCGATTAACCTTTTTCTTCAAGGGATAACAAACCAATTTAAGAACATTTGCAGACGATGTGCTCATTTGTTGTTTGCCCACGTGAAGAAGCACTATGTATTTGACCCTGGTCCTCTCACTCTCCCTCCTGCCCATTTTGTAGCTTCACCTCGCATTCACTTTGACATATTCAACCGTCATTCCTTCTTTCTCTCTGAACTCCAAACATTTTTCCCTTGTGGCATTTTCCTGTTAACCTTCAGGTTTTCTTTTTCTACGTTTCATCCGCATTTCGTTTTTTTACTCACCGGAAGGTTCCCAAGCAGCTCAGAGGGCAAACGGTGTCGTCGACGTCATCGTCGCTCCCTCTAACCCTTTTTGTTTGTTGTCACCACCTTTGCTTTTATTTCTAAACTCACGCACACAACAACTGCGTTTGCAAATGGGCTCTCAGTTGTAGCCACGTGGGGGCAGCACAAGCTTCGAGAACAACGCGGACATATTATCACGTCGGGAAGTTGTTTCGAATTTGTTACACCTTCCAGCAGCTACAGAGAACCACTTGTTTTCACCTTTCATCTCCGGTTTGCTCCCCGACTCCATCAGAGAAAAACATCTTAAAGTATACCAGAAAATTTCCAAACACTAGAATAATACAATTTCAGTTCTTGACCCGATATAATGTGCAGTGTTTGTTAAATGTCTCAGTCCTTTGGCCTCCTCTACCTCTTTGTGACCCCTCTCTCTCCGTCTCGCAGGTGGTGTGTCAGCTTGGAGATCTTGTTTGGGACGGCGGTGTTATTTATTTTCTGGACAATAGTGGACCAACGTGCGTAACAGTGGCTGCTAATGTCCTCACATCAGTGACTGCTGTCAGTATCGGTGGATGTGTCTTGTGTTGGCTGTGGACGTTTACACTTCAGATTTAGTTCCTTTTTCTAACCTTTTTTTTTAAATGGGGGTGGTTTCTCAGGACACTGCACAGGATGACCAAATTTTTTCTTTTTTTAAAGAGCGGTGTTGGACATTAACTGTCTCTCCAAACAGCTGGAAGGAGACTGTAACAGGCTGCAGGGGTGACACACAATTAGTGCGAAATTAGGTGCACAGAGACACATATAGATGTATACACACAGTTTACGAACACGCATGCACAGACGCATGCAGATGCAAACACACTCACACCAACACATATTTTGACAGAAATCCAAGCCAAAGCCTGGGAAATGTTTTCTCTGCCATGCAGGGTAATAATATCATTCACCAACATTTAGCCACAGCGAGAATACAGACAGAGCCACTGATAGAACAAGGAGACCAACAAACCACAACTTCTCTCTTCTTCCCTTTCCTTTCCAAACCCCGAAAGGACGTTCGTCATGAACCCAACCTCTTGGTGAACGGAGGCGAGCCAACTCAGGGCCCGTGATTGGTCAGATTATTACGAGGAACACTACGGGAGGCGCCGGCCTTTGCAGCAGTTTTTCAGAATGGTGCTTGCATGCACTGCTTGGACGGGTTAAACCTGGAAAAGAGCAGAAACCTGCACGGCAGAGACTGGTGTGAAGAGGCACTAAAAGCGGGACATTAGGATCAAGGCGTCTTCAGCAGACAAACATGGCCGACTCGAGTGGAGAGGTAAAAAGAGGACGAAACAGATCATGGGCGAAACGACTCTCTGATCCAGCTCCGCTCAGCGTGGACGTCCACAGATTTTCACTCCGTTTCTTAATTTATCTCAAAAGCCAGCAGACTGAACTCACTGGTGACCATTTTCTTTTTTTTACAGCTCCCACCACCAAGAAACTGTGTCCCAAGATTTCCACTGAACTAACTGCTTATTATGTACTGTAATATATATATTTGTTGATATGTACATGTTGCTGAATTATTTTATTTAGTCTCCCCATTTATTTCATTGAATAGTTGAAGTTTTATTTTACACTCTGAAGCAGCTTGAGCAGTTGGTGTAGTTTATAAATGACTAAAAAGGGTATATGTTGCTCTGTTATATTGTGGTGACGGCTGCAAAGATAAACTCGTATTTCTTTGAGAATCATAAATGAAAAATGAATGTGGAAAAATTAGATTTTTTGCCTCCCTTCTCGTCCTGCCCTTTATCACACACATAATACTGTATTTATTAAACTACTCTCTAAAAAATGTTGTTTGTTTGGCCAGCAGGTGGGTGCTGGTTTCACCTCAGCGACTTTGCATTCACTCCTTAAAGTTTCACAATCAGACTATTACCTTTAACAGACTTGTGAATATTTTCAAACTAGCTCACTAAGTGTTGTGATCAACTCTGGTCGAATGATTGGTCGGTTGTACCTCATTGATGTACTAAAGAATTGACAGAAGCAGCAGAAAAGATGGAAAAAAAAACCCATTATAACCAAACAAAGCTTATCCTATTTTTTACCAACAAAAATGTCTTTGATACTAACAAACCTCGTAAAGACAATTGGCCGCTTCCCCAAAATGGAACAGAAGAAAGTGAATGCAACACTACACCTGCTCCACTTCTCTCATCACCGGCCCACTGCCCACCGGCCCTGCAATATTTACCAGCAGGCCGTCCTCGTCCCCCACGTCCCAGAGCTGGTGCGTCTCCCACCATTCACAGGTGTAGTGTGTCGAGGTGTCCCGTTACATAGCGGGCAGTAACTGTGAGCCGCTCCGCTCACTCTGCCAGGGGGGACGACTGAGCCTACGGCCCTGCAAGCTCAGCTGATTAGTTGCCTTAAAGGACCCCCGCCCCCCGTCCTCCCCCTCTCTCCCCCCTTGTATGTTCCCTTTTAACAATTGTTTTTTCATACGGTTTATTATCATAGAGCGTAATGTACACAGAGAGCGATTCTTTTTATCTTATTCCCGCCTGTCTTCCAGCGAGACTTTAACCCTTCCTCCTACTTTGGTCTCCATTATTAAACAGACAGAAAAAAGGAGTAATGCTGTAAAAAAAATTAAACAAAACATGGCCTTTGACCTTAATAAAAGAAGGTAATTGAGTAAATTGTCTTCTTTTTGCATCTTTATTACAGGTGTGCTTGGTTTTGTACTCAAAGTGAGCATTTTATTTACTAGAGAAGCAACTTGACAAATTCTTCTTGTTAAATAGTCATATCTACCATTTACCTGTGGATTAAGTGGATTATGATCTCATCTTTCAAAACGAAATAGGCCATGAGCTGTGGCTGCTCTCTGCACCTTTCACTCGATGCACAGAAATACACATAGGTAGTAGTTCTTTTGCTGACAGAGATCGATAGTATTCTATCCTTATTCTCTTGTTTTTTAAAGGAATTTATTCACAAAAACATACTGGCGCTAAGCACTACGACTTATTGGTTTCATTTATTTTACTTGAGATGTATTACGACGAGTATCATAAAACCTAAACTGGGAGCTTCAGTAGACACAATGCGGGACGCGGAGCTGGATCCGTCCATGATAACAGTCTGTCTCTTCACTTTAGTCCTGACCGTCCTTGCCAAGCCAGAAGAGAAGAACAGGGGTCAGGCCGGGTTTTGTGTTTTAGTCCAGTCCGGCCACAGGATATCTGTCACGAGGGCACTTCCATCCGTCCTCTCCTCATCACCCTGAACACATAATACCAAAAGACATTGATGTGCGTAGAAAAAATGCCTTTTCAGCACAGAGTTTCCGCTAAAACGCTTTTGCAACAACTCAGAAAACAGAGCACTCATTTGAATGCAGATCTCCGTCAGGCGGGTCTGCAACAGCCACGGCTGTTTTTGTGGGATTTACTGAATACGACCCCCTCATCTATAGTGATGGCCTGTACGGCATTGTAAAGAACACTTCATTTAAACTAAAACTGCTGATGTATGCAGACAATGATTGTCTAAGATGTTTCATACAACCTCGCCAACTGTTATTATATTACAATGATGTGTGCTTACTGCTGCTTCCGTCCGCTGTACCAACCAAACACTCCAAGTGTGCCGGAGAACAGCGGCTGGGAGGTACGTTAGCAAGCTTAGCAAGGGACACTCACTTACGGACACATGTGCAGAGGCATTACCTCCTGATGATCACGAGCCATGCAAGATGAAGTGAAACTCCCGGGTCATTGTTTGTTAGAAAGCCAGACTTGCTGGAAGGAATACATGATTGAAATGTCTACCGGTGCAGAGGCTCTTTAACCTTATTTGAGCAGCAGCTGGTCGGCAGCCAAACCATCCCAGGCGGATGCAGCTGCCCGATCTGCTCCGTTCAGCTGCTTAGCAACAGCGAGTTCATGGCTCACACTCCTGCTAAACATGTTAGACAGGCAGCTCACTTGGTTCCTTTTATTCTTTTTGAACATATGTAAGGATTTCCAGCATTATGAGTAATAGTGCAAAGCAACCCGTGTGTGTGCACGTGTGTTTTCCTGACCTCTGTTTTCCGCTCCTTTATTATTTGGCTACTTTAGGCTCGTCCATCTGAAAAAGAGTCTTGAATGTGAGCCTTTGTCTCCTGATGAACCCGTGCATGCTGCCAAAGCTTCAGTCCTGCTGGTCACTGCTGCTCTACTCCTGCTGTACCAAGTCGTGAGAAGTGCCCCTTTTGGCTGAATAACACTTTGTTTTGACAGAGATGCAGTACTGCAACACAAATACATACAACAAGCAAAAGGGTGGGATGTGACAATTTGGGAAAAGTCATTATTGACGCTACTTCCATCACATTTCCTGAGTGGGGTGCGCCGGTGCAGAGCTCACTTGTCAGACCGTATGCATTTCCTATTTGAATTAACTCCCATCGACTTGCCCGTGGAACAGTGGCCCACTTCCCCACTTCCCCAAAGCCTTCGCTCGCTCCACGCAGGACTGGAAGACTGGATCTGCCCAGGTCTGTGCTATCTGGCCTGGATGCACGGACGAATCATCTGAGCTGTAGTCTAACGGGGTACATTCACTTAACTATCCCGCCCAGCTTACGTCCATCCTTTAAGAGGACGGCGTCCTGCTTTCTTTAAAGGCCTCGTTAACTCGGGGTTATATGATAAGCAGCATACTGCCTGCTGTAAAAAAAATGCCAGACGATTTACCCGCCATGAATGAATTTGAGGGAGAACTGGATGTTTTCTTGGTGTGGTTTGCAGCTACGATGACACCACTGACACTGAGAACTGTGTGAGCTGATGGCTCCAAGGCTTCCCAGTCAGTCTGCTCTGTCCAGACCACAGTAAAACAAACATCTGGACGAGCCTTTGAGCGCTGCCCTTGTTCTCTCACACAATATCGAATCCTCCCGAAAGTCATCTGATCCCGCCGGTGTTTGACTGTTTGCAAGCCAAAACACAAAGTGGCCTCTTTTGTTTACATGCGGATGGGAATGCTGTTGTATCCCTCGTTCCCTCAGCACGATTTACTGTCTAAACACAAGACAGTGGAGGAGGACAGGACGGAAAGCCCCCAAAACATAGAAACTCTTGAGGACACCATAGAATTACTGAGGCATGTCCACAAACCTCGAGGCTTCAATCACTGTCGTGTGAGGATCGCTGTCTGCCGGCCCGTCGAGTTGCTGCGACAGTGGTGTTCGGCGAGGATTGTGTGGAATTCAAGCTACTTATCATATTTTACTCTGTTTCAAAACCCTGAAATAAATCCTCCCCGAGACATCTTTTCAGAACGTATAAAGGTGTTTGATCATTCTTTTTTTCCTGCCTTTTCCATCCGCAACTCAACTCGTGTGCTCGGAACGTCTAGGAATCGGTAAAATACGGCGATGTCACCCGGTGTGACACAAAAGAACTATAACGCACGTAATGCACCAGAGGTCAGACAAATAACGGCCCGTGTGCTTTCTATATGAGACTGAACTCGACACTCATCTGTCATTAAGCTGATGAAAAACCTCCCAGTGAAACCAAGGCCACCCTTTCAACTGCACTTATTCTCTCAACTTTTAATCCAAATCAGCAATTCACACCCCAAGGAAGGTGATGATGTCCCATTCCTGCGTTCCTGTTAACGCAGGGACGGTGTTGACTCAGCGCTCTCTCCCCGTTCGAGAGAGCTGCTTGTCTCCTCGCGCTGCTGACATCCCCCATGTCTCCCCCCTGTCTCCCCCCTGGCGCGTGAGGGAGCGATCAGATCTCTCCTTTGGATTGAGATGCTTCCGCCTGTGGATGATGGGTGAGCGGGGGAAGAGAGAGAGAGAGAGAGAGAAACATTTTCCGTGGTGCTGAAGGGACAGCGACGAAGAGCACAGCTCCGACCGGACGCCGGAATCTCGCCTCACCTGCCGAGTGCTCACCTGAAACCAATCAGCTGATTTCCACATCAGGTTGCAGACTATTAGAAGTGGGAATATAGATTCAGCTGAAACAAACTACTGGTTTATTATTCGCAATAAAGGTAAGTTCTTGTAAAAACCAGCCAGTAGTAAGTAGGCCTATATGGTACACGTGTCCAGACAGCTGTCAGCACATTTCCATGTGAGGGCCCCTCGGTCTGCGGGCCCTTTTACTGCAGGTCAACGGCACATTTCAGTCCATAATCATAAAAAAGAAGTTGTTTTTTTTATTTGAACATCTAACGGGCACTTATGTAACCAGGCACCAGTGTCGTAGCTCAAGTCAACTCCTGACAGCCCAGGCTTCTCCACAGCATCACGCATGCACGCACGCGCGCGCACACGCCGCTTTAAAGCCCCGCTTTAACCTTTTCTCGGGGACTTTCGCAGCGCTCCAGCATGGCAGAGCGCCGGGGAAACGGGGACAAGGCGGAGGACGACCTGCCGGTGTATCTCGCCCGACCCGGCACCGCCGACCCGGTGGCCCGGCAGAAACACGGCGGCTTGTTTTGCAGCGTCGAAGGCGCGTTCGAGAGTAAAACCATCGACTTTGACGCGCTGAGCGTCGGCCAGAGGGGCTCCCGCACCCCGAGGACCGTCAGGCGGGAGACCGGTCCGCAGGCGCGCAGCCCGGCGAGTGACCGCGAGATCCCCCGCGGTGCGGAACGGCGAAGAGGGGACGTGTCCCCTCGGGTGGAGATCAGGACCAGCGGCGGCAAAGAAGAGTTGCAGAACCTGCCGGACGAGAAGGTGAGGAGGGTGCAACTTTGGCGTGAATGGCAGCATGAGGATGAGGAGCAGGTTTCTGCTGTCGCTGCTGTGACTGTTACCTTCGCAATTACACATGTTGAATCTCTCCATCATCCATAAGAGAGAGGCTGTATTTGTGCACAATGCATTTGGGAACCAGTGCAAAGTGGATGAGACCACACATTGTATGATTGTATGACATGAGGTTGTAGATCGAAGAACCTTATTAAAAATGTTAAATGCTGATTTAATAACAGCAGCCTCTTAACATATATAGGTCCCCAGGTCATTTACTTTCACAGCAAAGAAAAAGGTTTTATCTCAAATGAATTAGGGAAAATAAACAGTACCTGCCAAAAAAGTTGAAAAATGAGATGATGATTACTTTTACTTTTTTTTTTTTAAACTTTTATTACAGTGTTTGCTACTGTTTAACGTCTTGAAGACAGACACGATTTTCCGCAGAAAGCAGAAAAATTCAATGAACAGAAAATGCAACACGTGTTGCTTTTGCAGCAACAGTTTTACTAATGACATAACCTACAAAGAATAGAGAGGAAGCATTGTATGACAATTACATGCACTGCAGGAGATGGACACACTTGGTACATGCTGTCGTATCAAAACCAAAATCACACGTTCATCTTTACGACAGGACTACATGTCTTTTTCACAGAATGTCCGAGGATGCCGTGTCCTATTTTAACTTAGTTTTTCCTGATTTTTGGTCTTTAACGTGCGTATAGGCTTCTCTGTACGACGCTTGAAACATCACCAGAATGGGGTATGAGTTTTAACAATTTGTGTTGCAGTCTTATGTCATTAACAAAAAACGGTCAAAAAAGACAACCATCAATTGCAACAGCTATTCATGATTTATTTTTACGTCCCACTTAAAGTTTGTACAACTTAAACACGTCTCCGCTCTAAGTCCATCCACATGAGCCAAACAAG